TTCTACATCAACATGTGTCCCCTCTGTGGAAAGAGACTCTGAAAGTTTCAGGAACAAAGATTCTCTCTCTTTTTGATCCATTTTTATAAAAACCTGTCTGAAAATGAGCTGATCAGATTTTGGCCACTTGATGATGTCATAACAATGTTTTGTCTTGTGTAACCATTAGCCAATCAGCTACCAAGGTAACCCCCCCCCCACCTTATCACCTGAATCTCCTCCTAGAGCACCATTGTGTTCTTTGTAACCAAATCTCTCTCAGAGGGGCGTGGGGAGGGGCTCCTTATTTTCATCTAAAGTAACAGACAGAGAATCAGCACTTTGGAAACAGGGCTGAAACAGAGGGGATTATGGGTAATGCTGCAATGATCTGTTTGGTGTTTCAGCCAATCAGAGACAGGTTCTGGATATATCTGAGACCTATAATATATTGATGAAAAACAGTATAATAGGAGACCTTTAAATTCTAACAATTTGGCTGAGACAACTTGTGTTTTTGCATCTTTATTTAACTTTTCCTCTGTGTTTCTTTAAGGGCTCTGGCTGATATGAACAGTGATGGCCGTATGGACATCCACGAGTTCTCCATCGCCATGAAACTCATCAAACTGAAGCTCCAGGGTCACCCTCTCCCCCCCCTCTCTTCCTCCCAGTATGATAACACCGCTGGCTCTCCCCCCACAGAGCGGCTTCGGTAAGAAACCAGACAGAAATACCTCAGATGGCAAAAGTACACACATCCTTTACTCAAGTAGAAGTACAGATACTCGTGTTTAAAAATACTCTGGTAAAAGTAGAAGTACTGACTAAACTTCTTTACTCAAGTCAAAGTAAAGAGGCTTTGAAATGTACTTCAGTAAAAAGTACCCATAACTAGCAGCTGTTTTAAAGAGTACCTGACCTCCCTTTATATTAATAGAACAATAATGTCATTGTTAGCTAATGAATGTTTCCATGCTGAACAACGGCAACATGACAACGTTTTCATTGGTCCCTCTTCTTTAGAGAAGACCAGGAAATGATGGATACACGGATCGTGTTCAAATCAATAGGCACGCAATGACTCTAAATAATAATGATCACGCCACCAAACACACATTCAAACTAAAGGAACCAGCCTGTTTGGAAAATGTGAGAAGTAGAAAGTACAGGTATTTGTGTTCAACATGTAAGAAGTAGAAAGTACAGGTATTTGTGTTCAACATGTAAGAAGTAGAAAGTACAGGTATTTGTGTTCAACATGTAAGAAGTAGAAAGTACAGGTATTTGTGTTCAAAATGTAAGAAGTAGAAAGTACAGGTATTTGTGTTCAAAATGTAAGAAGTAGAAAGTACAGGTATTTGTGTTCAAAATGTAAGAAGTAGAAAGTACAGGTATTTGGGTTCAACATGTAAGAAGTCAAACTAAAAAGCCGTCAGAAAAATAAGTAGTGGAGTAAAGTACTGATACCAGAACATGTACTTAAGTACAGTAACAAAGTATTTGTACTCCAATACTTCCCACCTCTGGTATTTATGTATGTATTTATTTATTTGAGAAGGGAAAATGCACATTAATTAACATGGGCACTTGAGTCCATCATGTAAATGTGGCCGATTTAGCTGTAAAGCCTAATTAATCTGCAGTCTTAAGAGAGCATACAAACGCACATAAGCACAGAATGAAACACATGAGAAGAATTATAGCACAAAGTCAAAGACACACACACATACACACAGTTGAAGTGCAATTACAGCACATATTAAAGCACATATATGAACAATTAAAAGCACAATTATACTTTTTAAACATTGTAATTTGTGTCATAAAATCCTATATCCAAAACATCTTCATTACATTTGAGGATCATCTTAATTTCTTTCTCCCTTCTTACTAGTTTTCTCTTGGTGTTTGCACTCCAGAAGAAACACTGCACACAGTTTAATATAACAACACAGACATAATCTTTATCTGTTGTTTTATGTAATGACCGCTTGTCCTTAAGCTTTCTTAACGTCTGCTCTGTTGAACTCTGTGTTCAGTAGATCTGGAAACCACAGATGTATTTTGATAAAGACGACGTCACTGTTTCTTTCCAAAGGTCGTTTAGGAAATGCTTACTCACTCTCGTTCAGTCTGTTGCACCTTTAAAAGGCTGATCAATAAAGTGATATATATATATTTCAAACACAGTATTGAGTCATATCGCTCCTCTCCTTCTGTGGCTCTCACAATTAATTCACTTAAATGAATTTATAACGTCTAATTCAACACTAAAGAATTATTTTCTTTCCCAATTGTACACCTACTGTATATATTTACCTTATAATGATGCCATGTGTTTTCTGATCAATAAAGTTATATATAATGCAAACACAGTAGAGAGTCATATCGCTCCTCTCCTTCTGTGGCTCTCTAGCACTTAATTAATTTTTATAACCTCACATTTTCATTTTTATTTTGACACTTACTGTATATTAATAATAATAACAAGAATCTTTATTTGTATAGCACCTTTCATACAATAAGTTCAGTTCAAGGTGCTTCACATAGACATTTCACAGAAAATTGATATCACACAGGGTTCTTAAAAACCTGGAAAAGTCATGGAAATTCAAAATGCTAATTCCAAGTCCTGGAAAAGTTTTGGAAAACAATATTTTTCCCAAAGTTTTGGAAAAGTCATGGAAATGTAACTAAAGTTGCATCAAATATAATTTATATTTTATCTAATCGACGAAATAGTAATACTATAATGATAATAAATACTGTATCGTATAGTAATGAAACGCAAAATGGCGTTTAACTGACGAGGTGTTTGCTGGTGAGAGATTTGAGTTGCTTTAGCGTGTAGAAGCTAGTAAGCCTACTATTTGATTTGTTTTAGATAGGACCAACATGTTTCATATGCAGACCTTATTTCCCTGTTCCATGTTAAAATAAACCATTTTCAGTGGTACCGCTGAGAAAGAGTAATTTTTTTGGTCATGGAAAATTAGGTAAAGGTCATGGAGAAGTCATTGAAAATCATTGGTGAAAAAGTGTATGAACCCTGAATACAGTTACCAGTAAAAAACATAAAAACAAACTAAAATAGCATAAAATACATTTAGGTTAAAGGTACAACGATGAAATTGTGCATTAAAAGGAGGATAGCGCAAATTCAACACACAATCCGGTGACAGGTTAAAATGCTACGGAGTGCATTGAGAAAGTGCATGAGAGAGCTTCCTAAAAGGCTACATGGTACAAATGTGTTTTGACCTTCGACCTTTGACCTTATAATCATGCCATGTGTTTTTCTGCAGGCATGCCCCCGATGCCCCCCCTCTCAGGCGGGCCTCCTCTCTCCTTGCCTCCTCTCCCCTTGCCTCCTCTTCCTGTCGGGGTTTCCCCCCCCCCTCGTCTCCTCCGTCCCGCCCCCCCTCCCTCCCCCCATCTCTAACGGAGCCCCTCCCACAGGAATGATGCAGCCAATCCCAGGCTTCCCTCTCCCAGGTAACAACAACACAGGGGAAGGGGCGGTCCTTAAAGGCTTTTGATGCTTCTGTGGGAATTGGGGGTTTTAAGCTTCTGTTTACACATCATGATCTGTTATATGTTTTGTCTGTATGCAGGTTTAAATGTTTTGTACTCATTATAGGACTTCAAATCATAATCTGGTTTATACCAAATAGGATTTCACGTGAAAGGAATTAGCTTTGTTGCCATTTTGCATCATGTAAACATAGTGAGAGAGAGAATGTGCAAAGGTTCACAGTAAAGAAATATGAAAATAATATGCAATGTTCAGAGATATAGGACTTTTTATAAGCCCGGTATAGCAGTGTTTAGTTTGAAGTTTTTAATCTATGATAAATGATATTGGAGGGATACTATTTTAAATCCGGAGTATCAATGCACGCCATACCTTACACAAACTTACATAAACAATTTGAAAAACAGAGGCCAAGACAAGACGAGACATCATTTGAAAAGAATTGAAATATATAATAAAAATAAAAGACATTAAATGAAATGAAAAAAATGAAAACAATTGGGCAGTAGCAACATTATCCTAAAAAGTGTGCATAGTCACAGTGTGGGGGAAACTTCTGAAGCAATGGAGAGTCAGGACTCAGAGAGACACGAGGAGAGCTGGAGCTTTGATGGCAAACACTGACGGTTTATTACGAGCTTCGCCCGGAGAATTCACAAGACATGTCACGGGCCATGGTTTGACCCTCCTGTAGTTCCAGGTTTTAACTAGTTCAGAGTATAATAATCAACATTCTTCATCAGTGAGACTAAACAAATATGGACCCTGAATCCAGAGATGGAGTACTCGAGTCCTGGACTCGGACTCGAGTCGGACTCGAGTGCCGATTTTCGGGACTCGTGACTCGACTCGGACTCCCGCACTGATTGACGCGACTCGGACTTGGACTCGTGAATTCTCGCGCACGATGACTTGGACTCGGACTCGGACTCGTGAATTATCGCGTACGCTGACTTGGACTCGGACTCGTGAATTTTCCCCCCCATGATGACTCGGACTCGACTTGTACATTGACGCTCCGACTCGGACTCGGACTCGAGCAAGTTTTCTATGGAGTCTGATGTCCTCTATCCTGGCGTGTGCACCGGCTGCGAGGCGAGTTCACGTACTGGGCCCCGCTATTCCAGTCTAAAGATGTCTAGAGACACACCCCGCATCGTGCTGTATGCTTTCACACATTCTGCTTCCACATTGGAAAAGAGCAGCGCAAAATGCTCTATGTGGAAACAATATTGAAGAGAAGGCTCCGTAACACATTACTCTAAACATCGAGTTCAGACATATAGGCTGTCTTGAACACTATCATCAGAGTAACGTCATCTAATCAATACATAAAGATTCAGCCGATAACACGAAAGCATATGGCTACTTAACATGCAGAATGACGTCATTTTGCATGCTAAGTAGCCATGTGCTTTCTGGGGCTAAATCTTTATCAGTAAACCGATTTAACCGGTAAAAGTTCCTTCAAAATAAGAGTCCCGATCTTATTACTATCAAAATAAAAGTGCAAAACGAAAACTTTACCATAGGAAAATATTGGCATACAAATATAATCACTTCTCTAAAAGGTAACTCATTTTAAACATAGTTTATATATAATAATAATATTAATATTAGTAATAAGCTTTATATTTGTATAGCACCTATTACAAGAATTGTAGCCAAACTGGCTTCACAGCAGTTCAATAGACAGATTAGTATAACATTGACAGGATAAAAGCAATGTAGAGGAGCAGCTACATTTCAACACATATATCCATGAAGATTAATACATGAAGACTTGTGACTCGGACTTGACTTGGACTCTTCTTAGGTGACTCGGACTTGGACTCGGACTCGAACACAGGTAATGATGACTCGGACTCGGACTTGACTCGGACACTCCTTGGGTGACTCGGACTTGGACTCGGACTCGAACACAGGTAATGATGACTCGGACTCGGACTCGACTCGGACATTCCTTGGGTGACTCGGACTTGGACTCGGACTCGACTACGACTCTCCCTTGGTGACTCGGACTTGGACTCGGACTCGAAGAGTGGTGACTCGAGAGTGACTTGGACTCGTGAATTGGTGACTTGACTACAACACTGCCTGAATCTAACTAGAGCTCTCGTCCATAGGAAAGAACGTGCGCCAGGGAACCTACGTCCCTGAACAGTAAACTACCTCATGGCGGCTTGTGCTCGGTCATAGACTGAGAGATAGCAGCAATACCCAAGGCCGTAGAACTATGCCACGGGAAAGGAGACAGTGAGAGGAGAAAATTATGAACTGTGTCAAAGGTTGAATACCTAAGCAAATTATTCCCCAACACACAGCAGTTTAAGAAGTTCTTTACCTTCCCATAGATTCCCATTGTTATTTCTTAGCATGTTTAACACTTTAACATTCCCTAAAAGTTGAGTAAACGGATCCCAAACCCTATCAAAGGTTTCATTTTTCCTTTTCAGAATATACGTTAACAACCATTACTCATTTCCCTCAGACATTAACATTGTATTTTTTATACAGGTTATTAAACCTTTATCAAATGTTCCTCCTCCTGCGATTACAATATTGCACGAGTCCATTTTCTAATGAATTGTTGCCCGATTTTTTACCCCGGCCTCACATTAAAACAAAGTGTTCTCTGTCTCTTTCAGCTCCTCCTGTCAACAAGTCAGGATCTTTTAATCGTCCCAGCGCCAAACTGCAGAAGGGCCCGTCTGTGGACGTTGCTAGGTAAGATGCATAATCAGAAATATGTGCAATATTGTGTCTTTATAACAAAAAAAATAGAAAATATTTGGTTAGAAAATGGTCACATGGAGAAATCGTCCACGGTTAACCTGATGTTTTTCGTTAAAATACTGAATTGCAACATGTTGATACAAACCTAAGCTGTGCAACTTAATTCCCTCAGGAAATAAGTAGTATTTCTAACCTGCATCCTGCAATATATGTGTTTATTTTTCATTACGTTGCTAGGTTACGCCGCATAATCAGAAAGGTTTTTATCTGATATCAATAAATGAGAAAACATGTGGTAAAAAATGGTCACATCCTATAATTTAAATCCCGATTCCCCTTGGTTTAAACTACTGAATGTGTCTTTTGTCCTCATTACAACATGTTAATATGAATGTATGCTGTACATTGGAACTATTCAAGGAAATAAGGAGTGTTTTGAATGTGCAGCTTACATTATATGTGCTTACTTTTTCATTTTGACCTCACTTAACTGTAACTTTTCTGTTCCTTCTTGCAGTGTTCTGCCCCCCTGTGATTGGGCCGTTCCTCAGTCCTCCAGACTGAAATACAGACAGCTCTTTAACTCCCATGATAAGATGATGAGTGGACACCTCACAGGTACACGCACACAAACACACACACACACACACACACACACACACACACACACACACACACACACACACACACACACACACACACACACACACACACACACACACACACACACACACACACACACACCCAGTCACACAGTCACACACACAGTCACCCACACAGACAGTCACACACACACAGACAGTCACACGCACACAGTCACACACAGTCACACACCCACACACACACACACACACACACACAGTCACACACAAACACAGTCACACAGTCACACACAAACACAGTCACACAGTCACACACAAACACAGTCACACACACACACACACACACACACACACAGTCACACACAGTCACACACAGTCACACACACAGTCACACACACACACACACATTCACACACAGTCACACACAGTAACACACACACACAGTAACACACAAACACAGTCACACACACACACACACACAGAGAAACACAGTCACACACACACACACGCACACACACACGCACACAGACACACACACACACACACACACACACACACACACACACACAGACACACAGTCACACACACACAGACACACACACAGTCACACACACACAGTCACACACAGACACACACACAGTAACACACAAACACAGTCACACACACACACACACACACACACACACACGCACACACACAGTCACACACACAGACACACACACACAGTCACACACAGTCACACACACAGTCACACACACAGACACACACACACACACACACAGTAACACACACAGTAACACACAAACACAGTCACACACATACACACACACACACAGACACACACACACACAGTCGCACACACACACACACACACACACAGTCGCACACACACACACAGTAACACACACACACAGTCGCACACACACAGTCACACACACACACACACACGCACACACACAGTCGCACACACACACACACACACAGTCGCACACACACAGTCACACACAGACACACACACACACAGTAACACACAAACACAGTCACACACACACACAGAAACACAGTCACACACACACACACACACAGTCGCACACACACACAGACACACAGTCGCACACACACAGTAACACACAAACACAGTCACACACACACAAACACACACACACACACACACACACAGTCGCACACACACAGTCACACACAGACACACACACACAGTCACACACACACACACAGAAACACAGTCACACACACACAGAAACAGTCACACACACACACACACACACACACACACACACACACACACAGTCGCACACACACAGACACACACACACACAGTAACACACACACACACACACACACACACACACACACACACACACACACACACACACACACACACACACTTACGTCATCACTTCCTCTAATATTCCTCTCATGTTTTCTGGTTTAAATGTTCTCTCTCTCAGGTCCTCAGGCTCGCACCATCCTGATGCAGTCCAGTCTTCCTCAGGGCCAGCTGGCCACCATATGGTCAGAACATTAAAATCAACCCTTTCATCTTCATCCAATGAAACTTAAAAGACATTATTCCTTAAAATACTTCCTTTCTATCCTGTAGGAGTCTCTCAGACATCGACCAGGATGGAAAGCTGACGGCTGAGGAGTTTATTCTAGCCATGCACCTCATAGATATGGCCATGTCAGGGTTACCGTTACCGCCTGTGTTACCTCCAGATTACCTCCCCCCCACATTCAGGTAAACACTCTTTAATTAACTGTATGTTGGATATGTGCATAGATTACATTTGTATAGCGCCTTTCAAGAGACCCAAGGCTGCTTTACATGGTGAACAAACAAACAAAAGGGGCAAATAATAAAGTAAAAATTAAATAAATAGCAGTAGGACTGTGATGGGTTCGGGGTCAAAGGCCATGGTGAACAGGTGAGTCTCTAATGATGACTTGAAGATGTCATTGCGGATCTCTGCAGGAAGTGCGTTCTAACATGTCTGTGACAGAGTTTTATGTTAAAGGCACAATGAGCAAGAAACTAGTGTCAATATCGAGCGTAAACAGGGTGTCCGCGGGGTCTTAAAAAGTATTAAAAGTTGATAAATTAGCGAAAATGAAGGCTATTAAAAAGTATTAAACGGCATTTTCCAAGGTATTACATTTTGTTTCCATTAAGTATATAAATTGTCCAAAGAGGTTGTATTCTACAGTCTGCCTGAATGTAATCATTGCGTAGGTGTGTAGTGTGATTCTGTGTAGTTTATTTATGGCATCCCGTTGGATTTGACGTCATCTGAACAGGACATCGCACGCTCACTGCTTGATCGCGCGTGAAGGTCCGTTTACGCCGGTTGTTAAGCAACATCGTTATGGGGAAATGCAAGTCTGCGTCCAAATGGTTGGAAGATCAGGAGGAAGGACAATCAATACTGTATATAGTCAATGTGAGGTAAAGTGTGTCGCCAAGGTAACCGGTTAAAACTCCAAGTGGCGATGAGGTCTTCAAATGTATGGAAAGGGTCTTAAAAAAGGTCTTTAAAGGAATTACATCTGACTTCAGGACTCCTGCATATACCCTGTGTAAATACTGATTTTGCATTGTTTTAATGTTGTGTTTGTGTCTTAAAGGCGAGTGCGTAGTGACAGTTTTCAGTCGGATCAGAAGATGGTCCAGGAGGAGCCGGAGGAGGAGCCGGAGAAGCTTCCAGGTGATTATTCCTGCACATTACGTCATATTACTGTCACACTGGCGCTGCCCTCACTCCTTTGGCTTCATGACCCGACCGTCATCTCTGATTTAAAACAAATGCTAGCAGTATTGAGGCCCCTCAAAACTTTGGCAATTGTTGTTTTTTGCCACCTGTCCCCCTGAAACCTTTCTATTATTATTATTACTACGTGTTGTTTAGCTGATGCTTTTATCCACAGCTACTTACAGACTTACGACTTACTATCGTAGACATGCATTCAGGATTAAAGAGGCCCTATTTTCGGGAACCCAAGGACACTCCTACATGTCGGAGCAGTTTTTCAGTTAGAATCAGTTGTCTATCCACTTTCTATGAACGTTCATATGGAAATAAGCTTCTGGCTGTTTAAGATAAAGCAGAACAGACTAGAGTGCACTTCTAATGCTTAGACAAGGCAGAAATAAAGTCACACATATCAGAGCTATTGTTCATTTTTCTTAACTTAATTTGACTTGCTATCTTTATCTATTTTGACCGGAGAGATTTAGATTTGCCGGTCTTCAGCATATTTTACCGGTCATAGTCCGGTAATTACCGGCTAACGGGAACTCTGACACACGCACACGCACACGCACACACGCAGACGAACACACACACACACGCAGACGAACACACACTCACTCACTCACTCACTCACTCACACACACACACACAGATGAGCGCGCACACACACACACACACACACACACACACACACACAGACAAACACACACACACACAGACAAACACACACACTCACACTCACTCACTCACTCACACTCACAGACACAGACACAGACACACGCACACACACATACACACACAGACAAGCACACACAAACACAGTCACACACAGTCACACACATACACACAGACACTCACTCACTCACTCACTCACAGTCACACACTCACAGTCACACACTCACAGTCACACACTCACAGTCACACACACACAGTCACACACACACAGTCACACACACACACAGATGAGCACACACACACACACACACACACTCACATACACTCACACTGACAGCTACAAGACGTCTTTCTGTTGCGTGCTTACAATGACAATAAAGCGTCTTATATATTTGCTTCTTTGATATCTTCCTCAGTGAGCTTTGAGGATAAGAAAAGGGAGAACTTTGAGCGCGGGAACCTGGAGCTGGAGAAGAGACGCCATGCTCTGCAGGAGCTCCAGAGGAAGGAGCAGGAGAGGCTGGCTGCTCTGGAGAGGGAGGACCAGGACAGGAAGGTGAGATACTGAACATATTCATCTCTCTTTTACACACAGCATGCATCCAACATTTGCATTGGTCACAGCTGATGGATTGTGTGTGAGGCTGTTAAATATTTGCATTCATAATCAGTGGTGTCATTTAAGTAGTACATTAACTCACTTTACTGTCTCTAAGTAAAACATTTAGTTACTGGTACTAGGGCTGCACGATATTGGAAAAAACGGACATTGCGATTTTCTTCCCCTGCGATATGAAAAAATACAGGAATTGAAGAAAAGACAGTGTTTTTTGTCCCAAACCATCCTTTCTTGAACTTTAATGCTATACAATTGGTATTTTTCGAACTATATTTAACCGAATGAAGGATTTTAGTCACGGACGTCTGGATCTTAAAGGAGAGGTGTCATGGCCATTTCCACTGATCATAATTCCATTGTTGAGGTCTACTAGAATAGATTTATATTGTGCATTTTTCCAAACTCACATTGGTTTCTCATACAGCATCTCTGTAAACTACGTGTATTCACTGAATTTCACTCTCTGCCTTTAACGGCTTGTTGTAGCTCCAATAGCTCCAGCCCCCACCCTCCCTGTGAGCACAGTGTGCTCTGATTGGTCGGGACGTTGTGAATCACGCTGAGCTCCGTGGAGGTGTTGTTTCCTTGTTAGCGATACATAGCCAAACACAGCCAAACTCATCCTGAGCACACACAAAGTCACAGCCGAAGTAAAAACAATAAGTGTGGCTTGATATTGAGTAAGAAAAAGGTTGATAAACGCTGTGAGAATGGGTCTGCAGAGAGAATGGGTCTGCAGAGAGAATGGGTCTGCAGAGAGAATTTTGCCGCGATCCCAACTGTCTGTTATCAGCCTGCAGCCAGGGAGGAGAAATCAGCTGAGCTGCCTGCTCCCTGCACACAGATGTGTGTGTGAGGAAGTCCGTGGATTGGTCAATTTGGACCAATCAGCAGGGGCTTAACGTAACGTCTCCACGGATTGGTCCATTTCGTTCCGGGTACGGCATGACATCATGCCGTACCCGGAACGAAATGGAAGAATCAAATGGACAATGACGTATCTCCAACGAGGCGTTTTGGGGAGGTATTTTCTGTGTTAGAGTTTTACTCGCTACAGGGTGTACTTTGAGGGTTTTGACTCTGCACACCGTTTACATGCATAAAAACCTTCATAACACACAAGGGGACGGGTAATAACCGGAAAAGCATGACACCTCTCCTTTAAGTTATCAGAGCAACAAGCTGAGCTAGCTCAGTTAGCAGCGCCGAACTGCCCTGGAGAAACACATGAAACTACTTTATTCAGTGCTTTTACCTTTAAATCACCGGGTCCGTTTGCTTTGGAGATTTGGTTGTGATTGGTGGTTTGCTGTCACTCACTCAAGTACCCCTGACATGAGAGCCGCGCCAGTTTTCCTTTTGTAGCAAGCAGCAAAAGAATTGTAACATGACGTGTTTGAGTTAATTTGCCTACTTAATATCGCAAATCCTAAAAAAATAAAATAAAATAAATTGCGCGTCCTGCGATGTGAATATCGCGCATGCGCATATCGTGATTATCAACACGATATACCAGTGCAGCCCTAACTGGTACGTTTGACATTATGCTACTTTATACTTGTACATTTTGTAGGCAGATGTTGTACTTTTTACTCCACTACATTCATTTAAAAACATTTAGTTACTAGTTACTTTGCAGATTTAGGTAATTGTTACACATTATATTTTAATATAATTACTACTATTACTATATTATAGTTACTCCAGGGAGAATGTCCCTGTAATCGGTAATTGTACGTCGCTTTGGATAAAAGCGTCAGCTAAATGTAATGTAATGTTATAGGTTCAGCTAACCCATAGTGTATAAAGTCCTTTATTTACCCCCAACTTTACCAATTGCAACATAGAAGTGATGAACACATTAATGCAACAATCATCTTTTATAAAATAGTTTAAACATATCTGGTGCTTAAAATGGCTATTTTGCATAACGAATACTTTTACTTTTGGTCGTTAAAGTACTTTTTAGTGCTAATACTTTTACTTAAGTACCATTTTGAATGCAGAACTTTTGCTTGCAGCTGAGTATATATACAAGTGAATAATCTGAGTACTTTCCCACCTCCTCCTATTGTAACAGCCTCACTAACCCACATTGAATCAGTCAGGTATTTATTTGCGTTTACAGCAAGTGTTGAAACTAGGAGGAAATGAAAATGCATCGGAGTGACACGTAAACAAACAAAGAAGCTGTTTGTTTTCTCAGGAGCGCGAGCGCATGGAGCAGGAGAGGAGGCGGCAACACGAACTGGAGAAACAGCTGGATCGACAGAGAGAGATCGAGAGACAAAGAGAGGAGGAGAGACGCAAAGAGATCGAGAGGAGAGAGGTACGGAGGAAGAGGACATGGTTTGAATTGAAGAGTTACGGTTGAGTTGACGTTTGCAGACTTGTGATTAAATCTGCTGCAGACAACTCTCACTGCACTCTGTACATCTCACAGTAAAGAGCCTCATTCACACTCCTACAGCAGATGGGAGTGTGTAATGAAGTGTGTAATGTACGGATCATATTTAATGGGAGGAAATATTCAATCCAAATGACCAATACAAATATCCACTTATGTTACAGAACACATACATCTGTTTTTAGAAATCCTCTATTCATCCTGCAGCAGGGACGTTTACGGCAAAGAAACAGTGCAGCTAAAAGGCAAAGTAAAAAGATTAGAATTACATATTTAAATAAAGGGGCAAGCACGTGTTAGTAAGAAATGAAACAAAAAAGGACACCATGGTAAAGGAATAAGCAGCAGTAGTTAAAAACAGTAAGTAAGTATTGAGTGAGCCAGAGACATTAACACAGTGTGTGTGTGTGTGTGTGTGTGGTGTGTGTGTGTGTGTGTGTGTGTGTGTGTGTGTGTGTGTGTGTGTGTGTGTGTGTGTGTGTGTGTGTGTGTGTGTGTGTGTGTGTGTGTGTGTGTGTGTGTGTGTGTGTGTGTGACTGTGTGTGACTGTGTGTGACTGTGTGTGACTGTGACTGTGCGACTGTGACTGTGTGCGACTGTGTGTGTGTGTGTGTGTGCAGACTGCTAAGCGTGAGATGGAGCGTCAGCGTCAGTTGGAGTGGGAGCGTCAGCGCCGGCAGGAGCTCCTGACTCAGAGGAACCGCGAGCAGGAGAGCATCGTGCTGCTCAAAGCCAGGAAGAAAACTCTGGAGTTCGAACTGGAGGCGCTGGTAATTCAGACAACACACACACACACACACACACACACACACACACACACACACACACACACACACACACACACACACACACACACACACACACACACACACACACACACACACACACACACACACCACACACTGTACAGAGAAAACAGGGCCTGTTAGTTAAAGTGAGTCTCAATTTGGACGACTGTAAACATGCCACACCGCATGGAAATTATGTCAATCAGGAGTATTTAAAAGTGCTTGACAACAAGAAGAGGAAATGATATGAAAAACCAAACATATTATAATACTGCACAATAAAACCAAGCAATATAACAAAGGAAACATTAAGAGTTTTAGTTTCATTGTACATTTAAGAAAGCTGTTGTTCCAATTCTGGGAATATAATTAAGATTGTTGATTGGTATAAGATGCTGTTGCTTAACACTGTTAGTGTTTTTGCCAACCAACCAAGTCTCTTAAAAGAAAAACAAATATTGGAAAACATGGAAAGGTTTCTTCAAAGAGAACCCTAAAGCAATAAACTAATGCCAACAGGAAAAACTGTCAACAAATTCTGTATTATTAAACCAAGTATTAAAACAAAGGACAACTTAAGAACAATACAACATGGAAACGGAAAAAAAGGCATACAAACAATAGCAAATGTTTTAGTTTAAAAACAATGACATGGAGTGACGGTTCGTTAAAGGCAAAGCTCAATAAATAATGTTTGTTTGTTCAAAATGTTCATAAAGCTGACATCTCTTAGAGCAGGGGTGTCAAACTCAAATACACAGTGGGCCAACATTTTAAAATGGGTACTAGTGGAGGGCCGGACTGGTTCAATGTTTATTGCAGAACTTATTGAAATGAACTTATTGCACATATTAAACCTGGAACTAACAAAGCTTGAATTATTGCCTATAAAAACAACATTAAACATTAAATAATCAGTTGCATTCATTTCTTATGGCTCTATCTGCAGCTTTTCCCGAGTCATTTCTTATGATTACATTTTCCCACAGGCCAACAACAGCTTCAACAAAACTATTTCCCTCAAAGAAAAACCCAAACATGCCCTGTTGTCTCAAGAAAGAAAGTGCAGAAGGAAACATCCATTAAACTCAGTGTGCTGCTCTGTGATGCTAGTTCAAGCCAGATACTTGGCATCTCATCTTGGGTGCAAGGTCATCAATGTTTGGGGTCAGGCTCTGAGCTGAGGAGACCATCAGGATGGAGTGAAGGTGTGCGTGCAATATACCGGCGGGCCAGATCTAATAGTAATTAGAAATTATCCTGCGGGCCGAAATTAAATCCACCACGGGCCGCATTTGGCCCCCGGGCCTTGAGTTTGACACATGTGTGTCTTATGGGGCGTTTCCACTACAGCGCGGAGCACGGTTTAAGAGGGCTGTGACACAGCGGCCCGTCTTTGGTTGCGTTTCCACTTGGCCTAGTACCGGCCGGCGGGTCCTAATTCACAGTTTTTCTGGCCTCATAAAATCGTGGGGCCAGAGACAACGAGGCTGAGTCGGGCTGAGTATGCTAAACTAGAGAGAGCATCGCTGGCAAGGGGGCTACAACTACAACAAGATGGACATATTTGACCGTGATTTAATTGTAATACACGTTTCAAAATGATGCCGAAGTAACAACATACTGATACCGGTTAGTAAAAACCATGAATTAATGCTTTGACAAGTCTGCAGACAGACGGCAGGCGAAAAACCTTTTAAAATGCTTGTTTTCTAAATGGAGATTGGCTAAGCTAACGCAGTATATGCTCCGACCGTCCACACTCACAACAACGGCCTATACAGACATAAATAAAGCAGCGACTGTATTCGCCATGACACAGGCAGTCTGTGGTTTGTACTTGTTTAACTTTTGTCTAGTTTCTGAACAGATATGAGGAGCTGTGAGCTCTGAGTGCTAACAGCTAACGGCTGTGTTGTTTTTCTGGAGTTCTCATTGAAGATGACGTCACGGCTCCGCCTACACTGCGTTACTATAGATACTACCCCAGTTCCTAAACTGTAATGGAAATGCGCCATAAAGTGAGCCAGTCCTAACGAGGCCTAGCCATACCGAGCGAGGCCGTGTAGTGGAAATGCGCCATTAGAGCCTTTGGTACTGAAATCCATAGTTCTGCTGCATAGTTAATAAAGGCTAAGCTGACAATATAAAAATACTGTTTACGCTGAAGATTAGCTCTGCTAGCTTGTACAATACAAAAATGACTGGTTGCAATCTAACAAAGTCACAAGAAAGAAAAGAAAATGACAACAACAATGATAAAAGGGAACATAAGCCAAAAGTAATCAACAACAGGAAGAACAGAACAACTGTAAACAAACCGTTAGTGAAAGCTAATATGTCTGCACATCAGCAGAAACATCATATATATAACTTTCTATCTCCCTGTCCTCTCTCCAGAACGATAAGAAGTCCCAGCTGGAGGGCAAACTGAAGGACGTTCGCTTTCGTCTGTCGGCTCAGCGGAGGGAGGTGGAGCAGACCAATCAGACGAGAGAAACACGCATCGCTGAGATCACACTGCTACAACAGCAGCTGCAGGTACACACAGCAGATGTCAACAAAAGGCAAAATGTCCTTTTAATATCTGCTACATCAGCAGAAGATCTACATGCTTAAAAACTGGATGTTCCTCATGTATACAATAGGGTTGTTGAACATCTCACTATTGATCTTCAATCTCAGGATCCATGTATTTGTGATCCTCTCCAGAATGGAAGTAGTCATCACATACAGAGCATCAACTAGTTCCTGAACAGTGTTCTTCACATGCTGATATCCAAGAGAGGGAGTTACACAGTCACAAGATGGAGGAATATCGGTTCTTGTAGGAAATCATACATCCTGTCATGTACAAAAGACTGTTTGTTCTCAAAATGTTGGCTTTTTTGTGAAAATCCCAAAAAATCTGACTTACTCAAATTTCGGATTTTTACGCAAAATTTGGAAGTAGTCATCACATACAGAGCATTTGGTACAACTAGTTCCTGAACAGTGTCCTTCACATGCTGATATCCAAGAGAGGGGGTGTTTCTCAATCGCGAGTACGCTTGCTTGGTAGCACATGTCTGCCGAGCATCTTGCTTCAGAAGCGAGTCAAGAATACTTCCTGGCATTCGGAAAACGAAGTGTGGAACACGCTAGCAAGTGTGCAGGTGTGCGTCATATGAGCCTTACATCTTCCGCCACAGATTTGGGAAATTGGTCCGTGCGCAAAGCATTGTGGGGATTTTAAGACCGCGGAGTCTACTCACGTGCAGACTCGATATTTCTCCAAACGGAGTACGCCGGGCTCGGTAGATTTCCAAGTATGCTGGACATTGGAACAGTACTTCGGCGGCACTCGATGACGTAGTATGCTTGAAATAGTGGCTCTGAAGCAGCTTTACTCGCGATTGAGAAACACCCCGGGAGTTACACAGTCACAAGATGGAGGAATAGAAAGCAGTATTCAATGTTTACTTCAGATTAGCTCCACGTCAGAAATGATCATGCTTGTCATATGTCTATCTCCATAGAGGCTGAATCATCATGTTCATCACATAGCTATCATATGCCTCAAACAGTCCTGATGCTCTTCTAGGTAATCAGACATCCTGTCATGTACTCAGCTACAGTTGGGATACCTTTGTTATCATGTTACTCTCATATTGGAAGAGGGCATTCAGTATTTTCCCAACATTGACATACTTTTATGTAGTTAAAATCTCTTATTTAATGATTATTTCTGTTGTTTTCCTGTAGGACTCCCAGCAGTGGTTGGGGAGGTTAATTCCTGATAAACAGGGTCTCAACGACCAGCTGAAGCAGGTTCAACAGAACAGTTTGCATCGTGAGTACAACACAAACTAACACACACTTAAAGGCCACATATTCATACTCCTCACATAGAAAGCTGTCTCGATTGGCTGTGTTTACTTGCATAATGACTCAAAACGTTGTGCATCGTACGATATGTCTGACCCTTTGATGTCATAAAGAGTGGGAAGTATTTTGAGCCTACTCTCTGAAAGGGTTCAAATTAAGGCTACAACTTGAACATGTATTATAGAATCATCTGCCATTTTATTTTACTTTAATAAATAAATCCTGTGGTCTGTAAATGTTGTGTTTTGTCAGTCGAAAACACAAATATATTATGTTAAACTTAAAAGGGACCTATCATGCAAAATGCACTTGTTGATGTCTTTTATACATAAGTATGTGTCCCCGGTGTGTCAGGGAACTCACGCAGCTTCAGAAAATAAAACCCTCTCTCTTTTCCTCCGTACCCAAATCTCTAAAAACGGGGCTACAACGGAGCTGATCCAGATTTGCGTCCGATATGACGTAATATCTGAAATGTGGACCCACGGCGCTATCAGAAACGTTGCTATCAGAAACAATGCCCGACTGTTTTGGACGTAATATGGTCGGTGTTTACATTAGCATCGCTAACACTCAGAGCTAACCTGTACTGGAGAGCATGTGTGTGAAGAAGCAGGAAATAAAAAGGAACTCACCTTGTGGTATAACCGGCAAGAGAGAAAGCCTTTGAGCTCCATACTGTTTCAGAGATAATCCTTGATAATCCATGATATGGCGTTTCATCACGGCAGCATTTAGTTTAGACAGTAGCTGCCGGGTCCCGCATGAGCTCAGCCCTCTCCTTTTTTATTTGTTATTTATTTGTTATTTTTTAAAGCTTTATACATAAAATCAGCACTTTTGAAACAGGAAGTGAAATAGAGGGATATGAGGCATGGCTAGAATGGGTGATCTGTTTGGTATTTTGAGCAAAACACTTCATAGACATGTTTTTTTATATATGTTTATATATCTGAGACCTATGCTATTGCCTATAAAGCATGATAGGTGACCTTTTATAAAACAGATGAAAAGAAAGAAATGTACACATTTAATGACATATTTCTATTTTTACGATTATTCGTATAGACGCCTGAGATTTTCTAGCTCTGATTTGAATTCATGATTTTAGTTAGAAGAATTTGGATGTTCAAAAACAAGCTTCTGAGTGCTTTTTTCAACAGTTAAAATTGTGTGTGTGTGTGTGTGTGTGTGTGTGTGTGTGTGTGTGTGTGTGTGTGTGTGTGTGTGTGTGTGTGTGTGTGTGTGTGTGTGTGTGTGTGTGTGTGTGTGTGTGTGTGTGTGTGTGTGTGTGTGTGTGTGTGTGTGTGTGTGTGTGTGTGTGTGTGTGTGTGTGTGTGTGTGTGTGTGTGGTGTGTGTGGTGTGTGTGTGTGTGTGTGTGTGTGTGTGTGTGTGTGTGTGTGTGTGTGTCGCAGGTGACAGCCTGTCGTCGCTGCAGAAGGCGGTGGAGCAGAAGGAGAGCAGCAGACAGCAGCTCAGAGATCAGCTGGACGCCGTGGAGAGAGAGACCCGCGCCAAACTGCTGGAGATAGACGCGTTCAACACCCAGCTGAAGGTAAACAGCTCTCTAACACGATAACACGGCACATAGAGGAGAGGTCAGGTCTGTTCTATTTTAATATAAAGATTAAAACTCCTCATGAACCAAGTATTAAACAAACTAACTTGGCCGAGTTCAGCTGGATGCAATGGACTGATTGACAGACAAGTGAAGTGTTCCAATTAATATTAAGAAGAATTTTATTTTTGAAGAGTTACCCGACAATACGTCATAAAGGTACAAGAGAACAATTTCAAAACGTCCCTACTCTTTAGTTTTGGCTCTCTTTACTTTGATCTTACGGGTGAACTCTTGGTATATCCATAGTTTAAGTCCTTTGAACATTATTCCTAAATCATTCATATGGGAAATCTATTTGGGGGATTTGACTTTTTGAAAATTGGATTCTCAAAGTACAGAAAATTCAATTCAACACGTCCTTCAATCTGAAGCACAGCTGCACATTTCTTTGTTTGTTCACATAACAAAAAACCAAAGGATCATATGCTGTGCTGATCATATAGAAAATACTTATCTGTTGTTCAGTTTGATTCATGGCTGTTGTGCTTTCAACTCACTCAAAATGAATATTCAACAAAACAGAACATTTACAAAGAAACTCCATAAACTTGCTAACCCAGTAAATGTTTTGCATCAGAAAATATTTGATATGTGTAGCTTTAAATCCTGTCCTATCCTTCATCATAACCCATCCTCACGCTAGTTTAACACGTTCATAATGTTATCTGATGTGTCTTACTGTTAATATCTGACCACAATATCTGTGTTTGTATTCACACTGAACAAAAAAAAAACACAACTCTTTAGTTTTTGCTCAAATTTCTAACAGGTTGAAATAAATACTTCACTTTTTCAATGAAATATTGTGCACAAACTGGTTGTGTAAAGACTGCTGCACCCAGTAAGAAAGGAAGGATTGTGTGTGCATAGAAAGAGTCTTTTATTTAAAAATAATTGAGTGAAAACAGAAGTGCTTGTTTTTTTGTTCAGTGTATTTTAATGTGGTACTTCTATGTGTCTATGTGTGTGCCTAATAGGCGCGTTCACACCGGAGTACTTTTACCCGTACTTTTCCCGTTTCGTTCCGATAGTTCCTGGGATTTTGCGTTCACACCAAAAAGAGAACTTAGTTCATGAGAACTTTTCCCCCCTTTTCAGTCCCTGCTTGAGAGGTGGTACTTTCCTGGGGAGAGAAAAGTTCCAATTTCTGATTGGCTGGGCGGATTGCAAACCACGCCCCGTAAAACTCGGAAAGGTTTTGTGAAGCCGCCATTGTATTTGCTGGCATTAGCATTATTAGCATTAGCATTAGCCCCGCGCACCAACGGAGAGAGAATAACTTATGGCAACACAAAAAAAAAACATGGGAGTGATGAGGAGGTGTCGGCGTTCTGGCGATTTACTCTGAAGGCTTCAGTAGAAGCTGCTGGGAGTCCCAGCAGCTTCTACTGAAGCCAGTCCCCAACTCCGGGGACTTCCGGCCGGGGACTTCGGGTGGCAGTATACGCCGTGAAGTGGTTTGCGGCCTGCCAGTAAACCCAAAGCAGAAGAAGAAGAAGTGACGTCAGCGGCTTCATTTGCCTAATCCTCCCTCAGGGAATTTATTCCGGTGTGAACGTGATCTGCTCTTTAGTTCCATGGGGGTAGCCTACTAAGTGCTGGGAACTAAGTGCTGGGAACTACGTGCGGCAAAGTACTTGGTGTGAAAGCGGTTTGTTGCTGTGTTTTTGGAGAGAGCTAGCTGTGCACAGGAACTCACTGAGGAAGGTTTTATTCCTTAAAGCGTTGCATCACAGCGGTTTGTTTATGTTTCCTGTACCACATTGTGTCCTGTTCTGTCTCTAGAGTCAGGTCAGAGAGAGGAGTATTAATCCTGTGGTCTGTTACTACAACAAGGAGGAGGAGGAGGAGGAGGAGGATAAAGGAGCAGAGACAAAACAGACCTCAATAAATAGATGGCTTATCTAATAAAGATGGATCCCAGTCTTCTTCCGTATGAAAGTAATTAGAGTAAGCAGCAAAAAGCCTTCAAGCAACACACAAAGTCCTCCCTCACTGGTTACAAGACAGATTACATATTCTTTCTTTAAAGGTGGGGTATGTAAGTTTGGAGAAACCGGCTCGAGATCGCTAGAATTTGAAAATACACAACCGGAGAAAATCTGCCACTTCCTTACAGAGCCCCTCGTCCAACACACACGAACGCGCACATGACCAATGAGGGCACGAGATAAGTTTGTGCCCCGATGGAAGGCTGACAGGCAGGTAGGCCATCCAGTTATTTTAGCCGGGCCGGCTCAGATGATTGGTCGTGCTTTTTACAGTACTACGGCTTCCACAGATGACATTTTTGTATGGATTTGTTGTCAAAGCACTTCAGATATTCATTGCTATCGGGGTGTTAAGAGCATTCCATGGAATATAACAAAAAGTGTATCTCGAGCCGGTTTCTCAAACTTACCTACCCCACCTTTAATACCACAATTTTTGTTAATATGGATATCATTGGACGATGCTGAGCTTGTGTTTCTGTTCTTAATGATGTCATATGATCGTGTCGTCAGGCAGTGTCCAAAAGAGTCTAATTACGTTGTGCCAGTAAGATGCTGGACGTCTGTAAATATGGATCGAAACCAGTTTTTGACCGTTTAATTGAATCGGGAAAATGCAGTGTCATTGCATATGGTCTCCTTTTGAATCATCAAGTCAGTGGTGGATCAGTCGAGATGCGATTTTGATGCTTTAATTTTCTTTACTAGTTTTACCTGCAAGTTTATTTGTTCTCCATAAAGATAATTGTTATTTTATGTAGTCAGAACTACGATTTCCTTGCATAGGAACTTGGTTCATTGGATAAACGTCCACGACAGGTGTGATCTCTGCAAAGCAAGCTATAGTCCACAGAGATGTGAACATTGTATTTACGTTTCTGCCGTCCACCTTCCTCTCCACAAAATCTCTTCTGTCCTCTTTACCCACTGGGACTCTTTCCCAATGCTTTTTCTACTCGCTGTCCTTCTCCTGCTTTGAGTTTCCTTCCTGCTTCTTCTTCACCCTTTATCATATGCTTTGTTTAATCCTCACAATTAAACCCTTTCCTTTCTTTATTTTCTACCCCTTTTTTCATTGGCCTTCTGCCAGTCTCTGTGTGAGTTCTATGCCAACCACTGTTCGAGGATAGAGGCCCTGCGACGCCAGCTTCAGGACGAACAGAGAGGCAGACAGGTAGAGATGCTGCCACCGCTGGACTGGGGTGGTACTGCAGCTGGGATACTCTGTACTGTTAACTAACAATAGAGTGGTGCAGGAATGAGTCCTAAAGAAACCCAAAACAAATCAGCATTTCCAGTTCTCTCGTCTGGAAGTCAATGGTTTTGAAAAGTGTTCAAGTCTGAAATAAGATCTGTGGTTAACACAAGCTGAAGAGATTTGTATTCTACGACATAAAATACGCTCACAAGTGTCTAAACAAGATGTACAATAAACACTTTATTTCTTTACAATATATTTACAACTTGTTAACGTTACCGGCTCCTTTGACACTTTTTTACAGTTTAAAATACTGCTACTTATTTTTACCATTTGTCTTTTCTTATAATTTTTTACTAACGTGTACCTAACTTTTTATTTATCTATAAATATACGTTTTTTCTATTTTATCTGCACTTTACCTTTTCTGCTGTAACGCTGTAAACTTCCCTGCTTTATATGATTTTAATATGTTGTTAATATGTGGAGATTATCCTGCTGAACAAAACGTGTAAATATCATAAACGTGTGTTTGCCACAGATCTTATTTTCTGCAGTAGTCCAACATCGAATGGAAAACCCCATTGGCTTTTTGTCGAGGGAGTGCTTGTGATGATACACAAGTCCATTATCACTGCACCACTCTACATAAAATATCCTAATATCAAGATCAGCTGATTTTGCATTTGAATTCGACTACCTCTTCCTAAAGCACACAACGGCACCAGACTACTTATGGTGCATTTCCACTGCAGGGCCTCGCTCGGCTTAGTAAGGTATGGCTCGGCCTTGTTATGCCAGGCTCACTTTATGCTGCGTTTCCATTACAGTTTAGTAGCTGGGGTAGTAACTATAGTAACGCAGTGTAGGCGGAGCCGTGACGTCATCTTCAATGCGAAACACAAAACCAACATCAGCCGTTAGCTGTTAGCCCTCAGAGCTCACAGCTCCTCATATATGTTCAGAAACTAGACAAAAGTTAAACAAGTACACACCACAGACTGCCTGTGTCATGGTGAATACAGTCGCTGCTTTATTTATGTCTGTATAGGCCGTTGTTGTGAGTGTGGACGGTCGGAGCATATACTGCGTTAGCTTAGCCAATCTCCATTCAGAAAACACGCATTTTAAAAGGTTTTTCCCCTGCCGTCTGTCTGCAGACTTGTCAAAGCAGTAATTCATGGTTTTTACTAACCGGTATCAGTATGTTGTTACTTCGGCATCATTTTGAAACGTGTATTACAATTAAATCACGGTCAAATATGTTCATCTTGTTGTAGTTGTAGCCCCCTTGCCAGCAATTCTCTCTCTAGTTTAGCATACTCAGCCCGGTTGTTGGCCCGGAAAGAACCTGGATTTTGGAGAGCCAGAAAAACTGAAACAATACCCGCTAGCCGGAACTACCCCTAGTGGAAACACAACCAAAAGCGGGCCGGGTTTGGCACGGCACGCTTAAACCGTGCTCCGCGCTGCAGTGGAAATGCGCCATAAGTGTTTTTAGTCAAAGGCTTCTTTAACACCGACAAACCAGACTTTTAAACGGCCATGGTTTTTGCAGACATCTCCTCATGTTGTGCAGTGTGCTGCCCCTCTCCCAGACAGACACATGTTTTCCCAGCCAGTTGAAGCTTGATCGTAAAGCTGTGAATGGTTTGATTACTGAAATGCACTCATGTACTGATTTCAGTGTGCTGTTGTTTTTCCTAATCTCACGAATCGGCAAAAGAAGCACTTAATACACTCGAATCCAGAGGAAATGTATGCAAAATTCAACATGTGTGCAACATTAGTTAATGAATAACTTATACACTAGTTGTATTAGACAGGTGCTTGCATCTTAATTAATAATATATGGAAAAACTTCGTTAGCCTACGTATTTTTGGACGCCTTTATGCTGCAATTTCCCCAATGATGAATAAAGAATTTCCTATTCCAATAAAAACAGGGAGGAAACAAATATTAGTCGCATGACGAAATACCTAAATATTTATTTACCAGATTATTAGTTTCTTTAGAAATGGAGGATATATGCAGTTATAAAGTGACCTAAAAACCTAGCAAACAAATCAATTCAGGATTTCCGATTCTGATAAAAACAGGGAGGAACTGAATATATTTTGCCATCTATTTACCAGATGTTTAAACAACAGACTGTAGTCATTAATGTGGAGGAAATGTGGTTGTGTCCGCAATATATATCTAACCTAACAACCTACTAAACACATCAAAACACTAACTTAACTTCCAACTCTTTTCTAATAGAGCCAGGTCAGTGAAAGATATCTGCTCAGGCTTTTTGCACACGGCACTAAACGTAATGATAACTGGGCTGTTGCCACCTTCAGTCTGTTTTTTATAACAACCTGACAGTAGTAACTGCAGATTACTCATCAGGGTGAGTCACAAGAGCCTCTCCTCGCATGAGTCAGGCCTTTTGTTGGTTTAATCTCTAGTGAGAGAAAACTGTCAGGGATTCAAATATTTTTTCAGGTAACTGGAGAGCAGTTTTAAATCAATTGGGATAATGAAAGCAAATATAAAATGTTCCTAAAGGTATACTGGATCATTTATAGGTCTTAAACTGAAATTCAGAGTAAGATTAGACACATGTTAACACAAAAACCTAACGTCTGTAAGTCTAATATTAGGATTTATACAGTCATATATTAATTTATTTACATTTAACAAACATATATATGACATTATATTAACACAGGTCACTTACAAGAAGAATTGTCTAATATTTTTACTTCAGAAAAACATCAGGAAGTTCAGATTAACTCCAAAACAACTCCTTTAATTCCTTAATGCGTGGATATGTTTTGAAGCATTACCTGTCTGTGAGTGTGTGTCCGTGTCTACAGTACGATTGAGTCTATGTGTGTGTGTGTGTGTGTTCGTTTCAGTGCCAGGAGCAGGGGCAGATACAGGAGTGTGTGTCAGCCGTCAGGGTCTGTCTGGCTCGGCTAGACTACGTTATAAAGGTCTTCACAACTCCCTTCCCCTCCCTTCTTCTTCTCTTTATTTTATTTTCATATCCGCCCATGTCTCTTCATCCTCATCTCTTTCTCAAATCTTATTTTCTTTGACACTTTTTTCTAATCCCTTCATCTCTAATATTCTACCTTCTCTGTCCCCCTTCTTTTTAGCGCCCCTTATTTCCACTAATTAGCCAGTTAGCTAACAATGCTCCAATAGTTGACGCTGTGCGAAGTTGTAATGCTAAACTAGCGGTCTTGTACGGTGGCCCTGAGGGTCAAACGATGTCAAAACACATGTTTGAAAGCACAAAAAGTATTACTATTTGTGTTTTGACCCTCAGGGCCACCATAGTCTTGCTAGATTAGTAGGTGTACTAGATTAGGTGACTTTATGCTACTACTACACTGTGAGGTAATGCTACTTCCTGTGTGCTACCAGACGATGTTTCAGCCAGACAAGCTAGTAAACATTTGAGAGGCTAACATGCTGATGAACTAGAAACTGTGTGTGTGTGTGTGTGTGTGTGTGTGTGTGTGTGTGTGTGTGTGTGTGTGTGTGTGTGTGTGGTGTGTGTGTGTGTGTGTGTGTGTGTGTGTGTGTGTGTGTGTGTGTGTGTGTGGTGTGTGTGTGTGTGTGTGTGTGTGTGTGTGGTGTGTGTGTGTGTGTGTGTGTGTGTGTGTGTGTGTGTGTGTGTGTGTGTGTGTGTGTGTGTGTGTGTGTGTGTGTGTGTGTGGTGTGTGTGTGTGTGTGTGGAGGCAAAGTCCCTTTCTTTCTGATGTCACATATGGGACTTTTTTAGGGGGAATGCATAGTTTTCTCCTTAAAATGTATTTAAAAAGTCCTTTGGCAGGTCAAGAAAGTCGCACTTTATCGTGGTACCATTTAGTTGTGTGTGAAAAAACGTAAACATAAATGTGTACTTATATTGTATTCTCTTTTATTAACGTGTACTTTCCCACTATAATTGAATATGTTAGTTAGTTACTTTTTATGGCACAGTAGTGAAGTCAATTGACCCACAAATAAAGGATTTATGACTTCAAAGAAATACCCGTTTAATCATCAAAGGTTCATGGCACGATTTAAAACAGGATCCAAAGATAATAGTTATTCGTTATCTCCCGCACTTATTTATTCCAAAATAATATCCCCATGTGTCTCAACATTAGGGGAGGGTCTTTGTCTCTCATGTTGTCTCATGTCCTCCACTTCCTGTCTCTCCAGAGTTGTAGTTTTATATCCTCCGTCCGACCAAAACGTTGGTTGTTTTGGCTGAAACACAAAACAGCTGCCTTGTCGCTATAGTAACAGAGTGTGTTCTAATGGCACAGCTGGTTGTCATGACTCCACAGAACTGCATCTCCCCCCTGTTTTGTCCCGCCCTCTTTGTGCAAGCTCCGCCCCCCCTCCAACATCCAACATTGTTGTTGTTTCCACTATCTTCCTGTGCAATTTATTTTCTATTTTGTTGTCTCTTGAACTTAATGGGTAGTTTCCTTGTCACCCTTTTAGCCACACAGCCAGGATTCCTAGTTCGACAGCAAGAGCAATGAGGTGCTCTTTAGTGTTTTCTTAAAGTGACGCAGTTAATAGGATGTTCTTTTATTTTAATCTTAATTAGTGATGTCCTTGTTAGCCTTTGCTACACCGCAGAAAATTGACCAAAAACAAAACCATTAAAGTATATTTTTACTCATATCTTCAATCGCTAATGGCACAAATTCAATATTTGTTTTTCATATGTTAATCGATTGATTTAGGATTTAAACTACAGTATTTAAAGAGGACCTATCATGCAAAATGCACTTTTGTACGTCTTTTATACATGAATATGTGTCCCCGGTGTTCCAGGGAACTCACCAAGTGTCAGAAAACACAACCCTCTCTATTTTCCCTTCCTCATACCCAAATCTCTAAAAAAGGGGCTGCAACGGATCTGATAAAAACTGATCCAGATTTGAACACTGTCCTGACGTCAGGACGGTGGCGCTACGGCTATTGGGGCCAACTCCACCAATCAGGAGGAGACAGCCACGGCCATTGCCATTCGAAAGCGCTGGAGACGCTGTAGTACATATGCCAGGCCTGTAGGTGGTGCTGTTCTCACAGAATCAACCCTTGCTAAAACAGTGCTAGAAATGGTCAAATTGAGCGAAATGAGGCATGGCTAAAATGCATGATCTGTTTGGTATTTTGAAAAAAAAAAAGTATAAATACGCCTTATATAGGTATGGTCCTACACTATATTATTCAAATATAGCATGATAGGTTCACTTTAAGCAAAATACTGAATTGTTTTTATTAAAGCATGTCCTTTTTTCTTTAAGAGCTTGATCACATATCACAATATACCCCAAAATGACTCACTACATGTCTTAATATAAAGTTTCCTGTCTCCTTCTGTTGACCTTCTGATTTGCAGGATCTCAAGCAGCAGCGAGGATTTCTAGCTCAAAAGGAATAAGCTGCTCGTTTAGATTTGTTAAAATTCAATTAATTTCCATGGTTACCAGGGAGATTTCATGACCTCAGTGACACAGTTAAAGGGGCGGGGCTTGCCTTGATCACCTGACTAACCCATACCGCTGCTGCTGCTGCTGCTGTTGTTGTTGTTTGTGGTCGATGGTAACCCGTAGCAATCAGCCCTTTTGATCTCCCACCTCCTCCTCACCGCTGTTCCTTTCCTGTTTCCCATGATGCTTTGCAGGAGCTGCGGGAGATCCACAGTCGGCAGCAGAGGCAGAAACAGAGGGATCTGGACGGAGACACACACTCACTGACACACACACACTCTCACCTACACACACCCATCGAGAGGAAGTCTGCCGATCTGCAGGATGGCAGGTAATGGAGTTCACAATGAGAGGCTTTTAATGGGTACAAGCTAGGCATGGGATGATATCAACAGTTACTTTATCACTTTATTTTATTCTATTTGTCTTTATTTGTACCTTGTGTGAAGCCTGTTTTTAACGCTGACCCTGTTGCTGCTATAAACACCTGAATTTCCCCATGTGGATACATCAAGTTCCATCTTCTCTTTTCTTTATATACAGTTTTTTATTATACTACATTATTATCCCAATAATCATCAATATATGCCTACAACTTTTTAAATGGCATTACAAAACACTTGAATCACTTTTACTTACTACTAAAATAGGATACGTATTAATCCTAAAGCATCCCTACATAGTTGTTAAGCCCTGAGCCTGTTTTTCAGGCCTCAGGCTCGAAAATGACATTCCCAGAACAAATGACTATAACTTCACTTCTAAAAGGGGTAAATTAATAATCTTTTTTCTCAAAGCAATGATAAACCTGTGAGTTGGATGTAGAAAAGTCAGAATCAATATAGATGTTTTTATTTTAAAGAAAATTCAGATTGAACATAGTAAGAAAATGTAAATGATTGTGTCCGTCCAAAAACAAAAACATTACTTATAGTGAAAACCACCCTTGAATGATGGGATAGTAGACTAAAAGCTTTAGGAATCCAAACTATAACATATAATAAGTACCCTGTATCAAGATTGATGCAAAACAAGTGACATTTGACCTTTTTAGAGAGATTTAGAAAAAAAAAACCCACCTCTGGGGTCATTTGGGTGCATTTGCCGTTTCTCTGGAACCCATTGGTCACTTTTGAACCGTTAGAGCCAATAGACTCGAGGGGAAGTTCCTAAATCCACCTACACGTTACCATTGAGAAGTGAGAGTGATACGCACGCAGTTTGCCCAAACTGAAAGCTACGTTACTCTCTGGAAACTGAAAACTAGGCGTATTGATCATAACTATGATGATGGATTATTAATAATCATTTCAAAGTGACACAGAGACATTGGATTAACCTTCAGCAGCATTTTAAAGTGATTATTATTGCAATCTGCTTAGAAATCACAAATGTTGTCCCTTTTCCAAGTTATCACATTAGTACGAACAGTGTAATCTCTTGTATTCTACCTCAACATGTTATCCATGGCATGAAAATAAGAGTTTGTTTGATAAATCAGTTCACATTCCTGTCTCTTTTCTCACCAGGTTGTCAGCAGAGGAGGGCATGTCCTGGAGGGAAGAAGCAGGAAGTTCTGCGTCCAATAATCCCACCCCCCCCCTCCGTCTCTGCACCCCACGCCTGGCTCAACAGAGTCACTCTGGAGGAGGAGGAGAGGAAGAGGAGGGGCATGATGGAGGCGGAGGAGGAAGAGGAGGAGGAGGAGGAGGAAGAGGATCAGAAGGGAGCAGCAGGGTCTTCAGAGGAGAAGGAGGACGAGGGGAGAGGGAAGATGGAGATGCAGGAGAAGCTGAGCAAACTGTTCAGCAGCCAGCCGGGGGATCCATGGGGGCCAGCAGGTGGGCTACTACATATAATGTGTGCATTAAATATATAACAAGTGCTGTTACAGTGTGTGCAATAAATACGATACGATAACACTTTAATGGTCAGATCAAGTCTGAAATGCTCCTTGCATCACAGCAGCTCCATGTGTAACATCAACAGACACATATCAAGACATGAACAACAAACATTGAACATAACGTCAGCGTGCATCTGATCTGCATTCAGCTCTGTGTTTACTGAGAGGATGGACTGGAGCACAAAGGATGCTTCAGGCTGACTTGAGATCATTAGTGCTTTTACACTTCATGCATTAACCCTAGCACAAGTAGAGGGTTTGACAGTTGTATAAGGAACCAAAGGATTGTATCTACATCCTTACTTAATTCCAAAGTTCCCGCAGAGTTTAGGCAATAATTAAAAACCTGTAGGACACATTTAGAGGCAAGAATCGGATCGGAAGTACAACTCTTCTGGGTTTTAGATGATCGGTATGTGTGCAAAATCTTCTAAACCTTACAGTAAGAATCTAATTCCAGCACACTTTCCTCAAAATATATTCAATACGTTTCTGAATTTAGTTGCTAAAAAACATACAGACTCCTCAAGAACACGAAGCATTATGTCACGCTTGTTTTGGTTTCAAATAAAAAGACAGCCTAGAGTCTATAAATACTCCATTACGTAAAGTAAAAGTCCTGAATTCTCAATGTAACTTAAAATAAATGTTATACTCAAGAACAAGTATGAGAAAAATGTACTTGAATTAATTGATTTAGTTACACCTACCTCTTGTCCGGCAGTGGCTCAGTCAGTAGGGGCTTGGACTGTGAGCCGTAGGGTCGCCGGTTCAAGTCCCCGAACAGACCTAAATATGGAGTGTGGGACTGCTACTTGGAGAGGTCCCAGTTCACCTCCTGCCCTGCCGTGGTGCCCTTGAGCAAGGCACCGGACAACCCCCTTCCCCCCTCACTCCCATTGCTCCCCGGGCGCTGTACAATAGCTGCCCACTGCTCCTGGTGCTAGACTCCTGGTGCTAGACTCCTGGTGCTAGACTCCTAGTACTAGACTCCTAGTGCTAGACTCCTGGTGCTAGACTCCTGGTGCTAGACTCCTGGTGCTAGACTCCTAGTGCTAGACTCCTGGTGCTAGACTCCTAGTACTAGACTCCTAGTGCTAGACTCCTGGTGCTAGACTCCTGGTGCTAGACTCCTGGTGCTAGACTCCTAGTACTAGACTCCTGGTGCTAGACTCCTAGTGCTAGACTCCTAGTGCTAGACTCCTAGTGCTAGACTCCTGGTGCTAGACTCCTGGTGCTAGACTCCTAGTACTAGACTCCTAGTACTAGACTCCTGGTGCAAGACTCCTAGTGCTAGACTCCTGGTGCTAGACTCCTAGTACTAGACTCCTGGTGCTAGACTCCTAGTACTAGACTCCTAGTGCTAGACTCCTAGTGCTAGACTCCTGGTGCTAGACTCCTAGTACTAGACTCCTAGTGCTAGACTCCTAGTGCTAGACTCCTGGTGCTAGACTCCTAGTACTAGACTCCTAGTGCTAGACTCCTGGTGCTAGACTCCTGGTGCTAGACTCCTAGTACTAGACTCCTAGTACTAGACTCCTGGTGCTAGACTCCTGGTGCTAGACTCCTGGTGCTCGACTCCTAGTACTAGACTCCTGGTGCTAGACTCCTAGTGCTAGACTCCTGGTGCTAGACTCCAGGTGCTAGACTCCTAGTGCTAGACTCCTGGTGCTAGACTCCTGGTGCTAGACTCCTGGTGCTAGACTCCTGGTGCTAGACTCCTAGTACTAGACTCCTAGTACTAGACTCCTGGTGCTAGACTCCTAGTGCTAGACTCCTGGTGCTAGACTCCTGGTGCTAGACTCCTGGTGCTAGACTCCTGGTTCTAGACTCCTGGTGCTAGTCTCCTGGTGCTAGACTCCTGGTGCTAGACTCCTGGTGCTAGACTCCTTGTACTAGACTCCTGGTGCTAGACTCCTGGAGTGGAGTGCACCAGCTGGGTGTAAAAAAGTAGGTCTTAACTCTAACGTCGGGCTTAGCTACGTCCGACTTAGTGATTAGAATTTACACCGAGTGCACCAAACCTGACTAGTCTCGGTCGTAGCTGCGCGTCCACGTGAATACACGCGAAACAGTAATTGTTGCCAAGCAACACACGTCTATATAATTTTGGACCGCAGAGAAGAGGGAATTCCCACACTCACAGCGTCAGCGATGACTCAAGAGGAATCCCAAATGGCCACACCCCGAAAGAGAAAGAGGGATTTGTCAGAGCTACAGCGGGAACTGACGGAGAAAGAAATCGTTCGTGTGGAGCTGGAGACCGTACAATTGAGACTCCAAATTATAATTCTTAATAATCAAATAATCACTGAAGAAGACAATGTGTTCACCATTCTGTAATCATATCTGTTGTACTTGTTTTTTTATCTCAATTTCATGTTAACAGTTCTCCAAAATGTTGTTATTTAATGTTCTTGTGTGTGTTCTTTGAATAAAATAGACCTAATGAAAATATGTGGTCACAATGGGAGCTTATTGAAATGCAATTGCAAAAAAACAGCGTTCATATTACAAATATATAAGTCTATAGGTTGTTTATTATATGATAGGTCTATAGGTTGTTTATTATATGATTGCGGGTAAGTCGTCCACCGATATCTTCACGGATGCCAGCAGGAGCCACAGGGTTCTCATCCGCCTCCAGTACCAAGTCTCCTTGCATCGGAAGGGGGATTCTCTTTTTCACACAGATGATGTGCAGCACCGCAGTGGCAGCAATGATCACGCAGACGCGCTCAGGGTGCATTCTCATTTCACTGTGGAGGCAGTGAAACCTACACAAAAAAGCAAAAAACAATTTAGCCTATATCTACATTAAAAGGCTGGCCTTTTATATATTATAAAAATGACTTACTAACCTACGTTTGAGCACTCCAATGCAGCGCTCTACAATGTTCCTCGTTTGTGTATGCTTCTCGTTATAGCGGCGCTCTTGTGCAGTTCTCTCTGCGATGACAGGTGTCATTAGCCAGCGCTTCAGAGGGTATCCACTGTCTCCGAGAAGAAGACCATTCACTCTCCCTGCCTCAAATTCCCGTTGAAGGGCGCTCTCTCAGGATGCGAGCATCATGGGTCGACCCAGGCCATCTTGCAACGAGGTCGACAATGCCCATGTCCGAGTTGCACACAATTTGAACATTTATAGAATGGTAACCCTTTCTGTTAACATACAAATACTCATGTTTAGAGGGGGCCTGAATGCGAACATGAGTACCGTCGATGCATCCGACAATACCAGGTATACCGGATTTTAACAAAAAATCTTGCCTGCATTTCGCTGATTCTTCTTGTGTGGGTAGGTGAATATAGTTCCTAAGGCGGCGCTGGAGGGCCAATGAAACTTGTCTTATAGCCCGACATGCAGTTGTGCGATGAACATTAATCATGTCTCCCACAGTATTTTGAAAGGCCCCGTTCGCGTAGAATCTGAGCGCTATCAGTACCTGCAAGGTTGGGGAGAGCGCAGCGTTTCGGTCTGATCCGTGCTGGAGTTGAGGGGAGATCTCCTCGATTAAATCAAAAAGGGCTTGTCTGCCGAAACGAAACCTCTCTATCAGTTCACTGTCTGAATAGATGTCCAGTGGGTTTGTTCGATCACGGACGACTCTTTCTCTTCTTAATGCCCTTTCATTGTTAAACCTGTAAACAAGACGCCCTGCCATCATTAATATCCTTCTTGCCTGTTTTACGTTACTATGGATACTAGTCTGTCTTTCTGATTTACGCCTGCTCCATACTAGGCGTAAAAGTTACGCCCGGGCGCAACGCACACAGGGCTTAAGTCTAAGTGGTGCACTAGTCATAACTTTAGTTTGGTCTTAACCTTCGGTTCTACGTCGGACGTAGAGTTACAACCAGCTTACGCCCAGCTGGTGCACTCCACTCCTGGTGCTAGACTCCTAGTACTAGACTCCTGGTGCTAGACTCCTGGTGCTAGACTCCTAGTACTAGACTCCTGGTGCTAGATTCCTGGTGCTAGACTCCTGGTGCTAGACTCCTAGTACTAGACTCCTGGTGCTAGACTCCTGGTGCTAGACTCCTAGTACTAGACTCCTGGTGCTAGACTCCTGGTGCTAGACTCCTGGTGCTAGACTCCTGGTGCTAGACTCCTAGTACTAGACTCCTGGTGCTAGACTCCTGGTGCTAGACTCCTGGTGCTAGACTCCTAGTACTAGACTCCTGGTGCTAGACTCCTAGTGCTAGAACTCCTGGTGCTAGACTCCTGGTGCTAGACTCCTAGTACTAGACTCCTGGTGCTAGACTCCTGGTGCTAGACTCCTAGTACTAGACTCCTGGTGCTAGACTCCTAGTACTAGACTCCTGGTGCTAGACTCCTGGTGCTAGACTCCTAGTACTAGACTCCTGGTGCTAGACTCCTAGTACTAGACTCCTAGTACTAGACTCCTGGTGCTCGACTCCTGGTGCTAGACTCCTGGTGCTAGACTCCTAGTACTAGACTCCTGGTGCTAGACTCCTAGTACTAGACTCCTGGTGCTAGACTCCTGGTGCTCGACTCCTGGTGCTAGACTCCTGGTGCTAGACTCCTAGTACTAGACTCCTGGTGCTAGACTCCTGGTGCTCGACTCCCTGGTGCTAGACTCCTGGTGCTCGACTCCTGGTGCTAGACTCCTGGTGCTAGACTCCTAGTACTAGACTCCTGGTGCTAGACTCCTGGTGCTCGACTCCTGGTGCTAGACTCCTGGTGCTCGACTCCTGGTGCTAGACTCCTGGTGCTAGACTCCTGGTGCTAGACTCCTAGTACTAGACTCCTGGTGCTAGACTCCTAGTACTAGACTCCTAGTACTAGACTCCTGGTGCTAGACTCCTAGTGCTAGACTCCTGGTGCTCGACTCCTGGTGCTCGACTCCTGGTGCTAGACTCCTGGTGCGAGACTCCTGGTGCTAGACTCCTGGTGCTCGACTCCTGGTGCTAGACTCCTAGTACTAGACTCCTGGTGCTAGACTCCTGGTGCTAGACTCCTGGTGCTAGACTCCTGGTGCTAGACTCCTTGTACTAGACTCCTGCTACTAGACCTCCCTGGTGCTAGACTCCTAGTGCTAGACTCCTGGTGCTAGACTCCTAGTACTAGACTCCTGGTGCTAGACTCCTGGTGCTAGACTCCTAGTGCTAGACTCCTGGTGCTAGACTCCTGGTGCTAGACTCCTTGTACTAGACTCCTGGTGCTAGACTCCTGGTGCTAGAACTCCTAGTACTAGACTCCTGGTGCCAGACCTCCTGGTGCTAGACTCCTAGTACTAGACTCCTGGTGCTAGACTCCTGGTGCTAGACTCCTGGTGCTAGACTCCTGGTGCTAGACTCCTAGTCCTAGACTCCTAGTAACTAGACTCCTGGTGCTAGACTCCTGGTGCTAGACTCCTGGTGCTAGACTCCTGGTGCTAGACTCCTAGTACTAGACTCCTAGTGCTAGACTCCTGGTGCTAGACTCCTGGTGCTAGACTCCTAGTACTAGACTCCTAGTGCTAGACTCCTGGTGCTAGACTCCTGGTGCTAGACTCCTGGTGCTAGACTCCTGGTGCTAGACTCCTAGTACTAGACTCCTAGTGCTAGACTCCTGGTGCTCGACTCCTGGTGCTAGACTCCTGGTGCTAGACTCCTAGTACTAGACTCCTGGTGCTAGACTCCTGGTGCTCGACTCCTGGTGCTCGACTCCTAGTGCTAGACTCCTAGTACTAGAATCCTGTGCTAGACTCCTGGTGCTAGACTCCTGGTGCTAGACTCCTGGTGCTAGACTCCTAGTACTAGACTCCTAGTGCTAGACTCCTGGTGCTAGACTCCTGGTGCTAGACTCCTAGTACTAGACTCCTAGTGCTAGACTCCTGGTGCTAGACTCCTGCTGCTAGACTCCTGGTGCTAGACCCCTAGTACTAGACTCCTGGTTCTAGACTCCTGGTGCTAGACTCCTGGTGCTCGACTCCTAGTGCTAGACTCCTAGTACTAGACTCCTGGTGCTAGACTCCTGGTGCTATACTCCTGGTGCTAGACTCCTGGTGCTAGACTCCTAGTACTAGACTCCTAGTGCTAGACTCCTGGTGCTAGACTCCTGGTGCTAGACTCCTAGTACTAGACTCCTATTGCTAGACTCCTGGTGCTAGACTCCTGGTTCTAGACTCCTAGTACTAGACTCCTGGTGCTAAGACTCCTGGTGCTAGACGCCTAGTACTAGACTCCTGGTGCTAGACTCCTGTGCTAGACTCCTAGTACTTAGACTCCTAGTACTAGACTCCTGGTGCTCGACTCCTGTGCTAGACTCCTGGTGCTAGACTCCTAGTACTAGACTCCTGGTGCTAGACGCCTGGTGCTCGACTCCTGGTGCTCGACTCCTAGTGCTAAACTCCTAGTACTAGACTCCTGGTGCTAGACTCCTGGTGCTTAGACTCCTGGTGCTAGACTCCTGGTGCTTAGACTCCTAGTACTAGACTCCTGGTGCTAGACTCCTGGTGCTAGACTCCTAGTGCTAGACTCCTAGTGGCTAGACTCCTGGTGCTAGACTCCTGCTGCTATAGACTCCTGGTGCTAGACTCCTAGTGCTAGACTCCTGGTGCTAGACTCCTGGTGCTAGACTCCTGGTGCTAGACTCCTAGTACTAGACTCCTGGTTCTAGGATGGGTTAAATGCAGAGAACACATTTCACTGTGTGCTGTGTGCTCTGCTTGTGTGACCATTACAGAGGGGTTCATCCCTCCCTATTCTATTCTAGTATAAAGTGTGTTGTTAGAGTTTGACGAGCAGCAGGCATTAACGCTTACTCTGTGTTAATTATATTTTAATCCTATCTGTTTCTTCACAGTGGAGAAGGGTCCGGTGCCCAATCTGTTCGAGCAGAAGACCCCGGTCAGCAGCTTCGACCAGCAGACGTCGGTGAAGGTGGTTTACTACAGAGCTCTGTATCCGTTTGATGCTCGCAGCCACGATGAGATCAGCATCGCCCCGGGAGACGTCATCATGGTACGGAGAATCAACACAAACTTAACGACCATACACTTGCATCCTTAGGTCGTCTAACGTTGGTACAAAAACACAGGAACACAGGAGGAAGTCTGTCGTGTCTGAAGCAGCTCGAACAAGGAAAAGGAAACAAAATTTTTTTTGTTTACAGGAGGAAGAAGATGGTGCAGGATTTAGCAAAAACACCGTTAGGGAATTTAATCACATTTTTTCACTCGTTAATTTGGTATTTTTATTTTCTGTTATTTTGTTAACAAAATAACAATTTATAACATGAGAAATGTGTTTTTTACGTCAGTGAACGGCTGTGTTGTGTCTGTAGCAGCTCGAACAAGAATAAGGAAACAAAACATATTTTTGGTTTGATGAAAAGGAGAAGTAACGTATGGGGTCGTTTTTATTTTGTTAAGTTCCACAAATAAGACTAACTAACTGATCAATACACGCATACAACATAAGATTATTTATTATTAATAAGTGAAGGCTTACAGAATATACTCTACTTAATGAATTAGGTCTCACACCTACATACATGCAAATTGATTAATCTGATTGACGAAGATACACTGATATCAGAATACAAACCACCTCGTTCTGATCTTGTTGGATATAAATATCGGGTGTTAAATATCAATATATTTGAGCACTATTTAGCTTTAAATATATTCCAGTATTACATTATTATAGTCAATTTGAGGATGTATCAGCAATCGAGCGTAGGCTAATGTAAATCTGCAGGGAGTCATGATTGCAGCCAGAAATACAATGAGTGCATCTGTAAGTGTGTCTTTGTAACAGGGTTATAATAAGAAAAAAAATTAACAATAGGGCGTTAGGACTCTTAACGTAAAGATTAGATTCATAAGAAACTTCTTAGGTTAAGGTTTTAATAGCTAAGTAACAATGAAATACAAAGATATTCCCTCAAGACCAATGACGTTTAAAATGTGGGACTCAAAAGGCTCAAAAACAAGGACTTTGTGTGTGTGTGTGTGTGTGTGTGTGTGTGTGTGTGTGTGTGTGTGTGTGTGTGTGTGTGTGTGTGTGTGTGTGTGTGTGTGTGTGTGTGTGTGTGTGTGTGTGTGTGTGTGTGTGTGTGTGTGTGTGTGTGTGTGTGTGTGTGTGTGTGTGTGTGTGTGTGTGTGTGTGTGTGTGTGTGTGTGTGTGTGTGTGTGTGTGTGTGTGTGTGTGTGTGTGTGTATTAACTGTTTCTTCTCTCTTCTGCTGTGCTAACTGAAGGTGAAGGGGGAGTGGGTAAGTTGTTGTTGTTGTTGACCCCGCCCAGTGTTGTGCCTCCACCAATCACAAGCCAGCTTTCACTTGAACTCTCGCTGTCATTGGCTCATCTCACGTCATCTCCACGTTCATTCATTTGCCAGTGGATGAATGGTTTTGTCGTTTTTGTACGAAATCATTCTAATCTGACGTGTAAATGTTGTTAAGCTTGATTTGTTTTCACAGTTAATGAGAAGAATGATGATATGCTGTGATTAAAAAGTTATTCAATGTTTAGTGGAAGGAAACGCTACTTTGAGTTAGCTTACCTTAGCATAAAAATACAATAACTATATTTTGTATTACCAGCATATACACTTCAACATAAATGAGATTAGACAGCCTGATTTTTTAATTCAAAACACATTGGAAGTTCATCTGCTTTTACTAAAGTTTTACAAAAAGATCTTAAAGAAATGGAAATAAAAATAGATATTTAAAAGGGATTTTTAACTTCTAACTTATAATTAGATGATTGATATGAGTGGCATTACTGAGTTAGGCAGATTAGTCATTATAAGTTGTTATGGTTGTTATGATAGAAACAATGTCAAGTTAATTTCTCTCACTTGATAATTTAATTAATTTCTGTAATTGTGCTTTCTGTAGTTTTACCTCTGCTGTTGTTGTGTCCATTGTTATTGTGAATGTATCTTGACACCCACACACACACACACACACATCTCCATTAATAAAAATCCCTGTGTGTCAGCATGCGTCCACTTCATCTAACCCCGCCCCTCTGCTCTGATAGGTGGATGAATCCCAGACGGGTGAACCTGGTTGGCTGGGAGGAGAGCTCAGGGGCCGCACTGGTTGGTTTCCCGCCAATTACGCTGAACGGATACCGGACAGTGAAGCACCAATCAGCTTGCGAGCAACCGCCTCGGCCCCTCCCACTTCAGCCCAGCAGCCAATGAGCACGCCTCCCCCTGCCCCGGGACACGCCTCCTCTTCCGCGCCCTCAGCCAATAGTAACTGGGCTGACTTCAACACCACGTGAGTCAACGAGCTGGTGGCAAACCATCAGAACCAGGGTTTTAGTCAGAATATCATAAGAACTACACCAATTGTCTTTCCTTATTTGACGTTCAAAGTGGGTTTTTTTCAGGTTTTCCCATGAATCTCTGAGTTTAAGTTACCATATTTAAGCGCTTTGAGCACAAAGCACACTATATAAATCACATGTATAATTATTATACTGTTTTTATATCAAGCATCTTTGAATACCTAGAAAAGGGGCTATATAAATCTGATTTACTCAGATTATTTTACGACGTCCTTACCGTAAAAAACAATAATCAAACTTAATTAAACACTTATCAACAGCCTCGAAATAACCATTTATAACATGATAAAGTTGTTTTTGAAAGGCTAAGTGGCAAAACATATGTATTAAACAATATTTTAATCAAACAAAAACCTTTATCCAATACATTTTGACTTTGACACTTTAAAAATTCATAATCCTACATAGCCACTACTGTCATCTAATTCTACAAATACAATTAAACTTTGTATATGAGTGTAGCCTCACTTTAATCTGCCTCTGTGCTCTTTTTAATATAAATGTTTCCTTGGTGTGTTTTATCTCCAGTTGGCCCTCTAACTCAGCCAGCCAATCAGAAAGCGAGGGCTGGGACGCATGGCCCACCTCTACGACCAATCAGAATCCTTCCCTCAGTGTTCCGTCGGCGCAGCTACGGCAACGCTCCGCCTTCACACCCGCTACCTTGACAACAGGCTCCTCCCCTTCTCCTGTGCTGGGCCAGGTAGGAACATTATAGTCTCTTAAACTGGGTCCAAAATGTGTTTAAAATATATAATAAATCAGCTTTTTCACTGTTAATATTTTCTTTGTTTGATTGACTAGTTGCTGCTGTGTTTGTAGATTAAAATCTGTACTAATTATTGCCTTTCTCTGTTTGTCAGGGGGAGAAGGTGGAGGGTCTTCAGGCTCAGGCTTTGTATCCCTGGAGGGCGAAGAAGGACAACCACCTTAACTTCAACAAAAATGAGGTAGAGGAGCCATTCCCTCATATTAAACACACTATATATTACATTATCTTCATTAATAAGGTGTGTTTTCATTCAACCTTATAGTTGTGTGCTTTTACTTGAGTATAAACGTATCTTGAAATATCGCAAACACTTGAAATTGGTTGAAATTGATAGAAAAACTCATAACTAGTGCTTTATTTGTTGTATCCACTAGAAAAACATACAAAACAATGGATATAATGGATGTTAATAAGGATTTGCCTTTTATTTTTCTAGAAATGTGGGTACATTTGCAACACATTTGGTTAAAATCACGCCTATTAACTGTTACCATATATTTTTCTATTGAATATTTGTGTATTTCTGTTAGATTGTAATGATTTTGTACCGTATATATCTCATTGTTTCCCTGGTATTCTTTAACGCAGGTCATCACGGTGTTGGAGCAGCAGGACATGTGGTGGTTAGGTGAACTGCAGACCGGACAGAGAGGCTGGTTCCCCAAAAGTTACGTCAAGCTCATCTCCCCCACCATGACGCCCCCCCCGAGTACCGTCGCTCGCAGCAAAAACCCAAGGTGGGTTACAATGTTGTTGTTAGAAAAATATCACTTGAGCTTCAATCTCAGGATCCATGTATTTATTATCCTCTCAAGAATGGAAGTAGTCATCACATACAGAGCATTTGGTACTGAGCTGACGTTCTCTCAAAATTCTGACTTTTTCTCAAAATTCTATTCTGACTTTCTCAAATCTCAAAAATCTGACTTTTTTTTTTTGAAAAATCTCTGAATTCTGACTTTCTTTAAAAAAATCTAAAAAATCTGACTTTTTTTTCAAAAAAATCAGACTTTTTCTCAAAATCTAAAACAACTGACTTTTTTTGCCTATTTATTAAAATGTTCAGATATCAAAATAAAATCCTTTATCTTTCATATCATATTTTGTTTCTTCCTTGTCTTTCTTAGTGAGTCTGGAGTATCGGAAAGCCCCCCCAATGGGAAGCGCCCCTCCCCTTCGCCAACAAAACCCTCCGAGTCTGGTGGTGGAGAAGGTAAAACACACTCACTCACTCACTCACTCACTCACTCACTCACTCACTCACTCACTCACTCACTCACTCACTCACTCACTCACTCACTCACTCACTCACTCACTCACTCACTCTCTCACTCTCTCTCTCTCTCTCCTCTCTCTCTCTCTCTCTCACATACACACACACACACACACACACACACACACACACACACACCACACCCACACACACACACACACACACATGCACACATATATACACACACACAAGCACTCTCTCACATACACACACACACAGACACACACACACACACACACACACACACACACACATGCTCTCTCTCATACATGCACACATACAGACACACACACTCTCACACACACAGACCACCACACTCTCACACACACACTCACACTCTCTTTCACCCACACACACGCTCACACTCTCACACACACAAACACGCACTCTCTCTCTCACATGCATACACACACACACACACACACACACACACACACACACACACACACACATGTAAATGCATATTTCTCTAAAAGCCTGATGAATAATCGTATTGCCTCCCTGTGTCTCCGTGCTTGTGTGCAGAATATGTGGCCATGTACACGTACGAGAGCAGCGAACAGGGAGACCTGAGCTTTCAACAGGGAGAAGTCGTCATGGTGACCAGGAAAGAAGGTGATTGGTGGACGGGATTGGTCGGGGGGAAGATCGGAGTCTTTCCGTCGAACTATGTGAAACCGCGAGACTCGGCGTTAGAGGTGAGAGCGACTCAGAGCAAATGAGGAAGTATCAGGACCGTGAATGTGTCTTTGTTTACACAACAAGAGAAATGTTTGTAATAAATGAGATTTAAACTTCTGTTTCCAGCCTTTGGGACCAGGAGGGAAGACGGGAAGCCTGGGAAAGAAACCGGGTGAGCTTTCAATCAATGTATAATGTTGCTTTATTGAAGCTCCTGCAGACTACTCTTCACTTCCTCTCCCCTGTTCGCAGACTATACCAACTTTCTAGATAAAGTCTATTTGAGTTTTAGTTACCTTTCCATTTTTGCATTTTCAAAAGAAAGGGATCAGAGACTGAACCCTGTCTGATTTAAAAATCTGTCTGATCAAAATCCTGACTTTTTCTCAAAATCCTGACTTTTTCTCAAAATCCTGACTTTTTCTCAAAATTCTGACTTTTTCTCAAATTCTGACTTTTTCTCAAAATCAAAAAATTCTGACTTTTTTCAAAAAATATCAAAATTCTGACTTTTTATCAAAATTATGACTTAGTACAAGTAGGTTCACTGACATTATTATGTATTTTCTTCCCTCTCTTCCTCTGTGTCTCCATCAGAGATCGCTCAGGTGATCGCCCCCTACAGCGCCACAGGAGCAGAGCAGCTGACGTTAGCTCCGGGTCAGCTGATCCTCATCAGGAAGAAGAACCCGGGGGGCTGGTGGGAGGGTGAGCTGCAGGTACACAAGCACCAACTCTCATATAACTCTCATATAGGAAATGTTCATTGTGTTGACATTGCAAAAGGAGAAATCTAGGGCAACTCCATGAGGCGTTTAATCGTGTGCCATGTCACTGAAACGTATAATAATCTAGTTTAAATATACTAAATACTTTCTTGAGGACATTCAATGTTCTCTTATTTAATTATATGTATTTAATACAATTACAATACCTGAATATATATACCTCCTATTATATGTCTCAATAACGTCTAGGAATTCTATGCGACTGAAATTGCTCGGGGTATCGTGTGTTGGTTTTGAGTCATTTTACTGTGAAGATGGTTCCAGCGAATTCCTCGATCACAGCACAATGGTTATATTTCGTTTATTATAGAGTGCCACAGTGACGCGTCCTAAAACCCGGAAGTAAGTTAGGATTTCACCACTTCCTGTTCCCTCGTCTCAGAGCCAATGAGATCTCTCCATAGGATTTTGGAAATTATCTGGAAATAAGGTCTGTGGTTGAGACACATTGAAGAGACGGATCACGTTTTGTTCGACAACATTAAATACATCAGCACTGGTGATTTCTGAAGAGTTTACGTGTCTGAGAAACGATGGTTGTTACCAAGTGGCTGAATAGGACTACAGAAGTTGTCCAGGCCGTTGTACGTCATTACGGCGAACACGTAAACACGCCTCTAAGTTTGTTTTTCCCCGTGTTCTGCTTGAAAGCAAGTACCTGCCTCCTGCAAACTGTTCAAACAAACGCTTCAACTTGTGCAATTTAGAATCTGTGTGTTTGAATATGGATCTTAAGTTGGCGTGACGTTGAAGCAGCGACCCGGCTGTAGTTGCTTTATAGCATAACGTTAGCATTTTGCTTCTGGCGACCGACTAGATTTATGATTAGAAAATGATAAAAGTAGGGTAGACATGTGGAGATTATCCGGCTGAACAAGACGTGATCCGTCTCTTAAATGTGTCTCAACCACAGACCTTATTTCCAGCTATTTGAAATTGCATTGCGTTTTTGTCGAAGGAACCGGAAGGAGTTTACTTCCGGGTTTTAGGACGCGTCACTGTGGCCCTCTATGATGAGGCTTTTAATCGTCTACCATGTCACTGAAACGTATAATAATCTAGTTTCATTATACTAAATACATTCAATAAGTCTCTAATTTAATTGTTGTTATGAATTGAATATATGTTCAATACCAGAATCTATTTGATTAGACTTTTGATTGTGTTCTGGTTTTATATTTCAGTATTTGTAAGCAACTGGGACTGAAAGAATATTGCTTTTATTATTATTATTTAAGAAGGGGCAGGTAAAATAAGATGTTCTTCTCCCTGCTCCTTTCCGCCATGCGCTATAAAAAAAATATAAGTGCACATGTTTTGTTTTAAAATAACCGCCATGTGTGGAATAAACAAATAAATCAACAATTACCTCCTATTATATGTCTCAATTACAACTAGGTCTACGTCTCTATTTTGAGGCTTTTTACATAATTTGAGGACTTTAGATTTGGTTGCGATTTTTGCTTAATAACATGTTGTGCTCTGATTGGTTTAGGCCCGGGGGAAGAAGCGGCAGATTGGTTGGTTTCCGGCCAATTACGTGAAGCTGCTGAGTCCCAGCACCAGCAAGACGACGCCCACAGAGCCCACCCCCCCCAAACTGACTCCGGCCAGCACAGGTACGCACACAGGTACACTCGCAAATAAATACCTATCATAAAAATAAGAGTTTTATAGCTTTTACTGTGTGGGGACAGCAGCACATCCCATAGTAAGGTCTCCTATCATGCAAAATGCACTTTTTGATGTCTTTCATACATAAAGATGTGTCCCCGGTGTGTCAGGGAACTCACGCAGCGTCAGAAAATAAAACCCTCTCTCTTTTCCTCCGTACCCAAATCTCTAAAAACGGGGCTACAACGGAGCTGATCCAGATTTGCGTCTGATATGACATAATATCTGAAATGTGGACCCACGGCCCTATCAGAAACGTTGCTATCAGAAACAATGCCCGACTGTTTTGGACGTAATATGGTCGGTGTTTACATTAGCATCGCTAACACTCAGAGCTAACCTGTACTGGAGAGCATGTGTGTGAAGAAGCAGGAAATAAAAAGGAACTCACCTTGTGGTATAACCGGCAAGAGAGAAAGCCTTTGAGCTCCATACTGTTTCAGAAAGAATCCTTGATGTGGTTTGGAACATGATATGGCGTTTAGTCACGGCAGAACTTAGCTGAGTATCTGCTGGTAGAATTCTGAGCAGGCATTAGCTCCGCCTCCACTTTTTTTTTTAAAGCTACAGACCCAGAATCAGCGTTTCTCTAACAGAGCTGGAATAGAGGGTGATCTGTTTGGTATTTTGAGCAAAACACTTCATAGACATGTTTTTTTATATATTTTCATATATCTGAGACCTATGCTATATGCCTAAAAACAGTATAATAGGGGACCTTTAAGTCTGACTTGTGTGTGTGTGTGTGTGTGTGTGTGTGTGTGCGTGCAGCTGTGTGTCAGGTGATCGGGATGTACGACTACGTGGCGCAGAACGACGACGAGCTGGCCTTCCTGAAGAGTCAGGTGATCACCGTGCTCAACAAGGACGACTGTGATTGGTGGAAAGGGGAGCTCAACGGGAGGGAGGGGCTGTTTCCTAGCAACTACGTCAAACTCACCACGGATACCGACCCCAGCACGCAGTGTGAGTAGACAGAAACACACACACACACACACACACACACACACACACACACACACACACACACACACACAGAGTATACTAACATTCAATGGGAATACAAAGTAACACTCGTACACAATCGCACACTCATTTTCTCTCTCTCACACACACACACACACACACACACACACACACACACACACACACACACACTCACTCTTTCCCTCACACACACACACACATCCCAGAGCCAGGTGTGGAGATGCTGTCCCTCTCTCAGTGTTTGACCCCAGATTGGTTTGACCTTTGACCTTGACACTCCTTTGGGTCTCTTTGATAAAAACCTCCCAGTGATGCAACACCTCTGGGCGGTGTTTGTGTGTGTTTGTGCATGTGTGTGTGTGTGTATTTGCATGTGTGTGTGTGTGTGTATTTGCATCAGTGTTAAAGTGTTTCCTCTCCTCCCTGCATGTTTCCCTTCAGCACGATCCACCGTAGAGCTAGAGTTTCTAGAGCGGAGAGACAGACACTTGGGTTGCGGTCGAATTGTCAGTTTAGCTTAGGAACCTTCCTAACGGAGTGAAATGACCCGGAAGTCCCTCAGTGGCAGCCATGATAAGAGCCGTTCGAATTCTCTAGATGAAAGGAAAGGAGCTTTGAAACTTCCTTTATAACCTCCTTTAGCTTAGGAACCACTGGACCTCCCTAACCGAAAGGAGAGGAGAAAATGCTGCCCCACAATGCCTTGCGGCCGCGGCATTTACCGTCACACAACAGTCGGCCGTTCAAATGACCGAGAAATGATATCATGAAAGTTACAGTGCTTATTAAGCATTTTAAAACATATGTGGTAAGTTGCCAAAGTGCTTTGTTTTGAACGTTCATCAGTATTATAATCAAAAAGAGAAATATGAACGTTAGTTTTTACTGAAATGATCAAATGGTCAACATTTCACAGTCTTTACTGAGATGTGTGGGGGTTGTTCAACTTTTAAAAGATGTTTTAATGGTGATCGCATCATAAACACGTCGGATAGTGAAAGTGCAGTCGGATTCTCAAAGCACCGCAGTCTCTTCTCCTAAATCCTTTTGATTTCTGCTATCCACTATCCCTTAACCCCGTGACGTTTCACACAGAGGTCAAGGAATAGACGATAGGGTTAGACCATAGGGATAGACGATAGGGATAGACTATAGGGATAGATAGGGATAGACCATAGGGATAGACTATAGGGATAGATAGGGATAGACCATAGGGATAGATAGGGATAGACCATAGGGATAGACCATAGGGATAGACCATAGGGATAGATAGGGATAGACCATAGGGATAGATAGGGATAGACCATAGGGATAGACTATAGGGATAGACCATAGGGATAGACCATAGGGATAGACCATAGGGATAGACCATAGGGATAGACCATAGGATAGACCATAGGGATAGACCATAGGGATAGACCATAGGGATAGACCATAGGGATAGACCATAGGGATAGACCATAGGGATAGACCATAGGGATAGACCATAGGGATAGACTATAGGGATAGATAGGGATAGACCATAGGGATAGACCATAGGGATAGACTATAGGGATAGACCATAGGGATAGACCATAGGGATAGACCATAGGGATAGACTATAGGGATAGACCATAGGGATAGACCATAGGGATAGACCATAGGGATAGACTATAGGGATAGACCATAGGGATAGACCATAGGGATAGACTATAGGGATAGACCATAGGGATAGACCATAGGGATAGACCATAGGGATAGACCATAGGGATAGACCATAGGGATAGACCATAGGGATAGACCATAGGGATAGACCATAGTAGCTGATTTTTGGACTATTCGACCGCAACCCAGGGCTTTGACTAGTGGAAGATCTAAAGGTTAACCTTTTTTAGAAAGCCAGTGAAGGGAGGTTTTATTCCTATGAAAATTCAGTGTTTCTGAATCTAACGTTGACATTTTACAGGGAATAAACAAAAGAAAATCAAATATAGAACATCTTATTTGGATTTATTTACAATTAGGTTAAAACATGTCAATTATTGTTTAAAAAGAAAAACAAATCCACTGAATAATGAGGGAAACCTATTTTTTTTAAACATTTTTTAATTTGGTTCCTTTAGTAAGTTGAGTTTATTACTGGAAAAAAATCTATAATAAATAATTCAATTTAGAGTTAAACAAACATTTTTATACCACCTCATTGTTGTGGTGTTTACAATCTGCCCATCACAAATGATTGAGTAAATAATAACAATAACGTTCGGCACATAGAAGCTGTCTCACTGGTCGCTCTAGATCTTCTATTTCTATGCTAGCTCAGCGCACACCTCCAGACTCTGTCTTGCTGCATGCTCCACCCACCTAGCACCCGATTGGTTGTTGTTGTTATTGTTGTTGTTTTGTTTAGTTGTTTTTGTTGATGTTGTTGTTGTCGTCCTCTCTCTAGGATCATATCATTACCCAGAACCCCCCTCTCCTCAAAGCCCTCAAAGAGACCCACTAGGCCACGCCCCACTAGGCCACTCAACCAATGGGACAGCAGCAAGAGGTCACATGACCCTGGAAATGGCGACTCTCCACCAATAGTGGCCAAACAGACAGACTGTAACGTTAAAAAAACAAAAAACTGTCTATGCATGGCTCTGACTGGACTCGGCCAAACTGTTTGATCTAATGAGACTATTGAGCTCCTTCCTCCCTGATTGGACTGTTTTAACTGGACACACACACTCTCACACACACACACATTAACATGAAACTATCAGAGCGTGGTTCAGTGGATAGTGGGTCATTTTGTGGCTTTACGGGAGATTCTGTCATTAGAATCAGCTCATTCGTCCTGCTTTATTTTAAAACTCTATTTTTTTTTTAATTCTAACTCGCTCCCATTGGTTCAGCAGCTTCTTTCACTGTCAGTTACCCCCCCCCCCTCACTAACCCCTCCCTTCCCACAGCTTCACAGAAAGACCCACTATCTGCTGGAGGACAAGTCTCAATCATAAAGGGACAGTTCACCTCAAAATATACGTTTCCTCCTCTCACCTGTAGTGCTATTTAATGTGTTTATGTGTATTGTTTTGGTGTGGGGTGCAGAGTTTTGGTGATATCGTCCAATTAGATAGCATTTGGCTGATAAATATGGAGTGTTTCTTATCAAATACCCCCATATGGTTATTGCAACGATATTGTAGGGTTGACAACTGGTGCTTCTGCTAAATATACAGTGAGATTTCTGACAAATACTCATCAGTAAAGTTGATAAGAGAACAAAGTGGGTAACAGAAAAGTATAGGACAGTCGGGTAAGTTCATAAATTCGGCAAAAGAGATGTCTTTTCTTAGAAATCATGACCCACAGATGTGTTGTGAAAGATGCCAACATTGGGACTATTTTCTTCCACGAGCCTCTCTACAATGACGTTTCCTGCTGCGGAGTGATACGGTGGAAAGAAAGTAGTTCCTTTATGAAACCTGTGGATTATCTGGAGTAACCGGGTCATGATTTCTGTAAAATAATATGGCTTTAAATGTGGTTTTTTTGGTGCTTGGAGTGCCATTATTTTAGAGAGAAAGGAGACATCTTTACGACGGATAATTATCAAAACTATGCAACTCGCACCAAAACTATTTAGCTTGCACTACAGATTCAAATATATATACTTCTTGTTTTTGCGGTGTTCTGTCCTTTTTAAAGTCTCCTCTCTTTACCTTTCCTCTCCTCAAAACCAAAGACTCTTGCCTCCTCTTTCCTTCTTCTTCCCCTACTCAAAAAGGAGATCATGTGATAGAGAGGAAACGAGATGAGGCTGTATTGAGACGCGTCCTAAAGCAGCTGAGTGCTGAGTTTCTACCCAGAATGCCGCTCCCTTGATTGGCTTATCACGTAAAAAGTATTTTAGTTTCCCTGTCCTCTCTTTACCTGCTAGGAAAGGAGGCAAGGAGGCATAGAAGGGAGTGAGCACCTGGAATGGGACTTAGCTCGTAGCTTAGAGCTAAATGAGCACTAGCTAACCAAATGACACGCACACACAAAATGCAACATGGTACAGTTTGAGAGTTTAAAGAAATGCACATGAACCTGAAACAGTGTGAACAGTTTACACACACACACACGCACACACACACACACACACACACACACACACACTCAGACAGACTCACACTCAAATGGTCATTATATTTTTATCCGTTGTAGTTTTAACATTCTTTAAATGTGTATTAATTTTACCCGATCCGTTTCATGTTCTGTTGTTTTTATTTTGTCTGTTGCTATGACGATAAGGTGCTGTCACACTGTTAGGGGTTTAGCAGACCATGATGGACGTTAACACACACACACACACACACACACACACACACACACACACAGATTAGTTAGTACTAAATATGCAGGGGTGGAACGATGTTCAAGGAACAACTCAAATCACTCGCTCGTGTCCGTTTCTCACATCTTTTAATCATTCCAGTTAAAGCAATATTTAGACATTTTGGGGGACAGTAAGCTCGTTTGCTTTGTTTTTGAGAGAAAATCAATACCACTCATGACTTTCTGTTAAGTACACACACTTCAGATAGGCGGTTATTAGCTTAGCACACAACTGGAAGACTTTATAAACAGTTGGCTGGGCTCAAAACAGCTCAAACTTTTCTTTTACGCTCCAGGCTTTTAAAAAGATATGTATTTTAGAGGATTTTAAAGTTGTTTTCCCCTGCCTTCTGTTGCATGCTAAGCTAGGCTAATAGACTGCTGGCTCTAGCAATGTATTTAACACACAGACTTGGTTTATTTTCACGTAATGACTTAAATATTTAACATATATCAAAGAACAGCTGTCTAACCTTAGCACATGTCATAGAAAAAAATGAAATAGGTGATGTTTGAAGGGTATTTTACAACCTCACCTACTTGAACATATAAAGGTGAACTGGTATTGATCTTCTCATCTCACACATCTCATCTTTCCCAAAATATCCTTTAAAGAGCTCCGCTGCTTTTCGTTGTGGCTCAATTTCACAAACTAGTCATATTTGTTGTACCTCCTTGAACACTGCGATGCACCTTTTTGGAAATGTTTTAGCTCCTTGCCATCAGAACTTAGCAGACACAAAAACAGGATTTGCTTCCCGCCTTTGCATTTTAAACCCCCGCACTAAGAAAACTGCTTTACAGAGGCATCATTAGCTCCATTAGTGCAGTTTCCTGTGCCTCAAATTGAACATTTAAGACATTTATCCCCACTACACGTCAGCCAAATATATCGTCATGCATCAGTGATTTCAACAGGTGTGTGTTGAGTGACAGACATGTGACAGACAGCATTGCCTCACTTTTAAATAATAGATATATATTTTTTCCATAGCAACAGACTAGTTTTATAGAAATTGCCATATCATTTACTATTTGTATTGTTTGTTGTTGTTGTTGTTGTTTTTGTTTATCCAGATGACAGTATTGTGATGTTATTGTTTACCCGGAACGGTTCTTGAATATACCAAGCAATAGAGATGTTATTGTTAACCTGCTTGGATCCCATTGGCTCCTCAGCGTGTCAGTATTGGAGAGGGAAGGCTCTGATTGGAGGACGAGTCAATGACCATCGGTTGGGAAACAAAACTGAGGCTGGAGGCCCCATTTTGGGTCACTTGCCGGTTTGTTTTGGGTCCCAAATGTAGAGAAATATACGATATGTGTATTAGTGCCATTGTGGGTTAAAACAAATATTATTAAATGATGTGGATGAAACTCAGAATTTCTGACATTAATGTGGTAAAATAACAAGAAAAAACTCACACATTTAATAGAAAAACAACGACTATTTATCAACACGACCCTTCATTTTAAAATGGCTGCATCAGATAGTTATTCTGGGCTGATGAGTATTCTTCTTGTAAATGTACGACTTAAATAGCAGACAATTTGAACGTTTCTCAAATTACGGGGTTTTGTTTCAGAAAATATCCATGAATTTAGACACAGATAATATCCGCATTTATTTGAGTAAATGCTGCATTTCTTGTAAAAACTATTTATCTCACAATGGCCCTGATACACTGTTGTATAAATCTTAGTATCTGTCATTAGCTTCTGGTTTAAAAGGATTATTTTAACGCCGATGGTCGAGACGTCTCCTTACAGTCGAACAGTATTTTAGTTTAAAACAAAAACCCACCTGGACCAGAGCCGAATGCACGTCAGCTCCATCGATATTCATACAAACGCTACATGCTAACTCTCCCACCTGCAGACATGATTTCTCCCTATAAGCATTACATTTTAAATAATTTTAAATCACGCAGGTGGAAGCAGAACATTCTGGATTTTTTACCATTTTTACCCACTTTGTGCCCTGGCTCTGGTCGAGTTTGGTGTTTAAAAAAAATGATTACATCTCCTGTATAGTTACTCTAATGAATGGTAATTGTTGATATGGATTATAAATAGCAACTCTGATGAATGGATTAACAGCCAAATGTACCCAGAATGCACTTGGTGTCAGTGAGTGAGTGAGAGAGTGAATATGACGCATGAATGAGACATTTTATGGACACAAAATGGTGAGATGGACACAGAAACTCAACGAGTGGATGAATGAGTGAACGGATGATTGAATGAAAATGTACAGAATGATGTTAGCGTAGCGCCGTTGATAGCAAAAATGTCCAGAGGTTTTTTTATTGGTGGAGATTTTGATGAAGCGGTGAAATCTGATTGGTCCTGATGATTAAATGCTCTGAGACAGACTGCAGTCCACTGGCCTCGTTACTCACACACACACACACACACACACACACACACGTAATGTTAAAAAAAGCTTTATTTATGTTATATTTGTGGATAAAACATAGATAGCTGTCACAATATAACAATTGTCACTCCACGACCATAATAATTGATTAACTTAATGCAATAGCTAGCGGAAAAAATCCAAATAATGGTGTTAGTCAAATTCAAAATTAAAGTTGTTAATCTCCTTTTTGGAAATTTAATTACACCAATTTTTTATGTGAAACAAACTTAGATAATTTAAAACAATATTATAACGTGTATATTGTTCACATGATATAAGTATAACAATGTCTATATATTGCTATTATAATCAATATATAACTATATTTTGAAACAACTAAAAAAGGCTGAACATTTAAATGTAATTATGCAATTTTATAAATCAGCTTGCTATATGGTTTATTAAAAAAAAAAGCAAATTAACAATAACGTAATTAAACTAAAATAGCATCTTAGTTTGTTGTGTTTTGTTCAGCTCTGATGATGCTAGTAATCCATATTTTGAACTTTTTAACAGTCAAGTTAAAACAATTTTCGCTCAAAGAAGTAATAGTAAAGTAATACCTTCTCAGATAACACATTTATTGACCAGGTTTCATGCAAATATCTATTATAATTATTATCGATTAGATATCTTTCTTGTGTGGTAACTGTTAAAAGATCCACTGTCATAAATCCACATTCCTCTTTAAACACCACTACACACTTAATTTGGACAGAAATACTCACACAATCACAGATCTCCATAATTCGCTTTATAAAACACAGACGACTCTCAAACATCTGCAGATCTCAGGTATGTATTTTGCATCTGTTGAAGTAGAATTACTCAAGTATTGTATTATTTTGAGTATTTATTTTAATCACACATCCTGTCCCTGTGTCAGGATGTGTGATTGACAGCGGTGTGTGTGTATGTTTGTAATGTGTGTGTGTGTGTGTGTGTGTGTTTCAGGGTGCGCTGACCTCCACCTGCTGGACATGCTGAGCCCGATTGAGAGGAAGAGGCAGGGATACATCCACGAGCTCATCGTCACCGAGGAGAACTACGCCAACGACCTGCAGCTCGTCACAGAGGTAACGTATGATACATATAATATGATATATTTACCCACACGTCTACATGATTTAGTTTTGGTGAAACGTTTGTGTTTTATTTAAGATCTTCCACAAACCTCTGCTGGAGTGCGAGCTGCTGACTGAGAAGGAGGTCGGGATGATCTTCGTCAACTGGAAGGAGCTCATCATGTGCAACATCAAGCTGCTCAAGTAAAGAGAAACACACACCTGTATCACACACACACACACACACACACACACACACACACACATACCTGTATCACACACATGTGCAACATCAAGCTGCTCAAGTAAAGAGAAACACACACCTGTATCACACACCTGTGACACACACACACACCTGTATCACACACACACACACCTGTATCACACACACACACCTGTATCGCACACACACACCTGTATCACACACACACACACACACCTGTATCACACACACACCTGTAACACACACACACACACCTGTATCACACACACACACACACCTGTATCACACACACACACACGCACACACACACACCTGACACACACACACATACCTGTATCACACACACACACACACATACCTGTATCACACACACATGTGCAACATCAAGCTGCTCAAGTAAAGAGAAACACACACCTGTGACGCACACACACACACACCTGTGACACACACACACACACACCTGTATCACACACACACACACACACCTGTATCACACACACACCTGTGACACACACACACACACACACCTGTATCGCACACACACACCTGTGACACACACACACACACCTGTATCGCACACACACACCTGTATCACACACACACATACCTGTATCACACACATGTGCTACATCAAGCTGCTCAAGTAAAGAGAATTAATTTTATAATAATTATAATTGTTATAATTATTTAATACAGATTTTATTTATTTATTTATTTTCAAATATTTCAAAAGTTATTTTTAATTAACCGGCACATTCATTTGATAAATTAACCTTTTAATGTCTTAAAGCTCCCATGTCATGCTTTTCTGGTTATTACCCGTCCCCTTGTGTGTTATGAAGGTCTTTCTGCATGTAAACGGTCTGCAGAGTCACAACCCCTCAAAGTACACCCTGTAGCGAGTAAAACTCTAACACAGAAAAGACCTGTCTATGCTGCCCCAGAACGCCTCGTTGGACATTTCTCTTTTTCCATTGTTTTCTTCCTGGGTCGTAGTGACGTAACGGCTACGCGGACTTCCTCACACACACACACTGATCTTTTCTCAGCCCCAGCTCCGCAGATTTCTCCGCCTGAACTCAGCCTGAGCACACACACACAAACTCAGTGTGTGTGTGCTCAGGCTGAGTTCAGGCTGAGTTCCTTGTTGTCTCGCTGTCTCGCAGACCCCAAGCAGCAACCAGGAAACGACACCAGTAATAGAGCTCACACTGTCCGCTCCTCACAGCAGCGAGCCCCGCAACGTCCCTCCAACACGGCACCCAGACCCCACGCAGCATTCTCATCTGTTTGTCATTACTGGTGTCATTTTCTGGTCGCTAACAAACGCCATTGTAACACATAATCACTGATGTTCCGCTGTAACGGTGGTGGACTCATCAGAACAGAGTGGGTGAGCTGACCAATCAGAGCACACTGGGCTCATAGGGAGGAGGGGGGCAGGAGCTCCAACAAGCCGTTTAGGACAGAGAGTGAATACACATACTATACAGAGATGCTGTATGAGAAACCAATGTGAGTTTGGAACATTGAACAATGTAAATATATTCTAGTAGACCTCAACAATGGAATTATGATCAGTAGAAATGGCCATGACATGGGACCTTTAATACATTTTTTTATTTGTATTAACTATAGTAATTTATTCTTTCATTTTCATTCATAATAATTTTTTATTTTAATCAATTGTTTTACCATATATATTATTATATTATAATACGTCTCTCTGTCTCCCCCTGCAGGGCTCTGAGAGTGAGGAAGAAGATGTCAGGTGACCGGATGCCGGTGAAGATGATTGGTGACATCCTGACCAATCAGCTGCCTCACATGCAGCCATACATCAGGTTCTGTCTGTCAGCCTTTCAATCACACCTTTAGCCAATCAGAGGCTCCGTTCATTCCTGTCCGTCATTCATAAATAAAATAAATAAAATATGTTTAAATGTAAATGTTTTTAAAATAGTTTTCCTACTACTGTTCAGATTCTGCTCGTGTCAGCTGAACGGAGCCACGCTGATTCAGCAGAAAACTGACGACAGCCCGGAGATCAAAGACTTCCTGAAGGTATACAACACACACACACACACACACACACACACACACACACACACACACACACACACACACACACACACACACCCTACTGATGTAGATTCAATGTTGTGTCGTTTAAATTCATATATTTTCTACTTTTTTAATGCTATTTTATTTCTATTTGAGATGTTTACATTTTGAATTGTTTATTTCTCTAGTGTGTAATGCCTTGTCTTATTATGCTGCTGCAACGCAAACATTTTCCAAATTGGTATCAATAAAGTACTAATAAGTAGTTTTGTGTTTCCCTCAGAGGTTAGCGATGGATCCTCGCTGTAAAGGCATGCCTCTCTCCAGCTTCCTGCTCAAACCCATGCAGAGAGTCACCCGCTACCCCCTCATCATCAAGAACGTACGTACCACAAGAACACTGACGATTACATTTCACTCTTAAATGATGCTTCTGATTATCTAATGTCTCTTCTCTTCCTGTCTGTTGTTATTGATTATTACAGATAATAGAAAACACTCCGGAGTCACATCCAGACACCAGCCATCTGAAAGCTGCTCTGGAGAAAGCTGAGGAACTGTGCTCGCAGGTGAACACACACGCACGCACGCACGCACACACGCACGCACGCACACACACACACACACACACACACACACACACACACACACACACACACACCACACCACACACACCACACACACCTCACAAACACACATTAACACAAATTCTCTGTGATTTTTTAAATCTTAAATTAAGTCAATGACAGTTCCAACTGTAAAACTTCTAGTCTTTCCCTCGTTCGTTATTCTTCAATGTAAGGAAAATCCCCCAAATATTATTATATTTTAAGACTATAAGTATATAACCTATTCATTATGTTCACATCAAACTAAATTCATGTAAATTAGCGCTACAATTGAAGCCCCAACATTTTTTTAAAGTCTGTTTATATATATTTGTGAATTTTCTTGTGCACATGGCAGCTGTTTTAATAATTGTATTTATTACATGTGTTATCAAATCCAGGTGAACGAGGGCGTCAGGGAGAAGGAGAACTCAGATCGTCTGGAGTGGATTCAGGCTCACGTCCAGTGTGAAGGCCTGTCGGAGGTAAATACACACACACACACCACACACACACCACACACACACCACACACACACACATACACGCTTGACTTACTTCCGGAATATAGTGGCATCACTATCCCTATGTAAAACTCGCGCTTCTATTGGCTAGCGCTCCAACACATTGTACGTGATAGGCTAAGGGGTGGGACATCTCTAAGAGGTTGACCAATCACAACAGAGCCGGCCAGCTAACCAATCAGAGCAGACTGGGCTCTGGTTTCAGACAGAGGGTGAAAAGAGGTGCTGCAGCACAGGCAGTATGAGAAGAATAAAGAGCTTTTTGAACATTAAAGCATGGAGACATGTCCCAGTAGAGACACTACATACTGATATACACCTGAACATCATCAGGAGAGGACTCTTTAAAGTAGAGACACTACATACTGATATACACCTGAACATCAGCAGGAGAGGACTCTTTAAAGTAGAGACACTACATACTGATATACACCTGAACACCAGCAGGAGAGGACTCTTTAAAGTAGATACACTACATACTGATATACACCTGAACATCAGCAGGAGAGGACTCTTTAAAGTAGAGACACTACATACTGATATACACCTGAACATCAGCAGGAGAGGACTCTTTAAAGTAGAGACACTACATACTGATATACACCTGAACATCATCAGGAGAGAACTCTTTAAAGCAGAGACACTACATACTGATATACACCTGAACATCAGCAGGAGAGAACTCTTTAAAGTAGAGACACTACATACTGATATACACCTGAACATCAGCAGGAGAGAACTCTTTAAAGTAGAGACACTACATACTGATATACACCTGAACATCAGCAGGAGAGGACTCTTTAAAGTAGAGACACTACATACTGATATACACCTGAACATCAGCAGGAGAGGACTCTTTAAAGTAGAGACACTACATACTGATATACACCTGAACATCAGCAGGAGAGGACTCTTTAAAGTAGAGACACTACATACTGATGTACACCTGAACATCAGCAGGAAAGGACTCTTTAAAGTAGAGACACTACATACTGATATACACCTGAACATCAGCAGGAGAGGACTCTTTAAAGTAGAGACACTACATACTGATATACACCTGAACATCAGCAGGAGAGGACTCTTTAAAGTAGAGACACTACATACTGATATACACCTGAACATCATCAGGAGAGAACTCTTTAAAGCAGAGACACTACATACTGATATACACCTGAACATCAGCAGGAGAGAACTCTTTAAAGTAGAGACACTACATACTGATATACACCTGAACATCAGCAGGAGAGAACTCTTTAAAGTAGAGACACTACATACTGATATACACCTGAACATCAGCAGGAGAGGACTCTTTAAAGTAGAGACACTACATACTGATATACACCTGAACATCAGCAGGAGAGGACTCTTTAAAGTAGAGACACTACATACTGATATACACCTGAACATCAGCAGGAGAGGACTCTTTAAAGTAGAGACACTACATACTGATGTACACCTGAACATCAGCAGGAAAGGACTCTTTAAAGTAGAGACACTACATACTGATATACACCTGAACATCAGCAGGAGAGGACTCTTTAAAGTAGAGACACTACATACTGATATACACCTGAACATCAGCAGGAGAGGACTCTTTAATCATATTGCTACTTATTTTGTATATGTTATGAACTATAAGACATTAACCCCCCCCCTCTCTCTCTCCATCCTACAGCAGCTGGTGTTTAACTCGGTCACAAACTGTTTGGGTCCGAGGAAGTTCCTCCACAGCGGGAAGCTGTTCAAAGCAAAGAGCAGCAAGGAGCTGTACGGCTTCCTTTTCAACGACTTCCTGCTGCTCACACAGGTACTTCTTGCTGCTTTATGTTTCTTGTACATGTACTACACTTCAGAAGGGAGACATTGTAGTGTTGATCAAATAAATATTTAACTTACTCCCTTCCTCACAGGTGACCAAACCTCTGGGCTGGTCGGGATCGGACAAAGTGTTCTCCTCGAAAACACACCTGCAGTATCGCATGTACAAGACGGTAAGACCACACACACACACACACACACGGACGGACGGACGGACGGAGAAACCCCATCTTCCAACATCTTGCATGCAATAATATATCACAAAAATTGCAAAATCAGTTTTTGCTAAATAAAAAAAATGTCATTTATTGTTGACAAACTCACAAATATCTGGTATTACATTAATGTCCATTACATACATAATACATGAAAATTGTTTTGGTACTTGCAAAAAAAACAAGGCCTTTGCATAAATCCTAAATTAATATATAATACAAATGAAGGAAATAACAAAACATGTGAAAACTGCTCCTAAGATTTGTTGCTAAATTAAGCAATATATTGTATGTATTGTAAAAACACTGTATTTGAAGTGACGTAACATTTATTTTTAATACATAGATTTGCAGTAAATGTTGTTCATACCCCCAACATGACTTACACTTCTCTCTCTCTTGCAGCCCATCTTCCTGAACGAGGTGTTGGTGAAGCTGCCCACCGACCCGTCTGGAGACGAGCCGCTGTTCCACATCTCTCACATCGACCGAGTCTACACGCTGCGGGCCGAGAGCATCAACGAGAGGTACAACTGCTTCAAATATTTGTATTGAGAAGAAGCATACAAGTGTACTTCTTTGGGGTGGAAATCATGCTTCCCTTTTTCAACATAGAAGACAAACAGAACAGCCAACAGGAAATAATAAAGGAAAAACATAGCATGACAGGAATATCATACTTAATGACATACATAGTCATAGTGGGAAAGAACATACAAAATAGCATATACTGTATTATACAAATAAATAAATAAACTTAAAGGGGACCTATCATGCAAAATGCACTGTTTGATGTCTTTTATACATAAATATGTGTCCCCGGTGTGTCGGGGAACTCACGCAGCGTCAGAAAATAAAACCCTTTCTCTTTTCCTCCGTACCCAAATCTTTTAAAAACGGGTGTACAACGAGCGGATCCACAGAAAGTTGCTATCAGAAACAATGCCTGACGTGTTTTGGACGTCATCTCGTCTTTGTTTACATTAGCATGTCGCTAACACTCAGAGCTAACCTGTACTGGAGAGCACATGTGTTTAAAAAGCAGGAAATATAAAAAGGAACTCACCTTGTGATAAACCCCCAAGAGAAAAAGCATTTGAGCTCCATACTGTTTCAGAAATAATCCTTGATGTGGTTTAGAACAGGATGGCGTTTTATCACAGCAGAATTGAACTTTATCTCCGGTAGAATTCTGATCAGGCATTAGCTCCGCCTCCTCTGTCTTTCTTTTTTCAAGCTAAGGACCCAAAATCCTTGTTTCTCTAACAGGGCTGCAATAGAGGGGTATGAGCAGTATGAGCAGTATGAGGCATGGCTACAATGGGCGATCTGTTTGGTATTTGAAGCAAAAAACTTCACAGACATGTTTTGTATAGGTATGGCCCTACAACATATTTTTCCAATATAGCATAATAGGTAAGGTTAAGGGTAACGAGAGGTAAAACTACCACTGAAGTACAGTAACTGAGCACTATTACTCAAGTACTCAATTTTGATGCTTGTATTTGTGTTTCCGAATTAGAATTACAGACATTATTACAATTAAAAATCAACGATTGATTGCAGCTTGATGTATTGTGCCTGGGCTCCAAATATATGGATTACCTTTAAAAATTATTTGTGTTTTTTGTGTTGTTTGTGCAGGACGGCGTGGGTCCAGAAGATCAAAGCAGCTTCAGAGCTCTTCATCGAGACGGAGAAGAAGAAGAGAGAGAAAGCGTATTTAGGTAACTCTAGTTTTTAATTCCTCCATGTTTGTAGTTTAAAAAAAAAAATCTGATTATTCGAAGTAGAAACTGAGCACTCTTACAGCGAACCAATAACACCAGGGTACAGTATCATATCGGGAGAAGAAACCACTGTCTGCTATGACTTATTTTTGTGTGGTTGGTTGTGTGTGTGTTCCTGAAAAAAGGCAAAATAAATAACACGTGTTTTTTCTCAGTTCGCTCTCAGAGGGCGACAGGAATCGGCCGACTGATGGTCAACATCGTGGAGGGAATCGAACTGAAACCCTGTCGCTCACATGGTATGTACACACTGTGTGGTGACTGTTGCCACTCAATATCACCGAGGGATTGGCTAAACTGGGTGATCTAGTTGGACGCGTGTAATCTCCATTGACGACAACGTTCTTTGCTTTCAAAACTATTTATTTTCCAATTAAATTAATTAATTAATTCCCAAATTCCAGCTGAGAGGGTCTTCTCTACAGCTGGCCTGATTGTGAATTGTCTCCGCACCCGCCTCTCCCCTGAGTAGACATGCTCATATTCTTAAACAAGAATGAGTATTGAATAGCTGCATTCTGTGCATAGGCCCTGTTATAGGTTGGTGATCTCTGTTGTGATAGGGTTACGTTACCCTAACCCGTTATGTTGTTCGTGTATGACCCCTCTTTCATTTAAAAAACAAGTTATGTTTTAAAAAATGTTTTGAAAGCTGTAGGCCTATAGCTGTCAACTGTTCAAACTGTGATCACCAGTTCAATACATTTGACAAATTCGACTTGGTTTCTATACTTATTTGAACATGTATTTATTTATTTTTCAAAATAAAATAAAAAATGTTTGTAAAACATTTTCCCACATTTTTTTTTTTTTATAGGATATGTACATTTCGGTTAATCGGTTAACCGTTTTTTTAGGGGTAGAATATTCGAATATACATTTGCTTTCAAATTCCCATCCCTAGTGCACGGCTACACGGTCAAAAACAAAAAACACACACCTGTACCAGGGACATCTTTATATGCTGTTGCCCCATTATGCCATTTAGTGTGTACACATAACATATAACCATTGTAATGGGTGCAACACACTGCTTTAATTCAGTTTAAAACATGTATTTATTAATTATTCATTCATTCAATTATTTGAATTGAAGTGTTTAATCCAAACCCTTTTGTCCTAGCTTTATGCTAGTGATGCCAATTCAATATAATGTTAAACACTAAAAATGCTATTAAGTGCGATCACAATATCATAAATTTAAAATAAATTCATGATCGCAATATCTATAGAACAATAAATATATATATTAACATGTGTTTGTGTGTGTTTCCAGGAAAGAGTAACCCATACTGTGAGGTGACCATGGGTTCACAGTGCCATATCACTAAAACACTACAGGTAAGTGTTCACAACATTTTATTTATTTTATTGATTGGAAACTAAGAGACATTTTTACATCTTCTGTGATCTTTCTTTAAATACATGTTTCTGTTTTTGTGTCTCTTTTAGGACACGTTGAATCCGAAGTGGAACTCCAATTGTCAGTTTTTTATAAAGGACCTGGAGCAGGACGTCCTGTGTGTCACTGTGTTCGAGCGAGACCAGTTTTCTCCTGACGGTCAGTCGAAATATCAATACAAATATTCATATACAGTATCTCCAGTAGAGACAATAAACGTTTGTGTCTAAATGAGACGACTAAATATCATCACGCCCAACATTAGCCGCCTTTAGCTTAGCGGTGGTGACGTGAAGTCATGTGACCGTGCTGTAGTTCCTCTATAGCCCAACATTAGCTTCCTTTAGCTTAGCGGTGGTAACGTGAAGTCATGTGACCGTGCTGTAGTTCCTCTATAGCCCAACATTAGCTTCCTTTAGCTTAGCGGTGGTAACGTGAAGTCATGTGACCGTGCTGTAGTTCCTTTATAGCCCAACATTAGCTTCCTTTAGCTTAGCGGTGGTGACGTGAAGTCATGTGACCGTGCTGTAGTTCCTCTATAGCCCAACATTAGCTTCCTTTAGCTTAGCGGTGGTGACGTGAAGTCATGTGACCGTGCTGTAGTTCCTTTATAGCCCAACATTAGCCTCCTTTAGCTTAGCGGTGGTGACGTGAAGTCATGTGACCGAGCTGTAGTTCCTTTATAGCCCAACATTAGCCACCTTTAGCTTAGCGGTGGTGACGTGAAGTCATGTGACCGTGCTGTTGTTCCTTTCTAGCCCAACATTAGCCTCCTTTAGCTTAGCGTTGGTGATGTGAAGTCATGTGACCGTGCTGTAGTTCCTTTATAGCCCAACATTAGCCTCCTTTAGCTTAGCGGTGGTGACGTGAAGTCATGTGACCGTGCTGTAGTTCCTTTCTAGCCCAACATTAGCCTCCTTTAGCTTAGCGTTGGTGATGTGAAGTCATGTGACCGTGCTGTAGTTCCTTTCTAGCCCAACATTAGCCTCCTTTAGCTTAGCGTTGGTGATGTGAAGTCATGTGACCGTGCTGTAGTTCCTTTATAGCCCAACATTAGCCACCTTTAGCTTAGCGGTGGTGACGTGAAGTCATGTGACCGTGCTGTAGTTCCTTTCTAGCCCAACATTAGCCTCCTTTAGCTTAGCGTTGGTGATGTGAAGTCATGTGACCGTGCTGTAGTTCCTTTATAGCCCAACATTAGCCACCTTTAGCTTAGCGGTGGTGACGTGAAGTCATGTGACCGTGCTGTAGTTCCTTTCTAGCCCAACATTAGCCTCCTTTAGCTTAGCGTTGGTGATGTGAAGTCATGTGACCGTGCTGTAGTTCCTTTATAGCCCAACATTAGCCACCTTTAGCTTAGCGGTGGTGACGTGAAGTCATGTGACCGTGCTGTAGTTCCTTTATATAGCCCAACATTAGCTTTTTAAACAAAAAGTCATAAAGTGGTTTTAATATGTAAAGATTATCCTACTGAACCAACTGGCATCATAAAGGTTTTTTTTCCAGAGATTATTTTCTACAATATTCCAAAATCCAATGGAAAAATCCCATTGGCTTTTTAGTCGAGGGATATGGAGATACTAACTTCAGTGTCTGCCTACAGAAATACATCATTACTACATCACTATTAGCTCTAAATGTGATTCACTTCTTATAAAACATCCTTATAATATATTTACACACTCTCTCTTTGGCTCCGCCCCCCAACAGACTTCCTGGGCAGGACAGAGATCCGATTGGCTGAAATAAAGAAGGACCAGGGCTCTAAAGGACCAATCACGAAGCGGTTGCTGCTTCACGAGGTTCCAACCGGAGAGATCGTCGTCAGGCTCGACCTCCAGCTGTTTGAAGAGCCGTAAAAAATGAAAAATGAAAACCTGGACAGGATCGGACTGGAAAGTGAAAAAAAGACAAAATGTGGAGCTGGATTAGACTGGACTGGAATATTCATAATAGTTTATTTTACTGAATTTTTTGAGTGCTTATAGGATCTTTATAACATTAGTCTCATTTGCTGTTAAAAGAACACATTAATTAAGAGCCTGACACTAAAAGCCCTAAATCCAGTGTACGTCAGTGACTTCTTGTTCATTTGATTAATTTGGTAATGTGTACCACCTACAACATTAACATGGGTTTTGCAGTGTTTCTCAATGTTGCAACCCTGTTTTGTGTCAAAATTGAGTTGTAACCCCTTGATTAATCTAGTGTATCTAATGCTTAATGTGTGCATTTTGCCAATATAACAGATTAAATTACCAAAAACTGAATGAGATTTCACATAATCTGGGCTGGCTGGTGTCTTGAAACATGAAAACAAGGCATTACAATATATAAATACATCTGTAAAGACATTCTTAACGAGCTTCAATGTAATTTAGCCATATTTTCTCTTAAACCGGAGTGGCATTAGTCGTCTTATTTGCAAAGCACTACACTAAATGTACGTGCTAGTCATTTAAAACTAGCGCAGACAGCAGAGGGCAGTGTGCAAATGTTCCTCCTTTTAAATACACGTTTTTATCCAGTTTGCGCAAAGTAAAACGTTTCAAAACTACATATCAAGCTTTCTGAGATGAATATGAAGCCTAGAACCGGATATCTGCAGGTTCAGATGGAATCACTGCATGTCATTACATTACTTTCAGCTGGTGCTTTTATCCAAAATCAACCATGACGAAACAAACAAAAACAAAAAAGCAAAAGTCCTGCGGCCACGTTAACTATCGATAAGTGCTACTGCATTTATTTCAAATAGGCAAAAAATGTCATAACCTCTTGAAACGTGCGATGCGATTTTAGGTCTTAATTTGAATTTAGCAGGTCTTAAAAATGATTTACTGGTTAGAGATCGTACCAGTTGTACAGATTTGTACCAAATGGTAGATTTTACTTTGCACTCCAGTTAGATATTTTGTCTATTTCCAGTCCAGTCTACGTCTGTCCTCTTTCATTTTAATTGAATCCAGTCCAGTTTCTTCGATATCAGCCGGGTTTCTCCTCCTCCTCTGCTTCAGCCTCACAGACACTCCAGTGACAATCCCAGCTCTCCTTTTAGTCCCTTAAAAAAACTAACCCTGTGTGTGTTAGTGTGTGTGTGAGTGTGTGAACGACTGTATGAGTGTTGATGTGCGGACAGGCTAATTTAAGGTACGATTCAGTGTACATTTGTATTTTTATTTTCTAACGTCAGAGTCTCAGAGTCTTAAGTGAAACTCATCAGGCTTTCTGCTGTGAGTGACTGCATGTAAAGGGACTTCAATTTGAGCTTTCATTGAACACTTGCCATGTCGGAAAGCAAAATATATGTACAGGTTTAATGAGAAACGATGCTAATACGCTGGAAAAAAAAACCCGAAATGACAAGTGTCCAGTGTCCCTTTATCATGTTTCAAATCTAATATAATATGCTGGAACACACAGGGAACAGTTAATATAAATTAAGGTACTGTAAAGAAAGATTTCACAATGCTGTTGTTAAAGTGGCCGTCGCTATATATGCAGGGGAGCAAAACCCTGAACATGCAAGGTACTACTGACATTTATTTTATAGGAAACAGCCTTTTAGACCATTTTACACTCTAACCCTGAAGAAAATAAGTGTATAAATAACAAAGTTACTGCGTTGGCACTCCCAGCACTTTTGAAACGCACACACTGTCGCTGGTATTCAAGCAGAGCAGGACTCAATGTTGCACAGCGGCCATTTTGAATAGTCAAAGTAGGAATTTGCTGACATATGACGTATAAAATAGCTCATAAATGTGTGTTTTGTTTGTTAAATTGGATCATTTGTTGTCAAAAAGCACTGGAATTTAAAGCAAACGGAGGAATTATTGTATTTGTGAGGGACTATTTTCAGTGGCGGATTAATCCACATTTAGCGTACTTGTAAATATTTAGTAAAAATTGGACAACAATGCAGCATCTACAGATGAAGAAGACAATATGTATATATAGAATATCATCTGCCCTGTCATTTTTGGGCTATTTCTTGAATAAAACTGCAGATTATTAAAACGTTTTGAGAGTAAAAGCTGTAGTAGCTGCTTACAATTAGCTTGAGGCTAGCTAGTAAGCTAAAGACTGCGGCAGCTCACTATAGCTAAAAGTATTCAAGTTTATTAAAATATTTATAAACTAATTCCTTCTCAAAAGTTTAAAGACTTATAGTTACCTCCTAAAAGACATTTGTGTATTTGTTTTTTATTGTATTTAATGTGAAAACCACTGAAATTAAGAGCAAAGGATTAGCATAGCATGGGCAGAGGAAGAACCCATTACATTTTGGAGCAAACCATTATCACGGGGGTGGTTACACAGATTTTATTTAACTTATTTTACATTGGGGGGTATGGCATTTGGCCTTGATGGACGCCTGTGTTCTTTGAGAACCATTTTAATTTCTTATTTGTTTATAATGCTGAGTATATAGCTTTTTTTGAGCTGTTGTTTACTATTGATGCCTCCAAATGGAGTTGTGTTGGTTTGTTCTGGAAAACGTGCCAATGGAAAGGAACCATGAGTTGTGACCTTTCTAAAAACAAATATAGTTTTATTGTTCTTTGACAAATCACTATTTTGGACAATAAGGCATCAAACACATTCAATCACTTAATTTCCTTTGTCCAAAAACACAGGAGTTTCTTTGAATGTAGCATAATTTCTCCACCATGAGTATTCAAAATGGCCGCTGCATTAGCCAGTTTTGACAGGTAACGTTACTGTAGATATGATCGTTAGCTAGTTAGCTAATTGGCTGCTTTTTAATTTAATGCCACGGTTACTGAATTCCCACTGAGACGACCAATAGTTACCTGAGTGACCAGCCACTGTCCAATCAGAAGTCAGCTTGACCTGAGGAAGGTGTGATCGAATGATTGTGTTTCCCCTGAAGATGAATTTGTCTTAAACCCCTCTTCCTCTTCCTCCTCTCCACACTGTACTGAAACTGATCCAGTTGCTGTCCACCCACCAGGTTGTGTATAATACTACTGCTATCTGAGAGTTAATATATGAGCGTACAGGAGGCCATAGAGACAGCCTGCTGTTAATTATCACTGTAGAAGAAGAGATGTACGTTGTTGTCTTTAATGTTCAGAATAAACTTCAGTTGGACCAAGACTGCAGCTGATTTATCACACACACACACACACACACACACACACACACCATGTATACATCACTTCAGGGGACATTACATTGACTTACATGCATTTCCTGGAGACTTATCCTAACCTTAACCATAACCAACACATGCCTAACCCTAACCCTAAACCTAACCAAGTCTTCACCCTAAAATTAATGATTCCCCTTATGGGGACCTCCATTTTGTCCCCATAAGGGAAGCCAGTCCCCACACGTGACTGTGTAAACAGATTTAGGTCCCCACAAGGATAGTAATGCTAGGACACACACACACACACACACAGACAGACAGACACACAGTATAAGTATATATGTACATGAAGATGCATTTTATGTTGTACAACACACAGTACAAATACACACAGGTGAACAAATGTGCATTTTGGAGAGACAGCCAGTCGAGGGGGAGGGGATATCTGGACATTTACCCTTTAAGACTGTGGTCTATATTCGTGGTTTCTTTGGGAAATTATTTAGTTAGCTCACACATTTCATATATACAGGAATAAGAAAGGAAATAATTGTATTTGTCCCAAAATCACATTTATTATGCCTTTATGTTTCTTTAATATTTGATTTAATGGAAAATCCTAGACATTTCCCCTTTTAGACTTCTACATCTCTGGTTAAACCTAAAATGGCTGGGAATCACTTGATCACATGTACAAAACATGTATATTCTTATGCTGTTTATTGTTTCAGCTGTACATGATGTAGTGTGTATTTGTGTTTATTTTTTTGCACAATTTAAAGTAATTCCTAAAGAAATATTGATATTTCTACAAGTATTTAAATGTAGTCATTTACTGTACTTATTTCATTTACTTTTTTGTTTGCATTTTTTTGGCACTACTATTGCTCCAGACCTTTCAGCAATGTGTGCGTGTGCGTGTGCGTGTGTGTGTGTGTGTGTGTGCGTGTGTGTGTGTGTGTGTGCGTGTGTGTGTGTGTGTTGACACATTCATTTTATAAAAAGGAACACATATGCAGGCTCTATTTCTTTTCCAACCAGGGTCAATTCTGATTGACATGACATGTAAACCCTGTCACCTGCAGGGCTAAAAGAAGACTTTTGGGTCAGGTCTATTAACTGAAGTATGTATGTATGGGTCCAGAACATACTCATGTCCCACCCTCTTAATTTAATCAGGGAATAGTCCTTTCTGTAAACATGCAATAAACAAGAAAAAAAGGGGTGTGAGAAAGTGATCCAACTCGTGTTGTGCTGTACATGCAGAGAAAGGAGGAGTTTCCTTTTCACAACAAAATAGTCACAAAGACGCTGGATGTTACCCACATTCCTTTCAAAATAAAAGCACCGCATAGAATTGCAGTTAAGAAGTAAGTGAAAAAAATTGAAGAAAATCCAATTCACCGTTAATAATTTTTTTAACGTTTCTACTTGAACATTCATAATAAATCTTAGCATGTATTAGCATATGTGTCATTGGCCGTAACGCTTTCAGAAAGACGGATTTGTTAAGGCTTTTATTTTGAAAAGCCTAATCGGAACTAGTCCGTCTTTTTCTGTGTTTCGTGACATCAACATTTGGAGGTTTAAAGAACGGAGCTTTAAAAATGCTTTGAAAACACGGGACAGCTGAAACAAAATATGTTAGCTAGCTTGCAAATAACCTAACAAACAGCCGGTTAAAAGTCGATTTAATCATTTAAGGTCGACATTAAAAGAGTGTTTTATCTACGCGTTTAGATTATTTACCTGAATGCATTCATTGCGGTTGTTATTTTTGCATTTTGTGCCATTTTAATGCGTTAAAAATACTATGTTTGTGTGTCAAAATCGGTTAAAACAGAGTAAAACTGCCATGGTGGAGCACAGGGAGCTGCAGGACATTTAGTTCTTTCCCAGAGAGACATTCCTCCTCACTGTTTACCAAAGAGTTACACACTTATATTACACCTATAGACATATATATTATTATTTAAACAATCATGGCTGCTGTATTGCTCAGAAGAGGAACAGGATTATGTGTAAGTATATTTGTTTTTTTCCCTATATGTTCATAACATGACTTTATTTTGACCCCATGTGTTAAACTATAGATAGCAATGACTTACGCCATAATCAGCGCCATATAGATAGAATTCTATTATACGGCTCTGGCCATAATAAAGTAACTTATGGGAAGTATATTCAATGCATTTAAGGTTATTGCACTTATTGCATGTTTACCTACACGAACACGATGTGTCACCAGATGTAACATGTACATTTAGGGTACATTTCTCTCAAAGAAGAGTTAGTAAGGCCCTTTAACATGACAATAAGTGAATCTGAAAATGACATATGTACAGGATAAGAGTACAGTTACATTAAATTATATATGCTGTATATTACAATTGACTAGGCTATCTAGAAACATAACTAAGATATACGGTTTTATGTCAAATTAACAGTGTATTAAATTATTAAAAGTCTAACAATGCAAATTTGAGAAAGCCAGGACTACCTTGTAAATCCCATACTGTGTGTGTGTGTGTGTGCAGTGTTTTCACAGGGAGTTGTGCAGAGTTGTATGGAGGTCACAAACTGCACTGTACAGCTTCAAACCTTCAGACAGAAGGACACACATCAGTAAGACACACAAACACACACCTGTCTGTCAGGTTTTACTTGTAATCCCCACAGTTATCATTGTATTTTATTCCGCCTACACCAATAATAAGGCTGCGTTCAAATAGTCCTTTTTGCTTAGGAAGTTTCCTTACTGAGTGAAATGATCAAGAATATTATTGAGGTCAAGAATTGTTTTGACTATTATAATATATAAAATGCCACCATGTTGTATCGGTAAACTTAGGAAACAAAACATTGAGAGTTTACAAGTTTTGTACCAGGTGTTGGCAGAATTTATATTCCAACATCGACCATCAATGTCTTGATTAATTAACAAAGTTTCATGGAAAATGAACTGTTAGTGTATTCATGACCAAACACGTGTGTCTGTCAACAAATTAAATACCTAAAATCTACTCGATGTGAATATTTCCTTATAGCAATATCTAAAAGTCCTTTAAGGAACAACACTTTCCAGAAAACAGAGAACCTGGGTACTTTCAGAATGTCCTCTACTGAAGTGATTTATTCTCATTTTGTATTTTCCTTTCCTCACAGAGAAGGCTAAGACTCAGCCTGCGGTGGACGTCTCTAAACTCCTGGAGCAAATCTTCTCTTATCGCAGGCCGGGATCAACGCCTCCTGCTGCTAAAGGTCAGCACAGTAGAAAGAAAAAAGCGTCAGTCATAGACAACAACAAACACTATTACATATGTCTTTTATCCTGTCAACAAAGCAGAAAGAGCTGGTTTCGGATTCATACTGGATCATTTTTCCTCATTCTTCCAGTAGTGTAGAAATCAACGTTAAGAGGGTTTACAGTAGTTTCTGAGAATTTGTACGAGTCACTTCTTTAAGACTTGTTCATGCATCATTTTTTACTACCTGTATTTCAGACATTGATGACATTACATTTAGCTGAAGCTTTTATTATGATGAGACAGATTCAACCCAGGCAAGATTCCTAAAACTGCATTAGCCCCATATAATCCAAGGCTTTTGAATGAATATATATATATATATATATATATATATATATATATATATATATATATATTTTTTTTTTTAATCAGTCTGTATCTCGGCCATGTTAGATAAGGTTACAGTATGTACATTTGAGATAGGAACATATGGGAAAAGCACATTCAAGTCCAAATAACATGTTAATGAGTTACTGAGTTAACACACTTTTATTACCCTGAATCTGTCAAACATACATTTGTACTGCTTTGTTTCTGACATGTTTATTAAATATCTTTCATGCCCCTTACATCACATTTGTTCCTCTTCTCCACTTCCTCCCCACAGCTCGACCTACCACACCTCCCACCACCACCTCAAATGTTCCTAATTGTTCAAAGAGAGAACCAGCAGTCTCTCCTGCTTCTTCTAATACCAAACAAGTTTCTGAGGATCTTTCCAAAGTGACTGTTCCTGCTAGCAGCACAACATCTGCAGCATTAGCATCAAACACTTCAGCAATAGAAAGCCAAACTTTGACTGAAGCAATAGAAACCCAAGAGGAAACTGACTCAGTCCTGCTCTCATCAGCACACTCACAAGAGAAGAACATGGAGGCTTCATCTTCTTCAGCTCCTACAGTAGACACCTTGATAGAAACTGCATTAAAATCAGTAGACCCTGAAATATCTCCTGTAGAAACATTAGAAGCTAGACCTGCTGTTGCTGAGGGTGCAATAGATGCTCCAGCTGAAACAGTGACAGACTCAGAGGTCTCATACACTACCAAGGAAGAACTTATATTAGCAACAACAGAATCATCAGTAGAAATCTTCAATTCTCCCGTGGAAACACTAGAAACTGGAGCTGCCGTTGCTGAAACTTCAATAGAAAGTCCAATGGAGGTTGAAGCAGATACAACCACACACAAAGTAGAAACTAACACCACAGACTTAGATTCTGGAAACCTCCCACACATTGCAGAAGAAACACTAGAACCACCAGTAGAAGCTAACCATGTTGCTTTGGAATCACTAGACACTATACCTCATGTTGTTGAGGGTCCAGTAGACGTCACAGTACATGTAGCATCTCCAAATGTAGAAACCCAAAGCACAGACTTGGGTTCTGTTAACCTCTTGCACACAGATCAAGAAGACACTTTAATAGAAACAAGCCATTTTACTTTGGAAACAGATACTCAAGCTGCTGTAGGTTCAATAGAAACCACAATAGAGGCCAAAGCAGACACAACTCAACAAATACAAACCAACAGCACAGTCTCAGATCCTATAAACATCTTGCACACTGACAAAGACCACACTTTAATAGAAACAGTAGAACCACAAGTAGAGACAAGCCACTTTCCCGTAGAAACACTAGAAACGGAAGCTGCTGTTCTTGAGCATCCAGTACAGAGTTCAATAGATGTCACAGTACATGCTGAGAAAGTAGAAACCAAAAGCACGGACTCAGGAGTCTCATCCAGCACCAAAGAAGAACCTTTAATAGAAACATTAGAACCAGTAGCAGCCATACTTTTCCCATTTGAACCAATAGAAATGAAAGCTGCTGATGCTGAAGGGTCAGTAGAAGCTACAGTAGAGACTGAAGCAGAAAAAGCAACTCTGGAAATGCAAACCAACAGCATTGACTTGGGTCTTGTTCATCTCTCACACACTACCAAGGAAGAACCTTTAATTGAAGCAATAGCATCACCTGTAGAAGACAGCCATGTTGCATTGGAAACACTCAAAACGGAAGCCGCTGTTTCAGAACATCCAGTCGAAACTACAGTACAAGTAGAAACCCAAAGCCCAGACTCAGGTTCTGATAACCTCGTGTACACTGCCAAAGAAGAACCACTAATAGAAACTACAGTAGAGACCAGTACCTCTGCTTTTTCTGAAGGTACGATTGAGCCCACAATGGAAACTGAAGAAGCTGAAAACCTCTCACATGCTGCCTTAATCCTGAATGCACAAGACTCCTTGCCTTTGAATAATGAATCAAATGTAGAATCATGCTCGGTGAATGTAGACGAGGCTCTGGTAGCGTCTTTAAAAAACAAAGAGCTCACCCTAACAACATTTTTCGTCGAAGGAGAACAGCTGAAGGAGATTGGAGCGAATGACAAAGCTGCTGTGACAGAAACGGAGAATTTAAGCGACGATGAGCGAGATGTTTTAACCCAAGTTCCTTCCTCTTTTTCGGAGGATCTTCATGGGTTAAAAGGAACTAGTGGCATGTTAGTGAACGAGCTTCTCCGTCATGTTCCTGCTGAGCTTTCCAAAACTCCTGAAGCAAAAGGAGAGCACACAGAGGAGGAGGAAGCCATGACGCTGGAATCGATAACTTTAGCAAAAGCCATGGGAGGGATTCGGAGGTCTTGAAACAGAAGCTCTGTTAGAAACAAGGAATGCACTGGAGGAAGACGCTGAGGTACTCGCCAAAGAGGAGACCACAAAAGAGGACGTTGTTTACGAGGACACGTCAGAGGAAGACATGTTAACGCTGGATTCTATCTCTGAAGCTACAGATGCAATAGAAGCTGAGACCGCTGTCATGCTGGAGGCCATACTCGGTCTTAAACAAGCAGCGAGGCAGCAGGAAGAATGGCAGAATGGTGAATCTATTGTCCAGGAAGCAGAACAGGAGTCCGTAGAGCAGCAAGTGAGCGCGTTGGAGGCTATGGGTGAAGTTGAGGCATCTCTGGAAACACTGGAGAACGAGTCTCTGAGCGAAACCACCGATAATCTGGAGAGAGAAGCTGATTCTGGAGATGAGGAGGATGTGGAGGCGACTGAGACTCTGAAGATGTCTGAAGATCTGCAGAGAGATGTCCTGACGGAGGAGCGGTTCATTTCTGTTCCTGGACACGAGGAAGGAGTAGGCCCTGTTGGTCCGGAGGTCATAAGAGCGGATATTTTGGAGGGTAAGTTTGACTCCTGAAGTTATAGAGGCATAGGTAGAAGCAAATGAAAAGGGGAGTAGTAAGAAGATACTAGAGATGCAACGATGAATCTGCTGAACGTTGGAAAAGGCGTTTTTTTATTATCATTTCTGCTTGGCTGTTTGTGTAAGGATTTTACAACCTAGATAACAGCGAGTCATCTTCAAGGATTCAAGGCTTTTTGTCACGACCTTAACACAAACTGGAGAACCCAAATGCACGACCCAGAGACAGTCTTGAATGTAGCAACAAATGGAAAAAATCCCTCTTAACAGAGTAGGTACTGGATTAAACAAAGCGCTCACAAGGAGGAAAAAACAAACGTAACAAAAAGAGAATTTATGATTAACTTAAGTCTGCAAAAAAATAACAAAATAACAAAACCTGACTGGACTGGAAATGACCCTCTCTTGGCTGAAGCCTGGCACGACCATCCATGGAAACAAACAAGACGAACTGACACAGGACAGGGGGGAGACAGGACAATTTAAACATGAGGTGAGTGGGAACAGGTGGAAACAATCAGGGGCGGGGCAGACGCTGACGAGGGCGGGAAAAACACACCGGGGGAGGAAGTAACAGTGCCTGAAATGAAAGACAAGAGGTAAATACAAAATAAAACAGGAAATGGAAAACGAGACATGACAATAAACACAGAGACTGACTAGAGATGAAATGACATAAATAGACAGACATGACATTTGACGAGACACAACACTTTTATTGTCATTCGTACTTAGCTACAGTGTAGATATATCAATGTCAATCTTAGGTCACAGGCTCTCCAACAGCGCAACACAATGAAACAGATACAATAGTTAAAATAGTGTAAGTAAATACAGATAAAATAGGGTAGAATCTTGTGAGATTTGGCAGCTGTTTCCTCCTGATACCAGTCTTTAAATGGTGTTCTTTGACTCCAAAAGACTCTGAGATGGAGTCTTTAGAAATACATGTCAACAGGTATTTGTTAAGCTGTCAAAGAGATGCTTTGTAAAGAGGAGTCCGCTCTTGCCCTTATCTCTCCTCTCGGTTGTTTTAACAAAACAGCTGCTGTAGTTACCGAAGATTTGAAGGAGGAGAAGATGGAGGAGAAGATGGAGGAGAAGATGGAGGAGAAGGGAACACAGACTGGAGCCCTGAGTGATGAATACGCCTCAGGAACACATGCAGGTGAATACACTTGGAGAAACATGTAGTATGTTTTTTCATTAATATTTTTGGGATTCAACCACCATGAGGGTGCTGGAAAGGGTGTCAGATGCTGTGAGTCAATCAGACCTGCATTGTTTGAAGCATACTGAGGCCTTCACTGTATCCAAGTGTTTTATTTGCCTAACTTTACCTATTTCATGAATGTACTTAATTTGCTAAAACCATAAACTTTCTGTCTTTCATTTTTGTAAAGCACTTTGAATTGCCTTGTGTTGAAAGGTGCTGTATAAATAAACTTGCCTTGCCTTGCCTTGCATTGATAATTGATAATTTAAAAGACGTCATAACTAATCATAATCTGGAGTTTTTCAGAATTGCATATTATCAATTTTATTTCGTTATAGTTTTGGGTTTTGCACCTATCATGCTATTTTTAGGCAATAGCATAGGTCTCAGATATATATAAATATATAAAAAACATGTCTATGAAGTGTTTTGCTCAAAATACCAAACAGATCACCCATTCTAGCCATGCCTCATATCCCTCTATTTCACTTCCTGTTTCCAAAGTGCTGATTTTATGTATAAAGCTTTAAAAAAAAAAAAGAATTGATAACAAATAAAAAAGTAGGGTGCTGAGCTCATGCGGGACCCGGCAGCTACTGTCTAAACTAAATACTGCCGTGATGAAACGCCATATCATGGATTATCAAGGATTCTTTCTGAAACAGTATGGAGCTCAAAGGCTTTCTCTCTTGCCGGTTATACCACAAGGTGAGTTCCTTTTTATTTCCTGCTTCTTCACACACATGCTCTCCAGTACAGGTTAGCTCTGAGTGTTAGCCATGCTAATGTAAACACCGACCATATTACGTCCAAAACAGTGGGGCATTGTTTCTGATAGCAACGTTTCTGATAGGGCCGTGGGTCCACATTTCAGATATTACGTCATATCGGACGCAAATCTGGATCAGCTCCGTTGTTCCCCCGTTTTTAGAGATTTGGGTACGGAGGAAAAGAGAGAGGGTTTTATTTTCTGACGCTGCGTGAGTTCCCTGACACACCGGGGACACATCTTTATGTATACAAGACATCAAAAAGTGCATTTTGCATGATAGGTCCCCTTTAATAATAGTATTGTTTTTATGTGTTTTTCAGATTTAGATCCGGTACAGAGACTCTTCCTGGAGAAGATCAGAGAATACAACAACATGCACAGGTAGATTGATTGATTTAAAAAAAGTAAATACAAGTTAAATGTCCAATTGAAGATACTGTAAAACAAAATATAACATCGATATTCATATTAACATAATAAGTTAGAAAATAAGTAAAATTGTGCACATGTAATAACATGTATAACATTTATGTTCCAATATAAACATTGGGGAAAATGTCCAATAGGCTAACAAGGTGATAAACAGTTTAAGAAGGACACACACACACACACACACACACACACACACACACACACACACACACACACACACACACATACACACACACACACACACACACACACACACACACACACACACACACACACACACCACACACACACACACCACACACACACACACACACACCACACACACACAGAGTATTTACAAGGTAATCCTGATTTTCTCAAGTTTGCATTGTTAGACTTTTAAGAATTTAATACACTGTTCATTTTAAATAAAACCGTATATCTTAGTTATGTTTCTAGATAGCCTAGTCAATTGTAATATACAGCATATATATATTTAATGTAACTGTATACTCTTATCCTGTACATGTGTCATTTTCAGCCTTACTTACATCTGGTGACACACCGTGTTAGTGTAGGTAAACATGCAATAAGTGCAATAACCTTAAATGCATTGAATATACTTCCCATAAGTTACTTTATTATGGCGTAAGTCATTGCTATCTATAGTTTAACACATGGGGTCAAAATAAAGTCATGTTATTAACATATAGGGAAAAAACAAATATACTTACACACACACACACACACACACACACACACACACACACACTTATATCAGTGTGTGGTTAAGTCCTTGTTTTTGAGCCTTTTGAGTCCCACATTTTAAACGTCATTGGTCTTGAGGGAATATCTTTGTATTTCATTGTTACTTAGCTATTAAAACCTTAACCTAAGAAGTTTCTTATGAATCTAATCTTTACGTTAAGAGTCCTAACGCCCTATTGTTAATTTTTTTTCTTATTATAACCCTGTTACAAAGACACACTTACAGATGCACTCATTGTATTTCTGGCTGCAATCACGACTCCCTGCAGATTATCCTCATCCGTTTTGAAGTGACTGTTATTTTGTATATATTGACTGTTGTGCCATTTATTAATGTGTGCATACAGTATGTGTCTGTTTGATTATGTATGTGTATATAATATATATATATATAAGTTGGTGTATGTCATTCCTCAGGATTGTAAGAAACAGCATTTCTATCTCCCTGTCTGTATCACACAAACAGCAGGTTGACTTTGACCTTTGCCTCTTCCTCTCTACAGGCTGAATGGAGGTCTGCTGGAGGAAGATCCAGATTACGATAAACATCTTTCAGAGGAGAGAGCGAAGCTGCAGAGGCTTTACGGAGGAGGAGATCTGAGCAGCTTCCCTCAGTTCAGCTTCAGCGGTGAGAGGGAGCTTCATTCACAGAGAAAACTTCACTTTATACACGAGATGTAGAGGTGTTGAATGTGTGTCAAGATATTCCAGAAATGTGTTTAAAGCGTTGATTGAACATAGCAGCTATTTTTTATGGTATGACATGTAAATATCTTCTTTCATACAGAAAATACGACTCAAAGGGATTCACATAGAACATTTCCATAAACAACATAGACAACAAATACTATTTTACAGGACTAAAACTGGCAATTTAAAAAATGAATAAATCCAAGTTAAAATAATGAAATACCATAAATACAAATGCAAAGTATAGAAAATAACATTATAATTATAAAAGCTTAAAAACTAAGGCTATAGTATAACTCCAAATTAAAAGATAGATTACGTAAATAGGGTTAGATGCTATAAATTACCTATAACGTCTTTGAAATGCAGCAAAAAGAAAGCAATGTACCTTAAAAACACAAACCCTCTGCACTCAGAATTTAAGCTTCTTCCTTCGGGCCGGAGGTTAGTCGTCCCAAAGAGTAGAACGAAGCAGTTTTATCCCAGCAGCTATTGCACAAATTATCACATCATAGAAGCGTCACACAGATGCCTATTTATTTATTTAATAATGAATTTTGAGATTTGACGAAGCAGGGTGTACTTGTACTTTTTACTAGTCCTTTTATTAGAGATGTGTTTGTTTGTGTGTCAGGATGGAACCCTTGTCTTTTTCTCTGTAAACAAAATCTACCTACGGGTACAAAATAAAGAACCTGAACCTGAACCTGAAGGATGATTTACAGAATTTAAAGTTAGTTATAGTCACAAAACGTGGTAAAGAACACCATTGCAGCATAAATCTAAACAATCTTTTGGATATAGTTTAGTTTTTTCGGAGGGATGTTCGATTAAACAAAACACATTTTCCAAGAGGTCACAATGACAAACGTTATGGCTGACGATACAATTACTTTTGGAGATTATGAATTGTATTTTTGCCTTTCTTTAGCCTCTGATTAATATGCATGTGTCACTGCAAGGACTCCTTCAAATATGTACAGTGGGGAATACAAATGAATGTATCTTGAAAAGTATCTTAAATATCATCTGCTGTTTTTCTCCTTAGAGCCTGAAATGGACAAGGAGTCCAAATGATCCACGACGTCTTCATCCTACACATCTTGATCTTTAACGAACGTCTCTCTGATAGTTTTAATTTACTACATGGGAGAACAGATTTGAGGGAAGAAGAAGCACATGATGTTTGTTTGTGTGATCTGCCGTTAAAACAAGGGATTTTAATCTTGTTTGTCTCTACTGTGCAATAATGATAGTAACAAATGATATATTATATTTTATTAAAGCAACACTTTCAAAAGAGAACATCTTGTGTTTTCTGATTCACAGGATGTGTGGGTGTGTGTGAATTGCAATGAACATGTAGCATAACACAGAAAAGGCCTGGATGAACAACAACAACACACACACTTATTTTCCATGATCTCACATGCATTTGGCTATATTTCATGTTTTTCATATAGTCACAACCACAAACACACACACACACACACCAAAAAAAGATTAGTGCTACACCAAACTACAAGCTCAAAAATGCAGTTTTTAAAATGTATTTTAATCATTTATTTGTTTTACGAGAGAAGACCCATCTGAGTTCATTTGTATATACAGTATGACTCGCCATAGTTATTTAATAAGCCTATTTAATTCATACAGAACACAGCGCATACTAATCACCATCAAAGGAATGTCTCACGAGATACATATTTATTTATTTCTAGATTTATTTATGTACTTATTCTTTAATATTTTTTTAACTGTTTATTTTTATTACTGGATTTCTTTTTTTACTATTCTTTATTATTTTTTATATTTGTTATGCATACATTCATTGACTTATGCTTATTTATTATTTGTGTTATTCTCATGGCATTCTCAGTCCTCCATAGATTGTACAGTGTGTAGAATAGTAAGTGATATGATTATAGACACAATTTTTTTTAGGGCACTTTAACTGCTTTACTGAAGGCATATTGGTTTCGTATAAAATCAATATTTACTTACCTTTGTTGCAGTTCATTTGTACTGAACACATAATAAGCTCCAAAGATTTAATCATTGACCTTATCACATGAGTGCACCATACACCGCACGCTTTTATCCAATCACAGTCGGAGCTTGAATCGTATCTTGGCGTTGATTCGCCGAACCGCATGTCCGTCATGTGTTTAGGGCGTTGCCTTTCTCGGCAGCTGTCAGATGCAGAGCTTCTCCTCTAAAACGGCCGAAAACACGGCAGGACAGATGAATATCGGACATTTGTGAACAAAAGCAGTCTTTTAGAAACAAAGGTAAGCACTTAATTTCTTAACAAGTCGTTTTTAGTGATATCTAAATGCCAGGTGCCAGCTTCTAACGGTTATTATTCCTGATGTTTTTAGCACCTAGCTAGTGCTAACGGTCACCTGGCAGTTACAATGGAGCAGTTAGATTTGTAGGCTGTTTCTCACATGAATATTAAGTGACGTAACATTGCCGTTAAATAATAAAATAGAGCATTACATGAACCGTTACTGAGCTAATGGTTTCGTTCAGGGGCGTAACCAGCAAAGGGTTAGAAGGGGGGCACCATGAGAGACTGTTTATCATCCAGAAACACCCTTATTTACATTAAATATTAATATAATCTGCCTTGTTTTGGGCTCCCTGTAGTGGGAAGTAGGGCTGCACAATTAGTCGAAATGTTGTCAAAGTCTCACCATGGACTATTTTTCAATTATATTGTGAATAGTGTTTAAAAAAGGGGAATTCAGCAGAGTATAAGGGGCACTATGAGAGACTGTTTACCTGACAGAAACAGCCTATTTGACCGTATATATTAATATAATCTGCCTTTCTTTGGATTCCCTGTAGTGGGGAAGTGTTGTAGAATTTATCGAAATGTATAATCATAATATGTTTCTGTTATATTGAGAATAATGTGTTCCCTTTGTCATACCAATACTGCACATATTTTATTGTATTCTATTTCTATAATTCATCTATATTCCATGTACATATTGCTATTGTTATAATAGTTTTATTAGAATAGATTTGTATCTTTATTTGTTGGTCCTTTTCTTACAGTGTAGCTTCTTTAACTGTGTTTACTGTATGTATGTATGCACCAAATACATCAAGGCAAATCCCTTGTATGTAACCTTACGTATTTTTGTATGCCGACCCGGAAGCTAGCATCTCCCTGGTTCCCTTGACAAAAAGCCAATGGGATTTTTCCATTGGATTTTGGAATATTGCACAAAATAAGCTCTGTGACCAACACATGTTTATGATACTTACACAGTTTGTTAAGCAGGAAAATCCCTTTGTAGTTGCACGTTTTTAGGATTTTTTAAGCGTTAATTCAATCGCCAAAAGTACAAAGCTAATGCTAGAAAAGATAAGATAAATTGGACCTTTATTTATCCCCTTAGGGAAATTCACATTAGGTGTTAGGCTATAAACAAACTACATTAAGGTCACAGATAATATTCTGTGTGATGACATTTAGTCGTGTCATGTTGGAAACCGGCTTTTTTAAAACACTTTGGAAATTCACTTTTTCAGTATTTACTGACATATCTTATGTCAGAACACATTTTCTTTATAGTCGACTGTATCTATCTTGCCTTTTTACACTTTCTCCTGCCACTCATTGTACATCCCTTGCTTCCTCCAGAGTGCTGATCCTCCCCAACCATCTAGCGGACCATCGGACCCCCATCATATCATCATCATGGAGGCCGCCAACAGCTACGTGCTCATCCACGGGAAGAACATATCCCAAAATACCCTGGCAGGCTCTGCAGCCGGGCCCCACATGTCCATCGATAAGCTGTTCCCGGCTCTCCTCGAGTGCTTTGGCATCATATTGTGTGGCTACATAGCTGGCAGGTAGGCAAAAGCAGTAAACACAATCTCGCAGTAAACACAATCTCACAATTTAAAGGGATTATTATAACGCCTATTCATTTAGTGAACAGACTTGCAAAATGCCATTTAAAAACGTCATAAACCAAGTGATAACTACAACAGTGAACCTTCTGTGTTCATGTTTCTCTCTGTCACAAGACTTAAATCACACTTAATTCAAACTCAACACAAACAAAGTAAGTCTAATGAAAGCCTTCCTGTCTTTCTGCTGTTACGACAATCACCACCTTTGTTTTTGTCCTCAAACAAACCACTAATCCACCCAGTTAAATATGAAAATATACGACGCTGAGTAGTCTTTCATATTCTTTTAAGTTGGTGTCACATAATAAACTAGCATTTCAAGTTTTTGCTATAAGCTGGAATAACCAAATCAACATATAAATAGTTATACGTGAACAACATCTGTGTGTTTATTGCCAATTCTTCCATTTGATCCTACAGGGCAGATATCATCACACAGAGCCAGGCGAAGGGTTTGGGGGCCTTTGTGTCTAAATTCGCTCTTCCAGCTCTGCTCTTTAAAAACATGGTGCTTCTGGACTTTGGAGACGTCATCTGGGCGTTTCTCTGGAGCGTCCTGGTCGCTAAGGTTGGTGTCTGACTGTCTGTTTATGTATCTTACTTCATTCACTTAAAAAAAAAAATAGCAACCTGTATTCAAGATCATACAATAAGGCATGTTTTGTTTTCTTTACACTGCCTGTAAATACATTAGTTTGTATTTTAAGCAAAGTACATGTAGTGACAAACCAATAACAAGTACACACTATTTGTATTTACTTTCTTTGTTATGTCAGGGTGTAGGATTTTAAGAAGTCATGTGATTATAACCTACATTTGAGGCTCCTCTCCTGCAACCTAATTGAATTCTTTTTTGTTTCATTGGACTTTTATGTCTTTTACTGTTATATTAAGTATGTTGCAGTGTTGGAACAGCTTGCGATTTAAGATTTCCGTAGCCCAAACAATGCTGTAGCTATTGTGTATGAAAAATAAAGCCTTTGAATGTTTGCATGCTGTGTGTAGGTGACGGTGTTTGCGCTGGTGTGTGTTCTGACTCTGATGGTGGCCAGTCCAGAGTGCAGATACAGCAAGGCGGGTCTATACGCCATCTTTGCTACGCAGAGCAATGACTTCGCCTTAGGATACCCCATAGGTGAGGAAGACACTGATGCTTTCTACTCAAATGTTCTTTTTCTTATTTAAAGGTCCCCTATCATACAGTTTTTCATCAATATATTATAGGTCTCAGATATATCCAGAGCCTGTCTCTGATTGGCTGAAACACCAAACAAATCATTGCAGCATTACCCATAATCCCCTCTGTTTCAGCCCTGTTTCCAAAGTGCTGATTCTCTGTCTGTTACTTTAGATGAAAATAAGGAGCCCCTCCCCACGCCACTCTGAGAGAGATTTGGTTAGAAAGAACACAATGGTGCTCTAGGAGGAGATTCAGGTGATAAGGTGGGGGGGGGGGTTACCTTGGTAGCTGATTGGCTAATGGTTACACAAGACAAAACATCGTTATGACATCATAAAGTGGCCAAAATCTGATCAGCTCATTTTCAGACAGGTTTTTATAAAAATGGATCAAAAAGAGAGAGAATCTTTGTTCCTGAAACTTTCAGAATCTCTTTACACAGAGGGGACACATGTTGATGTAGAAGAGACATGAAGAAGAGGGGACACATGTTGATGTAGAAGAGACATGAAGAAGAGGGGACACATGTTGATGTAGAAGAGACATGAAGAAGAGGGGACACATGGTGATGTAGAAGAGACATGAAGAAGAGGGGACACATGTTGATGTAGAAGAGACATGAAGAAGAGGGGACACATGGTGATGTAGAAGAGACATGAAGAAGAGGGGGACACATGTTGATGTAGAAGAGACATGAAGAAGAGGGGACACATGTTGATGTAGAAGAGACATGAAGAAGAGGGGACACATGGTGATGTAGAAGAGACATGAAGAAGAGGGGACACATGTTGATGTAGAAGAGACATGAAGAAGAGGGGACACATGTTGATGTAGAAGAGACATGAAGAAGAGGGGACACATGTTGATGTAGAAGAGACATGAAGAAGAGGGGACACATGTTGATGAAGAGAGACATGAAGAAGAGGGGACACATGTTGATGTAGAAGAGACATGAAGAAGAGGGGACACATGTTGATGAAGAAGAGACATGAAGAAGAGGGGACACATGTTGATGTAGAAGAGACATGAAGAAGAGGGGACACATGTTGATGTAGAAGAGACATGAACAATTGGATTTTGCATAATAGGTGACCTTTAAAGTCTCCTTTTCTCTGTGTTTCTAGTTGATGCTTTGTATCGGAGCACATATCCAGAGTACCTGCAGTACATCTATCTCGTTGCCCCGGGTTTCTCTCATGCTGCTCAATCCCATCGGCTTCGCTCTGTGTGAGGTGCAGAAGTGGAAGCAGACCAACCATTCACACAGCACTAAGCGCATCGTGGGAGTCGTAGTCCTACAGGTAATGTGTGTGAACAGTGGTGCAGTGATGATGTAGGCTGTAAGCTAGCATCGTAAGGGTTTCTTTGGACAAAAAGCATTTGGATTTCTGAATATTGCTGAATATAAGCTAAGCAATCACATGTTTATGAAAGGTACAGGTTTTGTTAAGCTGGACCTTCTCCACATATTAACACCCCTTTATGATTTTTGAAGTCAAAAGCTAACGTTAGGCTACTAAGGAACTACAGCACGGTCACATGACTTCGCTTCACCACCGCTAATGTTGGGCGTGATGACATTTAGTTGTTTCATTTAGACACTTGTTAGAGACAGACCTTATTTCAGGCTAACAACCAAAAACACATTCAGAAAACTGAATTACAAAAACTAGTTTGACAAAGTTACACCTCAAGATCTTATCCACAGTTTTTTCCTTAATGTAAGTTGATCACTCCCTCTCTCTGCCCCCTCTGCAGGTGATGAAGAACCCCATAGTGTTCATGGTGATAATAGGGATCCTCTCCCACTTTGCACTGGGCCAGCAGATCCCCGCCGTGCTCTCTCAGTTCATCGACGGCCTGGCCAACTCTTTTGGAGGAGCGGCTCTGTTTTACCTCGGCCTCACTATGGTAGTTTATTTTGGTTGATCACATTACATTTTGATTGACTACTGTAAAGTCAGCAGTAGTTTTTTTTTAGCTAAGTTTAATTTGAATTACCTTGGAAGAGATTTCAAAAATGTTGACCCCTTTTGTTAATGCAAAGGGTAATACATTTTTTGTAAGAACCAAAACTCTGGGTTTCCGGTCCTACGACGCTGGTTCACTTTTTAGTGGGCTAGATCTCCATGGTAACTTATGCTGAGCGGCTAGCCTGGTCTGGAGCAGGTTAGGTTGCAGGCTAAGAGATCAACTCAGTGAAAGCACCGCCTGCTGACCAATCAGAGCTCAGTGTGCGGAGTTTAAAGCGATCAAGTCATATTACAGGAGGATACAGAAAAACTGCCGTTGCAGGAAAGACGGCCGGCAAAAATCACCGACTGTGTGAACGTGAAAATTAATAGAATATCCCCTCCCATCTTCAGAGCAATCTGACTATTATAACATTAGCGTTAAGAAAGCTTACTTAAATATCTGCCACGACATAAGTAACCGGATCAGAGTAACATTAAGTACAGTCCGCGGCACTGTGAGTGCAGACGTCGATGTGTCCCATTATCATTCATATCATATCACATCATAATGTATCATATATTTCCTTATTTGAGTCAGCTGAGCCGTATCTGGCCGTGCAACACTCACAGTGTCACATACTGTATGCAGAAGTATTATTTTAAGCAACACATTAAGTTGACGAAACACTCGAGTCAAATGTAATTAAAGTCAGATCCACTCGTGTCTTGGACGGGGCAGTGATATCATAAACCTGTTAATGTACGCATTCACACGCTTTTTCTTTTACCAGCTGTATTCACCTTGCAGGTGCAGCTATGTGGCTTTTATCCTGGATAAAGTGTTTAAGTCATGGATGTTTAAAGTTTAACGTCTTCAAATGTCTAATATTATAGTTCACTTTTCATTCAGGAAGTATGACGCTGCGCTGTCAGTGCGCTTCTCCATGTTTGTGATTGGTCAAATGTTGCTAACCCCACCCCTTTTATGTGAACGCGCACATAACTAGATAGGGCAAAGCTGGCTTGAGTTTAGCGAGAGCGCGTTTGTTTTGGATTAGGTAAGCCGGGTAACTCAAACATATCCAGGTTATGTTGAACCGGCTTCGTCGTACAGGCCTCTGGAGTAAAGTGTGCAGAACCTACCTATGATGCTGTATTTCTGTTTGTCTTTCAAGGCTTCAAGGCTTCAAGGTTTCAAGGCTTTTATTAGTCATACGAACATAGCTACAGTGTAGTTATGACAATGAAAATCTTAGGTCACAGGCTCCTCCAACAGTACAACACAATTAAACAGATAAACACAAAAAGAAATAGTGCAAGTAATTAGTAAATACAAAAGGAAAAAAAGTGAAATAGTGCAAGTGATTGGAATGATATATTAGATAAATAATTCCTAAGTAGCAGCCAGATTAATGTTATGATGTTGTTTCAAGTTTAGGTGTTTAATAGTTTTATTGCCTGTGGGATCAAACTGTCCCTGCCTTTCACCCATGTAAATGTTATAATCTGCCTTATTTCCATTTCAGCATCAGTTAGTAATTTCTCTTTGTCTCTCTCAGGTCGGCCAGCTTAGGAAACTCACCAGAGACACCGGAGTCGCCTTGATTCTCCTCATCACAGCCAAACTGTAAGCAGGACTGGGATTGGGTTAATGCGTTAGTATAGCGAGGCAATGTTTTTTGTAACACCTCAATATACTGTATTTCTGCCCAGTGCAATGACACCACCGACTATGGCTTTAAAAAATATATTTCCACTTTTATAAGCTTCATAAAGAGACTATTTCTTGCACAAGCGGTGTGCCACAATATTTCCATACACCCCTAAGTTACCCTCAATAACTATGACTGCCTGAACAGCTGGTCTTTGATGAAGTTTTAAACGTTTGCGTGTGTCTCTCTGCAGCCTGGTGATGCCTCTGGTGTGTAAAGACATGGTGGATATTCTGGATGTTGGAGTGAACAGCACCAGCTCCAATCACACCAGTCTGTCTAACTTTGCTTTCCTGTATGGAGTCTTCCCAACGGCCCCCAGTGTGGCCATCTATGCTGCACACTACAACCTCGAGCTAGAGGTGGTAAGTACTGTTGATGCTGTTATCAAACTTAAAACAGCAGTTTGCAAGAAATGTGTTAAATACAGAACTGAAGCAACAAAATAATTTCTGAAATGTTACAAGGTTCAAGGTTAGTTAGTTAGACACAGAGGCAATTCAAAGTGCTTCACATAGCAGGGTGTCCGCGGGGTCTTAAAAAGTATTAAAAGTTGATAAATCAATTTAGCGAAAATTAAGGCTATTAAAAAGTATTATATATCCAAGATATTACATTTTGACATTCTTTCCCTTCAGTTACTGCACATGTTGTGGTAAATTATTAAGATGTTATGTAATTTTGCTAACGGAAAAACACATTTTGATATTCCCCTCCTTTCCCTTTCTTCAGGTGACATCCGGGATGGTGATCAGTACATTTCTGTCGGCTCCCATCATCTACGTGTCGGCATGGTTACTAACGATCCCTCTGATGGACCCCGCCCCCCTGGTGACTGAACTGCAAAACGTTAGCTTCAACATTAGCATCGTTAGCCTGCTAGCACTGGTGAGCGTGTTTGCTGAATCTAAAAATATGACTATGAATAAAAAATGCAAAACATGTTTGTCAGACTCCGTTAGGATAGGTTACGCCATAGTACACACACACACACACACACACACACACACACACACACACACACACCACACACACACACACACACACACACACACACACACACACACACACACACACACACCACACACACACCACACACACACACACACACACACACACACACACCACACACACACACACACACATTCATACACTTTTCACAATAACATGTCCTTATTTTTTCATTTGTATGATATTTTGTACCAATAGTAGAGCCTTCAAGTAAGCGCAGTGGATGTTCTGCTTCTTCCTGTATAACAATAACTAAATGAATACAGTAAGCACATAATGAATAATGTGTGTGCCTGTGTTTCCCCTCAGGTGTGGACCATAGTGGTGATGTTGCTAAGCAGGAAGTTCAACAGACTCCCTCACCTCTTTGCCTTAAATCTCTTCCTCGCTCAGGTCAGTCACATCTCAAGTGCTTTATAAACACAGTATTGATATCAAGTCGTGTACAGCATGGGATGTTAAACAGAAATAACAATGGCTCCTCATATTCACTTGTGTACTCTCCTGTAGTTTTTGGTGTGTGTCAGTATGATCCTGTGGAACTTCTTGGCGACACAAGAGGACAATCTGCTGGGAAAGATCCTCACCTTCAGTCTGCTCTACGGCTCTCTGTACAGCACCTACATCTGGACAGGTGAACAAAATACTATTTTAACCTATATTCAACTTTTAAGAATATTTAGCTATTTAGATATTAAACGGTTACCATCACAGATAATAAGAATCTCTTTTATTGCAAACCCCCTCACACACAAGCATGTACATACTTGCAAAACGCATAAACACCCCACCCCTTAAAACACACAAACACTTGACAGACAAGCTTGAAATGAGTTCCATGGGATGTATGGATGCTGTTTCCGTCAGTAAGACTCCATTAGACTTCATACTATTCATAATGCATGCATGTACACCCTGGTGTTCATTTGTTTTTCGTTTTTTTCAGGTTTAATCCCTCTGTGTCTCGCTCTGACAAACAGAAATGATCTGCTGAGACTCAGACCAGGAATATTCATGGCTTTGGGTTGGGGGTAAGTCAAGACTCCTCACTACTTTTTATATAAATACTTATACACTTCTATTGGTTTGTAAAACAGTTATTTATGTTGACTGAGATAAAATATGTTAATACATGCAGTGTGTGTGTGTGTGTGTGTGTGTGTGTGTGTGTGTGTGTGTGTGTGTGTGTAGGGTTCCCTTCCTGATGGTGGGAGGTCTTCTGTTATTAGGAGAAAGGACTGATTCTATAGACTCTGCCTTTTTCTACGGTAGAGCTCAGGTTAGTTTGTTTTGACTTCTGTCTTCTCATTTCTTTCTGAAGAAAACATACTTTTATTAATCCCACAAAAGATATACTGTGAGTATATACAGTACAAATACAAACATTCAAACGGCACCTATACACTTTAGGTCATAAATCCACACATGCAAAACCAGGAGGTCCCAGGAAGTGAACTGGCACACCTTCAGCTACACATTTTGTATTTGTCTTTTCTATCATGTTTTATAATTGTTTGTGTGATAGAGATGATGCAATGTTTGTAGTGTTTGTTGATTGTTATGTACCTGCCTCAGGACTGCAGATGGAAATGAGCTATTAGCTATAATCTGGCATCTCTTCTCTTTTCTGAGATGAATGTATTTGTATGCAAGGTCCTTGTTGAAATAAATACATAATACTAGGACTTGAAACAGTGACCATCTGTTTCCCAAGCCAAGTCCCTACACCCTGAGATACTGACATGGTCTCTATTCAAATGTGTTATGTGTCACACACACACACACACACACACACACACACACACACACACACACACACACACACACACACACACACACACACACACACACACACACACACACACACACACACACACACACACACACACACACACACACACACACACACAGAGAGAGATGCCCAACCTTGGACAGCCGCTATCTCCCATAAGGAGGGGCTGCCCTAGCAAGTTGTTGTTGTTACCAGTTTGTGAGCGGGCAACTCTCGGTCAGAGATAGTTATTGTTGTGGGACACCAGGAACACATCCTTCTCGGGGTGTAGTTGACCCCGAGCCATAAGCGACAACCAAAGTTGATTCAGTTTCCTCAGCTGTTTAGTCTAACTAATGAAGAATGTTGATTACCCTCAGCAAACTAGTTAAAACCTCCTACCAGAGAGGAGAACCCTCAGAATTGATGGTGGCATCTCAACCGTGTGGTCAGATCGTGGCCGTGACATGTCTTGTGAATTCTCCGGCCGAAGCTCCAATAAACCGTCAGTGTTGCCATCAAAGCTCCAGCTCTCCTCGTGTCTCTCTGAGTCCTGTTTTCCAAGTGCTTCAGAAGATTCCCCCACATCAAGGATACTTAAGGGGACCTATCATGCTAAATGCACTTTGTAAGTCTTTTCTACATGAATATGTGTCCCCGGTGTTCCAGGGAACTCACCAAGTGTCAGAAAACACAACCCTCTCTATTTTCCTCCATACCCAAATCTCTAAAAAAGGGGGCTGCAACGGATCTGATAAAAACTGATCCAGATTTGAACACTGTCCTGACGTCAGGACGGTGGCGCTACGGCTATTGGGCCAACTCCACCAATCAGGAGGAGACAGCCACGGCCATTGCCGTTCGAAAGCGCTGGAGACGCTGTAGTACATATGCCAGGCCTGTAGGTGGTGCTGTTCTCACTGAATCTGACCCTGCACAAACAGAGCTAGAAATTGTCAAATTGAGCAAAATGAGGCATGGCTAAAATGCATGATCTGTTTGGTATTTTGAAAAAAAAAAGTATAAATATGCCTTATATAGGTATGGTCCTACACTATATTATTCAAATATAGCATGATAGGTCCACTTTAACTTGTACTTATTGTGATGGAAACTTCTGAAGCAATTGGAAAACAGGACTCAGAGAGACACGAGGAGAGCTGGAGCTTCGATGGCAAACACTGACGGTTTATTTGGAGTTACGGCCGGAGAATTGACAAGACAGGTGGTGTGTCACGAGCTGACCCAGTGGTTGCCAAACCAATTCTGAAGAACTCTTTCTGCAGCTCGAGGTTTTAACTAGTTCGGAGTGTAATAATCAACATTCTTTATCAGTGAGACTAAAGCAATATGGACACTGAATCTAACTAGAGCTCTCGTCCATAGGAAAGAATGTGCGCCAGGGAACCTACGTCCCTGAACAGTAAACTACCTCATGGTGGCTTGTGCTCGGTCATAGACTGGCAACAACAATGCGCCCAAGCTGCCCCTCCTTAAGAGAGATAGCAGCCATACCCAAGGCCGTAGACCTATGCCACGGGAAAGGAGACAGTGAGAGGAGAAAACGATGAACTGGGTCGAAGGTTGAATACCTAAGCAAATTATTCCCTAACACTTATAATAAAGAAACGTAAGTAGTGCACAGAGATGGGGTCGTTACTAAAAAAAAGTAATATATTACACTACTTCGTTACTCTCTACATAAAGTAACTCGTTACTTTACTCGTTACTTTACTCGCAGGGCCGGCCCGCCCCTCCCTGCAGGCAGATCACGCAGACTGCTAAAGTTTCAAATGTTCTCTTTAGTTCAGTTTCCATTGTCGCATAAGACTGATTCAGATAGCTCTGACTATGGCTGTCCTCAGTCTCCTGCTATCTGTATTTTGCGCAGTATATCTCTGAACGATGCGATGGTGATTCCACTGTGCAAATGGGCAACATTACCTCTACTATGAAGGATGCTACAAGCCTGTCCATCTCTGCTTTGGTTACCGGTCCTCCAAATTCTAATTTGTGCTGCTTCGGTCGGCGGCGGCGCACTCACAACATCCTCACTCTGGGTTCGGGGGTCCTTAGCTATTAGCTTCACCTTAGCATGTGTTCTTTGCAGGTGTTTGTTGAGGTTTGACGTGGTGTTTGCAGCAGTGGATAACAGCTTCTGGCCTGGACACAGTTTGCACCTCACCGTCACATTCCTGTCTATTCTTCGGACGAACTCAAAATAATGGGCATACCTCCACCCCTCGAAAGTTATCGCTGACTCAGCCATGTTTATGCAGCACTGCACGTGGAGATGTGGACGCGCATGTCGCGCAGATTACGTACATATAAACCTGCGGCGGAAACCCCTCTTGTCTGTCAGTGTGATTATGACTGATTTTATAAAAGTAACGAAGTAACGCGTGTCGGGGCAATGTTAGTAACTGTAGTGTGATTACTGAATTATAAAAGTAACGCGTTACACTACTCCGTTACCGACAAAAGTAATATTATTACAGTAACGCGTTACTTTGTAACGCGTTACACCCAACTCTGGTAGTGCATGAAGTTGAACTCATATCCTGTCTTCTCTCTCTCAGATAATCAGCTCCACGGTGGTTCTGGCGGTCAGCCTGCTGCTCGGAGCGATCTCTCTGATGGGGCTCAGCCAGGGGGAGAGGGAGCAGAGCGGCTACGAGGCCCTGAACAGAGCCGCTGTGACGGGCCTCAGCGAAGAGCCCAGGACCAACGCTGCTCTGGAAGATCCACAACAACAACAACAACAGCAACAAGAGACGATTACCTCACCGGCCTACAGTTCCAACTCAGGTAAGACACATTCAAACATATTTATTTTTACTTAAACCGATATATTCCTGCACTGTATCTGCATATTGAAGTATGAATGCTTGTTGTTTGTGTGTTGTCTTCTCCTGAATGTTGTACGTCTCTTGTTTGTTTTTTGTATTGGCACCTTATAAAAAGGAGTATGAAGGAGGGATTGATTATTTTTGCGTCATTATAATCATTATAATAAAAACATATATATATTAAATGATAATGGTGGGATATCTTAAGAGGGTCTGTACCAAACAAATATGTTTTGTCAGATCTGTAAAATGCAATTTATATGTCAGGGTATCTCTGCAGCACTGCAACAGTGAATTCAAAATGACACATTACATATTTAGCCTTAACAAATATTTTGCATCGTGCTAATTGAAGTACTGCATTGGTCCATATTGTGGTTTTTGAATAATTGTGCATGACAAACTTAAAATATGTGTGTTGTCTTCTGTTGTGTTTTCAGAGCTCCACGGTTTCTCTCCTCTCCAGCCAATCCCTGACATGATAGCCAGCACGCAGACAGAGCTGTCCAACGGCACAGGTACAAAATATGAATAACAACAAATTCCTTGTAAAACATTTACATTACATTACATTTAAAATATAAACATTTTCAAAGTGCAATAAAAGCTTTGCAGTCATTGGGAAGTATTCTAAAAAATCATGATGTGAGGATCTTTTAAAGGTCTCCTATCATACTGTTTTTCATCAATTTATTATAGGTCTCAAATATATCCAGAGCCTGTCTCTGATTGGCTGAAACACCAAACAGATCATTGCAGCATTACCCATAATCCCCTCTGTTTCAGCCCTGTTTCCAAAGGGCTGATTCTCTGTCTGTTACTTTAGATGAAAATAAGGAGCCCCTCCCCACGCCCCTCTGAGAGAGATTTGGTTACAAAGAACTCAATGGTGCTCTAGGAGGAGATTCAGGTGATAAGGGGGGGGGGGGGGGGGGGGTTACCTTGGTTGGTGATTGGCTAATGGTTACACAAGACAAAACATCGTTATGACATCATAAAGTGGCCAAAATCTGATCAGCTCATTTTCAGACAGGTTTTTATAAAAATGGATCAGGACAAAAAGAGAGAGAATCTTTTTTCCTGAAACTTTCAGAGTCTGAGGGGACACATGTTGATGAAGAAGAGACATGAAGAAGAGGGGACACATGTTGATGAAGAAGAGACATGAAGAAGAGGGACACATGTTGATGTAGAAGAGACATGAAGAAGAGGGGACACATGTTGATGTAGAAGAGACATGAAGAAGAGGGGACACATGTTGATGAAGAAGAGACATGAAGAAGAGGGGACACATGTTGATGAAGAAGAGACATGAAGAAGAGGGGACACATGTTGATGTAGAAGAGACATGAAGAAGAGGGGACACATGTTGATGTAGAAGAGACATGAAGAAGAGGGGACACATGTTGATGTAGAAGAGACATGAAGAGAGGGGACACATGTTGATGTAGAAGAGACATGAAGAAGAGGGGACACATGTTGATGTAGAAGAGACATGAAGAAGAGGGGACACATGTTGATGTAGAAGAGACATGAAGAAGAGGGGACACATGTTGATGTAGAAGAGACATGAAGAAGAGGGGACACATGTTGATGTAGAAGAGACATGAAGAAGAGGGGACACGTGTTGATGTAGAAGAGACATGAAGAAGAGGGGACACATGTTGATGTAGAAGAGACATGAAGAAGAGGGGACACATGTTGATGTAGAAGAGACATGAAAGAAGAGGGGACACATGTTGATGTAGAAGAGACATGAAGAAGAGGGGACACATGTTGATGAAGAAGAGACATGAAGAAGAGGGAACACATGTTGATGTAGAAGAGACATGGAGAAGAGGGGACACATGTTGATGTAGGAGAGACATGAAGAAGAGGGAACACATGTTGATATAGAAGAGACATGAAGAAGAGGGGACACATGCTGATGTAGAAGAGACATGAAGAAGAGGGGACACATGTTGATGTAGAAGAGACATGAAGAAGAGGATTTTGCATAATAGGTGACCTTGAATTTATATGTTTCTCTCCCTCTCCCAGGCCACAGTGGGGCGCTGTTTGACGGGCTGCCGAACTCCTCCTCTGAGCAGCCGCTGAACCTGCCCCCCCCCGGGCTGCAGCCCACTGATGACAAACAGACGGTCAGACACGCTCTGCTCTGCCTGCTGCTGTTCGTCAGCCTGCTAGCGGTGAGAAAACACAGTCATTTAAACCATGTCCAGAAATACATGAATGAAAAAGTGAAAATTCTGAGATTTTGAGAAAAAGTGATAATTCTGAGATTTTGAGAAAAAGTCAGGATTTTGAGATTTTTTGAAAAAGTGAGACATTTGAGAAAAAGTCAGGATTTTGAGAGAAAGTCAGGAATTTGAGAGAAAGTCAGGGTTTGGAGATTTTTAGGAAAAAGCCAGGTTTTTGTACATGACAGGATGTATGATTCCCTAGAACAGTGCTTCTCAAAGTGTGGTCCGCGGAACACTGGTGGTCCGTGAGCGCCCTCTAGTGGTCCGTGAGTATATTGGTAAAATTTCCCATTTGAAATAAATAAATACATTTAAGTTTTCCGCACTCCATAAATACATGGATCCTGATATTGAAGCTCAAGCCGGTGACCAGTGATGAGTGATATTCTTCTAACAAACCACAATACAGTGGTGCAGGAATGAGTCTTAATGCCAGTCAAAATGAGTTGTCTTTTACCACTTCCTGTTCCTCTGTGTGTGTGTAGAATCTGTCCAGCTGTCTGTGGTGGCTGTTCAACAAAGATCCAGGGAGACTCTACCTGGAACTGCAGTTCTTCTGTGCCGTGGCAAACTATGGACAGGTACCACTGAGTGTAGTGTGTCGTTAAATATGTAAACATGATCTGCTGTCAGTGCAACAAAAAAAAACTACAACTAACATTCCTCTTCCTCTTTGTCTCAGGGCTTCCTGTCCTTTGGGATCTTCGGTCTGGACAGACATCTCATCATCCTGCCCTTCAAGAAGAAGTGAGTGTTAGAGGAATAAGGAGCTCAGAGCTAATATATCAGAATCCAATCCAACTGTATGTATAGCACATTTGTTACAGCAAGAATATATTTATGATTTATATAAAAAACAATAGCAGCTTGTTTAAGAACTAGAAGTGTGTGTGTGTGTGTGTGTGTGTGTGTGTGTGTGTGTGTGTGTGTGTGTGTGTGTGTGTGTGTGTGTGTGTGTGTGTGTGGTGTGTGTGTGTGTGTGTGTGGGTGTGTGTGTGTTGTGTGTGTGTGTGTGTGGTGTGTGTGTGTGTGTGTGTGTGTGTGTGTGTGTGTGTGTGTGTGTGTGTTGTGTGTGTGTGTGTGTGTGTGTGTGTGTGTGTGTGTGTGTGTGTGTGTGTGTGTGTGTGTGTGTGTGTGTGTGTGTGTGTGTGTGTGTGTGTGTGTCTCCTTGTGGGGACCTACATCTGTTTACACAGTCACGTGTGGGGACTGGCTTCCCTTATGGGGACAAAATGGATAAGGGGTATCAATAATTTCAGGGTGAAGACTTGGTTAGGATAAGTCTCCAGGAAATGCATGTAAGTCAATGTAATGTCCCCTGAAGTGATGTAAACATGGTGTGTGTGTCAGGTTTCTGTGGCTGTGGCAGGGCAGGGAGGCGGAGGATTTGAGTCCCTCAGGTGTACCGGAGGAAGTCAGACTCACCTGTACGCAGTTTGTCCGATACCACAAAGACCAGTGTGTTCAGGACATAGTTCACACACGCAGGTAAGAGTGCTGCTCTGGGTTTTGTATTATGTGTCGTTCAGTGTATGTGTGTTCTCTGTGGAAAGCACGTGTAAATATGTGGTGAAAAATGACATTCTTACTGCTTGTTGGATTCATTTTTCTGTCAATTGAGTGGCATTTGAGTTAATGAGCATGTTATTTTGTATTCCTTGATTGTGTTCTCTTGTGGCTGTGTCCCTGCAACATGAATTGTGATTACTTTCCACAATGACTTTTCTATGCATCCTCTTTGCATGTTATCCATCAGTTGATCTGTTTTGCTGCACCTACTGATGTTCTCTAACCACAAAGTAATGATCCTGTTCAAAACAAATTCAAGTTGAGCGATTACACATTCATAAGGTATGTTGTAAATGTGTAATTTTGCAGAAATCTTACAATATTTTAAAAGGGCCCTATCACGCTTTTTGGGGTTTTCCCTATCCAGTAGTTATTTAGGTTTTTGTGCATGTAAATGGTCTGCAAAGGTTAAAATCCCAAAGTTCGCTCCAGAGAGCGGATTCTTGCACTTCTATTGGCTAGCACTCCAACACATTGTACGTGATAGGCTAAGGGGCGGAGAGACACTACATACTGATATACACCTGAGCATCAGCAGGAGAGGACTCTTTAAAGTAGAGACACTACATACTGATATACACCTGAACATCAGCAGGAGAGGACTCTTTAAAGTAGAGACACTACATACTGATATACACCTGAGCATCAGCAGGAGAGGACTCTTTAAAGTAGAGACACTACATACTGATATACACCTGAAGCATCAGCAGGAGAGGACTCTTTAAAGTAGAGACACTACATACTGATATACACCTGAACATCAGCAGGAGAGGACTCTTTAAAGTAGAGACACTACATACTGATATACACCTGAACATCAGCAGGAGAGGACTCTTTAAAGTAGAGACACTACATACTGATATACACCTGAACATCAGCAGGAGAGGACTCTTTAAAGTAGAGGACACTACATACTGATATACACCTGAACATCAGCAGGAGAGGACTCTTTAAAGTAGAGACACTACATACTGATATACACCCTGAACATCAGCAGGAGAGGACTCTTTAAAGTAGAGGACACTACATACTGATATACACCTGAACATCAGCAGGAGAGGACTCTTTAAAGTAGAGACACTACATACTGATATACACCTGAGCATCAGCAGGGAGAGGACTCTTTAAAGTAGAGACACTACATACTGATATACACCTGAACATCAGCAGGAGAGGACTCTTTAAAGTAGAGACACTACATACTGATATACACCTGAACATCAGCAGGAGAGGACTCTTTAAAGTAGAGACACTACATACTGATATACACCTGAACATCAGCAGAATAGGGCCCCTTTTAAAAATGTTCAATCTGCCTCTACAAAAGCTCTACTCACTAAAACATTGAGTTTCTGTTTGTTTTGACACTTTTCTTTTCTTTTATCGTAACATAAACGTCTACCCACTATTCTTTGCTGCTCTTTATTAACCGTATATACTTTCTTCCTCCCTGCTTCCCTTTGCCTGCCCTGTTTTTCCTTCCTTCTCTAAAAGTGGCTCAGGGGAAAGTGTGAGCGGCTCCACCGGTGAATCCTTCCTCTAATAATGACAGGTTTGAAGAACCACAGGAGGAAGGTGGGGCTTTGAGACATTCCCCCTCCCATCATCCTCTTCATCAGGAGATTCCAGATGAAACCAGCGCCGGATTATCGCTTCCATCCCAACTCCAGAGTAAAAACCAAGCACATGTTTCCATCTCTGAGGAGCAGATTCCCCCGTCTACTGACACAGATAATCCTCCCCTCCTACACCAGCATGGTCTCCATCAACACGCCACCATTGAGAGTGTGTTTCGAGGCAGTGATTTAGTGGACTGGCTGGTTTCGAGGGGCTTGTGTTCGGAGAGGACGGACGCCATATTGTACGGAGTTCGCCTTCAGCAGGGAGGAGTGTTGGATCGACTGCACAGATTCAGAGACGAGCCCTCGCTGATGTACTGCTTCACAGAAGAGTAGGGGCTACATCATGTGAGAGGGAGCGAGAGGGCTGCACAATTTATTAAAAAGTGATCGTGATATGGACTAGTCGTGCGATATCAAATCAACATTTATTATAGCCCCAAATCACTAGAAATGTTCAAAGCAAACAAAAGCAAAGACAAAAATTAAATACAAACGTCATAGCATAAAAATGATAAAAACATTATACAACAACTTAAGTATTGCCATGTGATAAAAGCATGTGACTGAAGTGATGGTAATGATGATGGAAACTAGGTGATGGATATTAGTTTGCAAGGAAGACACATGCGAACAGATGGGTTTTGAGTTTGCTTTCAAAGGAGTCAACGGAAATAGCTTCGCGGACGATTCCAAAGGAGAGGTGCTCTGAATGAAAAGGCTCGGATATCAAAATAGCAGGAAGAAAAACATCTGCTTATAGTGGCTGGGAGTTGTTTTCGTTTGACTTCAGAACGTTCAAACCTTCTGTGAATCAGAGGTAAATCAAAGCGTCTAAATCCAAATTGCATCTTGTACGGTCCACTACCGACTTGACGATACCAAAACCACGACACTACAAGTAAATCAAATATATAACTAGGCTGACACGTGTTATCACAATCTGAAACGTATATGAATACACGCTTGCAAACATCCCTGCTTCAAGGCATATATCCGCCTAAACAATAACAAACATAGCCTCAGAATAATCCAAAAACATCAATATATATAAATCAATATTTACTAAATTACAAAAATAGTGGTATCCATTAAACTGAAATTCAGTCTTGCCAACAAAGATTTTTCCCAGAAATAAATATATGCTAAATATTTGTTAAATAACACTTTGAATGAAAACAGATATGTGTGGTACACATCCTCTCAATGATGATTGGAATCATCCAATATCCTGAAACATATCGCCAATAGTTATTTTTTCCAAATTGTGGAGCCCTATTGGTGGAGGTGTTATATTTAAAGGTGTGTTTTCCATTATTTATTCATGGTGTCGGCCTCTTGCTTGTCCACTCCCTGTCGCCAAAATGTAAAACCACCTGGTTCTGTGAGGCTTTATTTGCACTCCCTTGAATAATGGTAATATACACGATAACTGACATGCAACGAAACAAGCGCTCCCTTTCTCTCGGCTCCGGAACAACTCCATTTGAACTAATAACACTTCTCTAAATTGAAGTGGCGTTGATCATAGTCTTATCACTGATCCTATACAAGATGTGACAAGTGTTTTTTCTGGATTCCTGCGAGCCAGCTTACTTCACGTCTTCATTACGTGAAGGACAACCAAGCTTTGTTTTGTTTTACAAGTTCACGTTCATCAGCCTCAAATGTTGTGCCATTTTGTTTCCTTTGAGCCGAGGAGCTTCTCACTGAAAGGCTTTCCTGCTCGCTCCGTTTGATCTTGTTTTCGTTCAGATGACATTCAATCATCTTGCCTGTTTTCCAGTATTAGATATTTTGCACGTTGTGTCTTTGAACCACTCCGGTCTACAGTATGTTCCCGCATGAACAGACGGACTTCTGCTCGGCACTGAACATCTTTGCACTGACTGATAATAACCTTCTTCAAGTTTTTTTAAATTATGCAACTCACTGGATGCGTGTCCTGTGATGATGCTGCGAGATGAGATTTTGTGTTATACTTGCATCATGCTGTCAATTTGAAACGTTTATTTAGGACTATCTGTGGTTATGCCATTTAATAAATTCATGGTGGAACATTTGCACAGATGTCTGCAAGCCAAACCTGGCACAAGGTATTTAATATATTAGTCTATTTTGGGAGACAGATCCAAAACAAATTGCCAAGATTCCTCCAGAGTGTAAGAGATAAGATAGATAAGATAGTACTTCTCTCTTATCTTACACTCTGGAGGAAGTGTAGTGAGAAACATCCCCCACAAATCTTTATCTAAAACAGGTCTGTTGGAGATTTTTGTTGTGTGTTGTTACATTTTGATATCACTGATACAACTACAGTCCCAAACTGGCTCCTATCTACGGTGTCCGACACGTGCAAACACGCTACAACGACCCAAAACATTTCCATTATGAGAAACATGCTGATATACAAACACTAAGGGACCGAAACAAATGCATATGAAGAAACATCTTGTGACCGACTTGAGGAAACATGCAACGCGTTTATTGAAACTGCTGCAAGAAGCTCGAACGGACACCAAAGGACAGTTAGAAGTTTCTCCTAATGGACGTTTTTTAAGCTGTTGGAACTCGTTTGCACATGTCGGCCAAAGTCCCTAATGTACGCAAATCTGTCCTAAAAATGATGAGTGTAAGTCATTCCCTTTACTGAGTTGTTTACAGATGTTTTGGCTCCTACACTACACTCCTGTTTGCCTGTTAAGTTGCTGCTGATTTGTGATGCTACTGTGAAATGTGCAGTGAGTTGCCGAAGAGGGATGGATGGGGATACATGCACATATGAGCAGAGAGAGAACTGTTTTTTGTGTCTTTCATATACCTCAAAGCTGACTTTATAAATCAAAAGGCAGCCAGATGTAAACACACACACACACACACACACGTGTAAGATGTCCAGTGTTTTAAACGTGTATTCCCCTCAAAAAATGTTGTCATTTCTACCTGCATTCACAAAATACTAAATCGTAAAAATACTCTGTTACATGTCAAATTCCTGCATTTAAAGTCTAACTTAATTCCATTAGTGTTGGCATCAAAATGTACTTAAAATACCAACAATGAAAGTACTCGTTTTGGGGAATCATGTATTAAATTACTAGATTATGATTGTTGATTCAATAATGTGTTCTCACTGTTAAAGGTGGAGCTAATATCAATTACTTTTATATACTACTGGAGTAAGAAGTTGAATAAAATGAAAATACTTAAGTACAAATATGTCAAAATTGTACAATACTTAAATTAATGTACTTTATTACATCCCGCAACTGCCTTTCACATGAAGTAAAATGTCCAATAAAAGGATATTGATGTGCTTTCTTCATCGAAACACCTCTCAGAAACATGCATGTATTTCCTTCTGAGTGTTTTCTGCACAACTGACTCCACTGTGTGTGGTGTGTGTGGTGTGTGTGTGTGTGTGTGTGTGTGTGTGTGTGTGTGTGTGTGTGTGTGTGTGTGTGTGTGTGTGTGTGTGTGTGTGTGTGTGTGTGTGTGTGTGTGTGGTGTGTGTGTGTGTGTGTGTGTGTGTGTGTGTGTGTGTGTGTGTGTGTGTGTGTGTGTGTGTGTGTGTGTGTGTGTGTGTGTGTGTGTGTGTGTGTGTGTGTGTGTGTGTGTGTGTGTGTGTGTGTCAGAAAGAGAGATTCCATGAGGTGTGTAAGTGTGTCGTTGCTTTGTGTACCTGTTGATGTTTTAATGTGTTGCTGTAAAGTCAATCAGGGTGAACCACTGCGAGTGAGTCACAAATAAAATACTGTCTGCATCCAAAATCTCTTCGTCTCGACACTTATTGATGATTGAAATGATTAAAAACTGGCAGCTGAAGACGTCTTTAAAGATTTGTTAACACATTAAACAGAACAGAAAAACCTGCATTTTGCACAAAATGTTGGTTTTATTTATATATTTATATATATTTATACACCCTGAAAAGTGGAGCCATGAAGCTCACAGAGCGAAAAACAAGTAACACTGTGGATAAATCCTGACCTTCAGAATACGGGATTTAACATTAAAAACAATGTTTTCTTTTACAAAAGATAGAAAAGATCTGTAAAAATATGGTTGCAGATTGTCCCTTGTGCGCTGAAGCTTTTCTTTGATAACAATTCTCTATAAACTCTGATTTAAAAATAGATAAATAGCACAATTCTTAAACAGCAAATCAGTAACACTGATAGCAACATATATAAAGGTGCATTACTACATATCAAAGGCTCTATATTTACATATTCTCTCACAACAGACTCCAATTTAAACAAGAAAAAAGCACCTCAGTGTTCGCTAACTTCCACTAGCTAAACCACATGTGTCAAACTCAAGGCCCGGGGGCCAAATCAGGCCCTTGGTGGATTTAATTTCGGCCCGCAGGATAATTTCTAATTACTATTAGATCTGGCCCGCCGGTATATTGCACGCACACCTTCACTCAATCCTGAGGGTTTCCTCAGCTCAGAGCCTGAGCCCAAACATTGATGAACTTGCACCCAAGATGAGATGCCAAGTATCTGGCTTGAACTAGCATCACAGATCAGCACACTGAGTTTACATGGATGTTTCCTTCTGCACTTTGTTTCTTGAGACAACAGGGCATGTTTGGTTTGTTCTTTGAGGGGAATAGTTTTGTTGAAGCTGTTGTTGGCCTGTGGAAAAATGTAATCATAAGAAATGACTCGGGGAAAAGCTGCAGATAGAGCCATAAGAAATGAATGCAACTGATTATTTAATGTTTAATGTTGTTTTTATAGGCAATCATTTAAGCTTTGTTAGTTCCAGGTTTAATATGTGCAATAAGTTCATTTCAATAAGTTTTGCAAGAAACATTGAACCAGTCCGGCCCTCGACTAGTACCTATTTTATAATTTTGGCCCACTGTATATTTGAGTTTGACCCCCCTGAGCTAAACAAATACATCCATATAGTATCCACACACATTAAAACACACACTTTACAGCATCCTACAGTAAAATCCATGTAAACAAGGTCAGAAAAGCACCAAAATAGAGACAATAATGAAAAGATATTGCCCTCGTTGTGCAAAGCTCGTGTGAAACGCATCTGTTTAAGACATGTGTAAGTGCTTCAGAAAAACCACAATTATAATGGAGATATTTAAACATTGATATATTCGAAAAAATAAATATGTTTCACGCAATTCCTGGCACCAAAACAGCTGCAAACATTCAGTGATAAAAGGGTAACGTGAGGAGGAGAGACATTATTGTTTTGCTGGTTAGTTGTAAATGACCTTTAAGGGTCTAGTGATATTGTGGCATGTCGAAATGTAAAAAACAATACAGAAAGAATCAGGTTGTTGCTCTGATGGGAGGCATTTTGTTGCATCTTGTCAGTGAAAAATGTATAACTATTCCACAATATCTAAATGGAGAGAGGAGAGAGAGGAGAGAGAGGAGAGAGAGGAGAGAGAGAGAGAGAGAGAGAGAGAAGGAGGATAGATAGAGAGGAGAGGAGAGGATGATGAAGAGAGAGGGGGGAGAGAGAGGCGAGAGAGGGGAGAGAGGAGAGAGGAGAGAGAGAGAGAGGGGAGAGAGGGGGAGAGAGGAGGGGGAGGGAGAGAGAGAGGGGGGAGAGAGAGGAGAGAGAGAGGAGAGAGAGGGGGGAGAGAGGGTGAGAGAGAGAGGGGGGAGAGAGGAGAGGAGAGAGAGGGGAGAGAGGGGGAGAGAGAGAGGGGGGAGAGAGGGGAGAGAGGGGGATACAGATTCCATCCGATCTGACGTCAAATCGGCGGCGGAGCCACAGAAAGCTGCTATCAGAAACAATGCCTGACGTGTTTTGGACGTCTTTGTTTACATTAGCAAGCCTCGCTAACACTCAGAGCTAACCTGTACTGTAGAGCACACGTGTTTAAAAAGCAGGAAATAAAAAAGGGAACTCGCCTTGTGATAAACCTGCAATAGAAAAAGCATTTGAGCTCCATACTGTTTCAGAAATAATCCTTGATGTGGTTTAGAGCAGGATGGCGAAATATCACAACCAAATGTAATTTTATCTCCGGTAGAATTCTGATCAGGCATTAGCTCCGCCTCCTCTTATTTATTTTTTTCAAGCTAAGGACCCAAAATCCGCGTTTCTCTAACAGGGCTGCAATAGAGGGGTTTGAGCAGTATGAGGCATGGCTACAATGGGGCATCTGTTTGGTATTTTGAAAAAAAAAACTTCACAGACATGTTTTGTATCGGTATGGCCCTACCCAGAATCCCCGTTCCTTCTGCTCCTTCCTGACCCTGGCTGTCTCTGATCATTATGTGAAAAGAAAGGCTTCATAAGTGTTGGTGGTGGCAGAACATCTCAGTTGTTCTGGTTGTTTTGTCTGTCAATCCTCCTTGATCAAGCTTCAGTATCGTAAGACATCAGTTTCCAGTTTATTGCTCCTTCTTCTCAGAATCATCGTTCCTTCCTGATCTGATCCTCTCCGTCCATGCCATCCACCCTGAGGTGAGCCTCTCCGTAGCGTTTGATCACGGCTCCGGGCAGCAGAGCCATGAGGGCGATGGCTAACAGCTGAGCCAGAGTCGCCCAGGAGAAGATATCGTCCAGAGAGGAGATCTCTGACAGGATGGAGCCCGTTCGGACGCAGATGAAGTTATAGGGGATCAAACCTGGAGGAGAAGCAGGAAGTGAGGGTCATTTATTGTGTCAGATCAAAGTCAACATTATCGTAACACATGTTCTGCACTCATGCTTTAGGTGAGGTCAAAACAAAGGAATGGCATTTTGTTAACATCAGCAACACCTAGTCTACATACTGTGTGTTTTTAGAGTGTGTGTTTTTAGAGTGTGTGTAGTCTCACCTATTAACACAGAGAAGAAGAAAATGGGCATCGGGATGTTGAGGACGGGACACGTGATGTTCAGGAACCAGTTAGGAGTCATGGGGAAGAAACGGAGGAAAAGGAGGAAGAAGAACAAACTGCTACGATTTTCCTCCACCTGACAGAGAGGAGAGGAACAGAGGGAGGAGGAGAGGGAGGAGGAGAGGAGGAAGAGAGGGAGAAAATGAAGGGGAAAATAGATGAAAGCAGAAACAGTTACTCTCCAACTCTCCTCTGTGTGAGCATGTTAGCTCGTTTGCGTTAGCATGGCTACTCTTCTAATCCACTGACTGGATGAACTGACCTTCCTCTGCAGCAGAGCCACCTTGTCGGGGAAGAAGTGAACGACGTGCTGCTTCCCGAACGCTGAGGAGAGCAGGAAGCAGAAGGTGGAGCCCACCGTGGTCAGAAGGCAGGCCAGCACGAGACCCTCCCAGGGCCCGAAGATCGCTCCGGCTAACATGTTCTGGAGAGGGGAGGGATGGAGAGAAGTCATTAATGTCAACTGAGCAGAGAGCATCGTTCCTCTGAGTGTGGAATCAGGGTGAGGATCTGGAAACCTGTTGCTTTCCCTCGAGGTTTATCCCATTTCCCCACATTAACTCTGAGTTTTTCGTTGTCTGATGTGAGGGTCTTAGGACAGAGGGTGTCATATTGACTGGTGCACAGAACGAGTTATTCAGTCTAATCGTATTAAGTCATGGGACCCTATCTCAGATTATTTAGATTCAAGATTCAAGGCGTTATTGTCATGTGCACAGTAGCTACAGTGTAGATATGGCAATGAAAAACTTAAAGTGGACCTATCATGCTATATTTGAATAATATAGTGTAGGACCATACCTATATAAGGCATATTTATACTTTTTGTTTTTCAAAATACCAAACAGATCATGCATTTTAGCCATGCCTCATTTGACATTTTTTAGCTCTGTTTTAGCAAGGGCAGATTCAGTGAGAACAGCACCATCTACAGGCCTGGCATATGTACTACAGCGTCTCCAGCGCTTTCGAACGGCAATGGCCGTGGCTGTCTCCTCCTGATTGGTGGAGTTGGCCCAATAGCCGCAGCGCCACCGTCCTGACGTCAGGACAGTGTTCAAATCTGGATCAGTTTTTATCAGATCTGTTGCAGCCCCTTTTTTAGAGATTTGGGTATGGAGGAAAATAGAGAGGGTTGTGTTTTCTGACACTTGGTGAGTTCCCTGGAACACCGGGGACACATATTCATGTATAAAAGACGTACAAAAGTGCATTTTGCATGATAGGTCCCCTTTAAGTCACAGATTATATGGCAACAATTCATATTCGCTGTTCAGGACATAGCGGGGGTCAGAGACAAAGTTAATACTGTATTATGGTAAGTTATTGAAGGGTTGTCCTATGATCTTTGTGTAGATTTGACCTCCAACCTCTCCTCAGTGTGTGAGTGTGTGTGTGTGTGTGTGTGTATGTGTGTGTGTGTGTGTGTGTGTGAGGTGTGTGTGTGTGTGTGTGTGTGTGTGTGTGTGTGTGTGTGTGTGTGTGTGTGTGTGTGTGTGTGTGTGTGTGTGTGTGTGTGTGTGTGTGTGTGTGTGTGTGTGTGTGTGTGTGTGTGTGTGCGTGTGTGTGTGTTAATGTGTCTCACCAGAAAGGAGGATCCGGGTATAGCAAAGGACTGTTTGTAGAGATACGCGCTGCAGAACAGCAGCAGGACGTAGCTGTAATGTTCTCGTTTATAAAGCTTCAGCATCTCAGCGAGCTCCCGCAGAGAGTCCAGGTCCGACGGGAACTTCAGACTGGAGGGAGAAACACAACGGGACAAAGCTTGGTAACTTCGGTTTATCAACAAATTCGTAAAACCTGTTTGCATTTGCTTTTTTGTTTTGTTTTACAGCAGCCTGTTAACAAGCATTACTCAAGAGTTGAACATATAATAAACTAAGAAAAACTCTGATTTCTGTGTGTGTGTGTGTGTGTGTGTGTGTGTGTGTGTGTGTGTGTGTGTGTGTGTGTGTGTGTGTGTGTGTGTGTGTGTGTGTGTGTGTGTGTGTGTGTGTGTGTGTGTGTGGGTGTGTGTTGGGGGGCGGTAACAGGATACATTTGATTGAGGGACAGAAATAGAGCCGCTGCCTGTAGACATGAGCAAAGGGTCGGAAGACACTCTTTAACACACACACACACACACACACACACACACACACACACACACACACACACACACACACACACACACACACACACACACACACACACACACACACACACACACACACACACACACACACACACACACACACACACACACACACGTCTGAAACTCAAGATGCCCACTTCCTCTGTCACCCGCTCTGACATTCAGTATTACTCGTTCTCATTGGTCAGTGGAAAAACATGCTGCTCTGTGATTGGTCAGCAGCTCGATGATGCGTTAGCCCTCGGATACGTGAAACTGAATGAAAGGGAAATGTGTCCCTGTGGGCACCTTTTATTTCGCTTACGCATAACCCCATGAGAAATGATGGCTGTGCACATGATTAAAAACACACACACACACACACACACACACACACACACACACACACACACACACACACACACACCACACACACACACACACACACACACACACACACACACACACACACACACACACACCACACACACCCACACACACACACACACACACAAGGGGGTCAAGGGGGGTTTTAAACTGTAAAAGTCCCTTCATCACAACGAAGACGACATATGAAACCGGGTCAAGTCAGGTTAGGGCTGCAATAAATCATTGTTTTCAAAATGTTATCAATCTCTTCATTCAGTCAATTATAGTGTTGCACATTTAACTACCAACAAGCATATACAAATACAGTTTCCCAATGTCAAAAACTAACTGAAAGAAGCACCAGATTACATTTGAGATTCTCAAGCCCAAAAATATTTGGCATTTTGCTCGATTCATGATTTTAATTGATCAAAAAATAATTGGAAACTTCGTTTTTTCAGCCTTAAAAAATTAACAGATATCACAAAATGCAGACTTCTTATTTGGAGGGGCTTAGAAGTCATATTTAAAATAAAATAACTTTAATAACCTGCGATAGGCTTCTCCTTTAATACCTTCTATTGTATTGAATGTGTGCATACATGCTACACAAAGAGAGACTAGAAGATCAATACATCTGTATTTGTACAAATAAATAAAGATAACTTGGCCTACAAATGTGTTATACACACACACACACACACACACACACACACACACACACACACACACACACACACACACACACACACACACACAGGTCCTGCTCTCTTGGCCTCAGAGTGCCGTGGTCGGCGTTATTCTAGCATCCCTAGACAACCTTTACTGCCTGGCACATGGCAACACACACACACACACACACACACACACACACACACACATAAACACAAACACACACGTAAACACACATACACACCCATGCACAGGAGTAATGAGATATGTTCAATATGTACTAAGGCGAGGGAACGTAAGGAGAGGAGATGATGCAATCAAACACATTTCATATTTTAGTGCTGTACTGACGTGGTTATATTATAATGTTGAAGATTTTAGAGATCTGTATCTCATCAGAGATTCTCCACAGGTTTCCCATATTGGTGTCTTTTAAGTGTGTGATATTCCATTGACTAAAGATTGAATTGAAAAATATTTGAATTCATAGCCTTTACTTTTACTTACAGTGATCCTATAATGATGGCTCCAATGGTTTCACATTTCCAAGGTGTTTTAAGGTAAATATGAAGGTGTTACAAGATCATAAGGGTAATCAGCAACAGTGTGACTGTCTCATTCATACAATTGTGTGTGCTTTGTTGCTTCTATCGCCTCCTTTGGGGCTTAAAAATGAAGAAACCTGACAAGAGAAAACTCCTAATTGCATCTAAACTGCTCACATTGAATGAAGCAAACATGTATTTAGTATAGGGGGTATACGTTTAAAAATCATGGTAGCCAGTAAATGTTAATCTATAGGGGAAACCACACTTCAATACAGGAGAAAAGGTCAACTATATACAGAAATCTACCACTGAATTATCATAAAACTTTGCAAAATGTACCATCATTTCTGTGTTTTTGTGTCAGTAGAGTGCTTCCTTTATAGGTAGGCCTACAAGTAACAACAGTTATTAAAATATTCTAGTGCAATCCTCTCATTACCAGCTTTTTTTCCAACTAAACATATTTATTTTGTACGTGTAAACATGGACAAGCTAATAAAATGGAGTAATAAACAACCTGATCTGAAAGAGACTCAAATCCCTTTATAATCACATTGTACTCACACATGGCATTTAACTACTATGCACACTTTATTATGCATCTGTTTATATTTCTTTAGTGTATTCTAGTTGAATATGTATAGTTTTGTATTGTTTACTATATGCAATGCCTCGTTTTTGTGTTGCTGTACCAAAACTATTTCCCAATTTGTGATGAAGGAAATAATAGTCAAAATGTGGGTAATGTCATTATCACTTCATATATTTAAATGTGATTTCTTCTCCACTTTACCAACTCTATATTCAATGCATTTTAAAGTTGCATAGTTTCTTCCCATTGGCCCTACCTGTACTCCTCCACCGTCTCTTCCTCCCCCTCAGAGGCCGGCTGAAGGTGCTTGGTTCCCGGGGGGAGATGAGTGGACAGCAGGTAGAGAAAGAAACTCGCAGCCGCCACAAGGGCACCAAGTCCGGCTAAAGAGCGCATGTTTCCCCCCTGTGGAAACTCCCTGGAAACTGTATTTATAACAGGATGGGGGAAAAGAAAGTCGACGTGTTGCGGTTCAGTTGGAAGACACCGAGGAAAGGGGGTGTCGCTTACCGGGGGAAAACGCGCAAATGCCGGCTGACATTCTGGCTGAGATCGGCTGGAGGATCACATGGCAACTTTTTAAAAGTCGAGGGGAAAACCAGTGTTGTTTAAAAAGTAAAAACACACACACAGCAGGTGTTTCCCTTCTCGACCTCTTCGATTTCCTCCCTTCAGATCTTGTTTAGAAACTTGCTCCAAATGACGGATATTAAAAGTTATTTTACTGAACTTTGTGAGCGCACAGCTGCTGTTTGTTGTGGACACTCTGAACATGTATTCACACGATTGAGCCACTAGAGGGCGACATGGTAAAGGCCATGTGTTAATGTAATTATGCAGGGGTCTTATTTATAGATCAGGATCCTTTTAGGCATCACTGTACTACATATACATATAAGAAAATACATCAAATTGTACTAGAACAAATTTTAAGTGAAACAAAAACTTCACTGGTCTTTTATTTTTTAAATGGGAGAATTCAATTAAACTAATTAATCTCCAAAAACAGTAAGATGACTGGACTGGACAACCAATTTATAGTTCTCATTATTAATAACCATTATATTGAAACATGCATGTCGTTTCCCTTTGTCATGGGATTTATGTAATATTGAAAACATTGAAGAAGACTTCAATGGGGTATCAAGTGGGGTAGTATAAGGGGTATCAAGTATATGTGTATGGAGAAGAAGAAACAGTGGAACTTTTCAAATGTAATGCGACTTTATGGATGCATCTGATTCTACAGTGAGACACCAACGAAGAAGAAGGTTAGCAGCAGAACACGTGCAGAAAGGTGAGTGGACATATAACTCTGTTTATAGGAGCTTGTGTTGCATTACAAGTGTGTGCAAGCTCGTTTTTTTAGTGTGTCTGTGGCTGCATCCGCTGGGATGTTTATGGGATGTTTATTTATGTCTCTTAGTCTTAATGTGTTATTCTTTATTCCAAAATGTGGAGACGCCGCGGTATACTGCTGTTATTTACTGTGTATTGTTTTCCGGTTAATAGTATCCTACGTTTGCAAGGAGGAAAGTTGTTCAAGTGATGCTCCGTGACCCTCGCTCAAGCTGCAAACTGTATTTATTGTAGGAATTGTGCAGGAATCATTATTTGGCTCTTATGTTGACATGTTAAAGTATATGTTTCCGCTCCATGTAGCTACTGTACTTAAGTAAGGAGACTTTTGAGCTACTTGCACTTTACTGGAGTATTTTACATGCATGCTACTACATGATGTGTGCAAGCTGATTGTGCGCTTCTGTGTTTTTGGCTGCACATACATTACTGCTGTGGTGTGCTGCTGGCTTTTCATGTGTTTTTTTTTTTTTATGAACTGTCTGAGTTTTGCCCTCTTTCTGGTTTATTGCAGCCTAAGCTCACAATGAGGAAGGTTGTACAAATGAAACTCAGTTGTATGCTCAGCCTGCAAAGTGTATATTGTAGGAATTGTTATTTGGCCTATATACTAATACTAACAAGTTAAAGTATCTTTCAGCCTCCTGCAGCTACTGTAGTCTACTTAATTACACTATTGAACTACACTTTACTTGAGTATTTTACATTTATGCTACTACATGATGTGTGTAAGCTCTCTTTTCAGTTTAATGTGTGTTTTCTTGGCTACACCCGCTGCAATGTTTTCTTATTTTTTCTTTGTGCACCAACCAGAGTGTACTGCTGATATTTAGTGCGCATTTCTTTGTAAAATTGTCTGAGTTTCCCCCTCTTTTCTGGTTAATAGAAGCCTAAGGTCACAATAGGCGCTTTCACACCGGAGTACTTTTCCCAGTATAGTTCTGATATAGTTCCGAAAATGTGCGTTCACACCAAAAAAATCCGGAACTAGTACTTAGTTCATGAGAACCTTTTCACCCCCTTTTCAGTCCCTGCTAGAGAGCAGGTACTTTTATGGGAGAAAAAGGTTCCCATTTCTGATTGGCTGGGCGGATTGCAAACCACGCCCCGTAAAACTCCAAAAAGGTTTTGTGAAGCCGCCATTTTATTTTCCACGCATTAGCATTATTAGCATTAGCCCAGCGCACAAACGGAGAGAGACTAACTTATGGCAACACAAAAGAAAACATGGGAGCGGTGGAGATGAGGAGGTGTCGGCGTTCTGGCGATTTACTCGGAAGGCTTCAGTAGAAGCTGCTGGGAGTCCCAGCAGCTTCTACTGAAGCCAGTCCCCAACTCCGGGGACTTCCGGCCGGGGACTTCGGGTGGCAGTATACGCCGTGAAGTTGTTTGCGGCCTGCCAGTAAACCCAAAGCAGAAGAAGGAGAAGTGACGTCAGCGGCTTCATTTGACTAATCCTCCCCCAGGAACTTATTCCGGTGTGAACGCGATCTGCTCTTTAGTTCATGAGAACTAAAGAGTTCTCATGAACTAAGTTCTCATGAACTAAGTACGGCAAAGTACTTGGTGTGAAAGCGCCTAATAAGAAAAGTTTTAAAATTAAACTAAATTGTATGCTTAGACCGCTAAAGCTACTTGAGTAAACTTCTGAACCACTTGCACTTTATAGAGTATAGAGTAGTAGTAGTATAGTATGCTTCTACATGATGTGTGTAAGCTGTCTTTTCACTTTAATGGGTGTTTTGTTGGCTATTCCCGCTGTGTTGTTAACACATGTCTCTAATGTTTTAATCTTTATTCTATAATGTGCACCTGGCACTGTCTACTGTCTTTTCGTACATGTTATTTGTTAAACTGTCTGCGTTTTGCCCTCTTTTCCGCTTTATAGTGAGCCTAAGATAACAACGAGGAAGGTTGTACAAGTGATACTCAGGCTGCAAAGTATGTATATTGTAGGAATTATGTAGGAGTAGTTATTTGGCCTATATGTTGACATGTTAAAGTATATTTTGCATCCTTGTGTTGATTACTTGTGTACTCTTTAGCACTACTTGCCCTTTATTTGAGATGTTACTTTTTACTTCTACTCGACAACATCTGTAACCATGAAAAAGTGCACCCTGTACTTCACTATATTTTCTTTGACAGCCTCTTAAGTTTTTACAATACAACAGAAAGCTTAACATGATGAGATATGACGAGTGTGTTTTGAGTTGACTTCACAATTAGTGCCACACAGATTCAAATAAGAGTTCAGATTTATTTGATCTCCTCTACAGAAGAAAATAATTACCAAAATCTCTAATACATAGCATAACAGCAGTTCCTAATATATACATGATGTCTGTGTGACATAAAGAGAGGAAGGATGTAAAACGCTGATTTACAGACGATGCACGAACAATAGTGTTAAAGTCATGACGTGTGTTGAACAATCTCTAGTTTTCAATACGTTTAATGAACAAACACTATAACACTTACAACCCTGACGATCTTTACTTTCCCTATCCGCTAATAAAGCATTAACACCTCTCACGTTACACCACATGGAAAAGTAAACCCCGGTGATTCTGGATTATTAATTAAATGGTTTTGTGTGTGTTATTGTAGCTGCATCGCCCCCTGGTGGCTGATGGTGAAACTGGGATATTTCCCTCCCTATAATCTGTCATCACAATTTATTTTGCAGAAATTCAATTATTTTGAATACCACATTTACATGTAGCAGTGAAACACACCGGGTTAGTTGCATTGGGATCATCTTATTATGGCTACAAGCTAACAGTCTGAGGCCTATCAGGCACATATTTACGAAAAAAACAATGTTGACGATAAACAACGACTAGTTTATCTAATAAGAAACGCAAAAATATGCACATATATCCTAAAATTATGAATAACAACTGTGAGCTCAGCCTCAAATGACTTCCTGTTTCAGTAACTGGTGGGAAATGATGATGTGTTTCCTCGAGAATATCTAACACACGGAGCTAAAAAACAATCCAGTTTCTTCCACAGGTTTAAATAAGAAGATGTTTGGAAAGCTACAGCTTTAGTGCAATAACCTCAACTATGGCTCGAACCAAGTTCAATCCTTCATGACATAGAAACACAGAAGTGAGACACAAACAAAAGCATTTATCTAAACGGTGTGTAAAGTCTACAGTTTAAAGTGTCTCTTCTCTTTTGCATTAAGCCCCACTTCTTTATGAGGAGGGCTTCGAGCTACATCTGGCTGCTGGGGTCCAATATTATAATAATACATATATATAATAAAACCAGAGCCCTTGATAGAAAGAGTTTCGGACAACAAGTTCCCTCTCTGGTGATGACATATGAATGCTGCAAATATCCATAAAGCTGCACGTATAAACTCAGTCTTCAGTTCTATGTAATTAGTCTTTATTTAATGGTAATTTCATCAACAATTCTATCTTCAAACCATGAAGAACGATATTTCTACACTTAAAGGGGGCCCTATTATGCTCTTTTTCAGGTTAATAGTTGTAATTTGTGCATTTGTTAATGTTTAAAATGTCTGCTCTGATTGGTTAGCTGGCTGGCTCTGTTGTGATTGCTCCACCTCTTAGAGATGTCCCGCCCCCTTAGCCTATCAGGTACAGTTTGTACTCCTGCAAGTGTTATATAGTGATGTCATTATGTTCAGGAAGTAAACAAAGGAGTCCAATAAAGGCAGAGTAGGGAACACAGGGATTTTAGCCTTTGCAGACCATTTACTTGCACTAAAACCTATATAACACACTACAGGAAAGGGGAACAATAGCATAATAGGGCCTCTTTAAAGCTACACAGCTGTTCTGGTACTCGAGGATTTTGTGTACAATACTCGGGTTAAGGTACAATCAACACAAAAGGAAGGGTAGTACTCTGTGTGCTTTAAAGCTACTTCTCTAAACACCACACTGACATTGATCACACTCTTCTACACACAGCTTTCTGTCCTCTACAGTTTGATTACAACAGATTTGAGTTGCAGCTAAACCCCTAAACATGAGTTCTCATTTAATACGGAGAGATCAAGAGCTTGTGTCCACATAGCCAGCGATTGGTTCCAATAAGGTTAGGGTTCGCCTGTTTTTGGTCGTCTAATTGAACATATTTGAAGTTATTATCAAAGCGCTGGTGTTGTCACGTAAGACAGAAACTATCCAGACAATGAGACATCAGAGTCATCCTTAAATGTCCCTACTTGGATCGTCTTATTCGCTCTGCGGCTGTCAGACTGAAGCTCAATCAGACAAAGTGTGAGTTAAAAACAATGTCAAACACATATCTTAGTAGCACAATGAGATAGAGAGAAGGCAAAGGATTGGAGCTAGTCTGTCCTACAACAGCTGTGATACGTTATCAAGATATCGTGTCATAGAAACATTGACAAAAGGTGCTATGTGGACGGTCAAAAGTCAAAACATGGCAAAAAACCGAACTAGACGTATGATCGTATTATTGGATGTAAGAGTAGGAGAGTCTTCGTCCAAGGGAGCATCAATAAGAGGAAGGTAATCCAGACACATTACAATACAGTGTGTTTTTACTTCCTCCTGAAAACTGGAGCTTCTTTCCAGTCCGTTGAGCAAGTTTCCCGCCTTTTATGAAGTGTCAGAGTCAAATCTTATTAGAGTCACAGCTGCTCCTGACACCCATTTTGTTCCCAGTGTTTGTAATAATTCAACCGGGGACATCCAACAGCGCAGGTGGAAGCAACAAATTAATTAAAGTCCGACAAAATCTGGTCCGCCGCCACCTCTGATTGGTGTTTATAGAGGTCACATGGCATGAGGGGGAGGGGCTGATTGGACAAAACGGCCTCATATGGCGGCGCTGCCTCCATCGGGAAGGAAATGGAGGCGATGTGTTGATGATCCAGTGGGAAATGAGAGGGGGAGAACCAGGAGGCGCTGGCTGAAGTCTCCCCGTAGTTTGGAGATGGATCCTGGGGAGACGGA